GTATAGTTTGAAATCACTTAGTTTCAACTAAGCCATCAAGGTTATTAACCAAACAGAAATATATTCAAAGAAGTTAATTTATCTTCTAACGTTAAGTCTTATACTAATGACACAAATTTTAAGTTAACATACATTTAGTACTTTGTGTCACGATTATATGATTTACAAGGTAATATAATTGATTTACTATACAGTACTTCCTAGATTTATACAAGATCATATAATACATATCAATGTCTATTAATCCCAATATACCGAACATGATTATATTCTATCTACTGGACCACCAGGAGAAGTTTCAGTTCTGGCACTTAATACTTCCACACCAGTTTCAGTTACTAAAAGCATATGTTCAAATTGAGCGGAAAACTTACCATCTTGAGTAGCTGATGTCCAATTATCAGGCCAACTCATATCTCTATAAGATCCTAAGTTTAACATAGGTTCTATAGTAAAAACCATACCTGGCTTAGCTATACCAACAGCCTTATTTCTTGCATAATGAGGAACATTAGGTTGGCAATGGAAATATTCACCAGTACCATGTCCACAATAAGTCTTTACAACAGATACTCCATTTTCCGTGGCATGCTTTTCAATGATATTACCTAGTTCTCTAAAAGCAATACCTGGTTTAACTGCTTTAATAGCCAAATCTAAAGATTCTCTTGTAGTTTCAACTAATCTAACGATGTCTGGATTAGCCTTTGCTTTATCCCCCACATAGTAAGTTTCATTCAAATCTGCATGAAATCCTAAGTAAAAAATACTGACGTCGATATTTACAATATCGCCATCTTCTAATGGTCTTTTATCAGGGATACCATGACATATAACTTCATTTACAGATGTACATACCGATTTTGGAAAGTTGTAGTAATTTAATGGAGATGGATAACAGTTTCTCTTCAAACATTCCTTATGAACAATAGCATCAATTTCATCAGTAGTTATTCCTGGTTTAACGGCAGCAGCACCTGCATCAAGGATTTCTCTTGCCAATATAGCCACTTTTCTGATTTTCTCAATATTCTTAGGAGTATAAACGAGAATCTTGCCAATTCTATCATTTTTAATTTCACTGATTGGTTTACCAGTTTTGGCATAATCCGGTAATTTGATATGCTTTGGAATACTTCTTCTTGGAGTTAATGGGTAATGTGGTTTCACATTACCAGAGTATCCAAAAGTCGGGAAAGGGTTATAATCTTCTGATCCATCATCACCTTTATGAATAGCTTTATGATGAGACCAGCTTGATCTGAAACATGTTTGATCACAGAAAACACTATTCACATTTTCCTTTAAACACACAGGACATTTTAAGTTGGATTCGGTATCTTTTCCACAACTTGGAGATGCACATACACTAGTCATGACGGTGGATTAGTTGTTTGTGAAGTATAATGAGAAGCGAAATGATGCTTACGAGAAATTTTCACTAATAAATGCGCACCGAAAGTGGATAGTATTTCTCAAGCGCACCTCTGAAATCTGAATGTCATCAATTTTTTGGTGGAAGAGATAAAAAGTACTTACATCATATTTAGTGATAATTTATTAAATGCTCTTTGGTTGTATTTAAATATTCGTAAAAGATAAACATTGCAACCTAAACAATGTAGATCAAATATTAATTAATCACAGCAATACATAATATAGATAGAAAGAAAATTGTTCGCGAGTTAACCGATTTCTTATGTATCATAGTAATAATTTTATCTTCTTTGAAATTTATATTTATACCATATTTAACTATTTATTTCTCATTATATAACTAAATTATTTATTTATCTTCTGAAATTGGTACATGATCATATAATACATATCAATGTCTATTAATCCCTATTACAATATATTGAATATGATTATATTCTATCTACTGGACCACCAGGAGAAGTTTCAGTTCTGGCACTTAATACTTCCACACCAGTTTCAGTTACTAAAAGCATATGTTCAAATTGAGCAGAAAACTTACCATCTTGAGTAGTAGCTGTCCAATTATCAGGCCAATTCATATCTTTATAAGATCCTAAGTTTAACATAGGTTCTATAGTGAAAACCATACCTGGCTTAGCTATACCAACAGATTTGTTTCTTGCATAATGAGGAAAAAATGGTTGGCAATGGAAAAATTCACCAGTACCATGTCCACAATAAGTCTTTACAACAGATACTCCATTTTCCGTGGCATGCTTTTCAATGATATTACCTAGTTCTCTAAAAGCAATACCTGGTTTAACTGCTTTAATAGCCAAATCTAAAGATTCTCTTGTAGTTTCAACTAATCTAACGATGTCTGGATTAGCCTTTGCTTTATCCCCCACATAGTAAGTTTCATTCAAATCTGCATGAAATCCTAAGTAAAAAATACTGACGTCGATATTTACAATATCGCCATCTTCTAATGGTCTTTTATCAGGGATACCATGACATACAACTTCATTTACAGATGTACACACTGATTTTGGAAAGTTATAATAATTTAATGTAGACGGATAACAGTTTCTCTTCAAACATTCCTTATGAACAATAGCATCAATTTCATCAGTAGTTATTCCTGGTTTAACAGCAGCAGCACCTGCATCAAGGATTTCTCTTGCCAATATAGCTACTTTTCTGATTTTCTCAATATTCTTAGGAGTATAAACGAGAATCTTCCCAATTCTATCATTTTTAATTTCACTGATTGGTTTACCAGCTTTAGCATAATCCGGTAATTTGATATGTTTTGGAATACTTCTTCTTGGCGATAATGGGTAATGTGGTTTCACATTACCAGAATATGCAAAATCGGGGAAAGGGTTATAATCTTCCGACCCATCATCTCCCTTATGTATAACCTTATGATGAGACCAGCTTGTTCTGAAACATGTTTGATCACAGAAAACACTATTCACATTGTTTTCTAAACATACAGGGCACTTTAATTTGGACTCGGTATCTTTTCCACAACTTGGAGATGCACATACGCTTGTCATGGCCGTAATTGTTTGTGGAGGAAATCGAAAAACGAAATGGCGCTTAGAAATTTTTACTAATACCGAAAGTGGATAGTATACAGTAGCGTATAGTAATGCATATATATATAATGTACAATATGTCTATATACTGAATTCTAGCTGATAGGTTGTTTTCCAAGATTCTCCGGTCCGAAACTTAGCGGCAAGAGATCCTTAAGGAATACTTTGATATATTTACCAGAAGCTCCAAACATGTAGATAGGTATATCTAATCCGAATTCTCTAATGAATTGTCGGCATATTCCGCACGGAGATATTGGCAGCTCATCATCACTGGATATAGCAATAACTTTCATTTGCCGATGACCTTCCATTAATGCCTTAGTTATAGTAGTTCTTTCAGCACAAATACATGCTCCATATGAAGCATTCTCAACATTAGCTCCCGACACATATTGCCCCGATTGGGTAATTAAGGTGCAACCAACTCGAAACTTGGAATAGGGAGAATACGAGAGATTCCGGGCATCAAGACATTTGGTGCGTAATTCCACAAATTGCTCGTTACTCAATTCATCGTGATCGGTGTGTATAGTGACCATAGTCTGATTAGTATTTATTTCTTGGTAGTAATACTTAGTTTTGATTTATTAGTAGTAATTGGTAGTAAGACTTAAATGGGCCTTATCTCCCATAGTTAAGAGAGTCGCACTGTTTTTCGGTTTTTCTATGTATGGTGAATCACGTGAGCAATTTCTCGAAATGTTCAGTGGCGATTTTAATGAGAGAGTAGTACACTACCATTACCACTATTACTATAACTATTTAATCATTCACTATAGTATACTAACTGCAATCAACACAATGTCCACATTGGAAGAGTTAGAAAGTGTCCAACAAGAGGAGGATACCGTAGACCAAGAAATTTTAAATTCATCAACATCTGATATAATTAGTCGAACTAAACTTTTGGACAATGATATAAAAGTAATGAGATCAGAGTATCAAAGACTCAATCATGAAAAGAATGTTATGACAGATAGAATTAAAGATAATCAAGAAAAAATCAATAATAACAAGCAATTGCCGTATTTGGTGGGGAATGTAGTTGAATTATTAGATTTAGATGCCGAAAAGGAAGCTAGTGAACAAGGAGCTAATGTAGATTTAGATGCAGCTAGATCAGGGAAGTCAGCTGTTATAAAGACTTCAACTAGACAAACTATCTTTTTACCATTAATTGGATTAGTTGAACCATCCAAATTAAAACCAAATGATTTGATTGGAGTAAATAAAGATTCATATTTGATATTGGATACTTTACCATCCGAATATGATTCTCGAGTTAAAGCAATGGAAGTCGATGAAAAGCCAACTGAAAATTATACTGATATTGGAGGACTTGATAAACAAATTGAAGAATTAATTGAAGCAGTAGTATTACCTATGAAACAAGCAGAAAAATTCCAAACTCTTGGAATTAAACCACCAAAGGGAGCATTAATGTATGGACCACCAGGTACTGGTAAAACATTACTTGCTAGAGCATGTGCTGCACAATCAGGTGCTACATTTTTGAAATTAGCAGCTCCACAATTAGTTCAAATGTTTATTGGAGATGGAGCTAAATTAGTTCGAGATGCATTTGCCTTAGCTAAAGAAAAGGCTCCAACGATTATTTTTATTGATGAATTAGATGCAATTGGAACTAAAAGATTTGATTCTGATAAAAGTGGTGATAGAGAAGTACAAAGAACCATGTTGGAATTATTAAATCAACTTGATGGATTTGGATCTGATGATCGAGTTAAAGTATTGGCTGCTACTAATAGAGTTGATACATTAGATCCAGCTTTATTAAGATCTGGTAGATTAGATAGAAAAATTGAATTCCCCTTACCATCAGAAGAAGCTCGAGAATCAGTATTAAAGATTCATGCTAGAAAATTAAATTGTGATAATAATTCAGTTAATTGGAGAGAATTAGCTCGATCTACTGATGAATTTAATGGAGCTCAATTAAAGGCTGTCACAGTTGAAGCAGGTATGATAGCATTAAGAAATGGAAAATCCATCATTAAGCATGAAGACTTTGTAGAAGCCATTGGTGAAGTACAAGCTAGAAAATCTAAATCAGTTAACTTCTATGCATAAATATATGTAAGTATGTACCTAACTAATGTACAGAACCCGAAACACAACCAAAACTAATACTAAAACTAAAATGAAAATCTTAACCTAAAACCATATTTATTTAGGCTTGTGCCTTCTTCAACTCTTCTCGTAATTTCTTTGAAAATTCATCTTGATTATCGTCATCATCCCAATCTTCTTCCCATAAATTTGCTGTATTGACTTTGGGTTGGTTACCGAACTTGTCATCTTCAGGGAAATCTTCGAATTCATCATCTTCTTCTAAAGTTTTAATAACCTTCTGCTCGTCCTCACGTGCACTTTCACTTTCCTTTTTAACTTCTGTAGACATTGTGATGAATGAAATTAATTAAATTAATTAATGTAAGCTAAAGTTACTTAGTTAATTTGTTAACGGAAGTGATTGCCACTTTGGTTCGCTCTTTAAATCAAAACTGTCCACGCGCACACGTGACTTTCCTCAACCTCTTCGGGTAATTTTTTTTTTCAGCTCTTCTCATAGTTAAGACTGACTAAAGGCTACTACTGACTAAGACTAACATTACGAGCTCAGTTTGTTCAGAAAGTTAACTACAGCCATGAAAGAGGTGGTAGTAGATATCGCACCCAAATGCATTAGCGGGTTGGAGTTCGGGGCGTTATCGTCTAAGGATATTATTGCTCAGTCGGAAGTGGAAGTTCAAACTCGAGATTTATATGATCTTGAAAAGGGTCGAGCCCCCAAGACTAATGGAGCTTTAGATACAAGAATGGGTATATCTTCTAATTCTTCCGAATGTGCTACATGTCATGGGAATCTTGCCTCATGTCATGGACATTTTGGTCATGTAAGATTAGCATTACCAGTATTTCATGTGGGATATTTTAAAGCCATTATTCAAGTATTACAATGTATATGTAAAAATTGTTCAGCAGTATTATTAGAAGATCAAGTTAAACGTCAATTCATTTCAGAATTAAGGAAACCAAATATTGATAATTTAAAACGAATGAAATTATTAAAGAAAATTTTAGATCAATGTAAGAAACAACGTAGATGTCTTAAATGTAATCATATTAATGGAGTAGTTAAGAAAGCTGCAAGTGGTGCTGGTCCAGCTGCATTAAAAATTGTTCATGATACTTTTAGATGGATTGGGAAAAAGGCTACTCCAGAAAAGGAATATTGGGATCAAGAATTTAATGAAGTATTCTCAAGAAATCCTGAACTTGAAAAGTTTGTTAAGAGAGTTCATGATGATTTAAATCCTTTAAAGACTTTAAATTTATTTAAACAAATAGAACCATCTGATTGTGAATTATTTGGTATTGATACTGCTAGAGGTGGAAGACCAGAAATGTATATTTGGAGATATTTACCTGCTCCTCCAGTATGTATTCGACCATCAGTTATGATGGATGCTCAATCTAATGAAGATGATTTAACAGTTAAATTAACTGAAATTGTTTGGACTTCAACATTAATTAATGCAGGGATTGAAAAGGGAATTTCTATTAATAATTTAATGGAACAATGGGATTATTTACAATTATCTGTTGCTATGTATATTAATTCTGATTCAGCAAATCCAGCATTATTACCACCATCAGGTGGAGCTGGAGGTGGAGGAGGATCTAAATCGGCTAAACCAATAAGAGGATTTTGTCAAAGATTAAAGGGTAAACAAGGTAGATTTAGAGGAAATTTATCTGGTAAAAGAGTGGATTTTTCAGCAAGAACAGTTATATCTCCTGATCCAAATTTAAGAATTGATGAAGTAGCAGTACCTGATAGAGTTGCTAAAGTTTTAACTTATCCAGAAAAATGTACTAGATATAATCGTAAAAAATTACAACGATTAATTTATAATGGACCAGATGTTCATCCTGGTGCTAATTATCTTATGAAACAAAATGAATCGGCCAAGAGAAATTTAAGATTTGGTGATAGAGTTAAATTAGCAAAAAATTTACAGATTGGTGATGTTGTAGAAAGACATATTGAAGATGGAGATGTGGTATTATTTAATAGACAACCTTCATTACATAGACTTTCTATTTTATCTCATTATGCAAAGATTAGACCTTGGAGAACTTTTAGACTTAATGAATGTGTTTGTACACCATATAATGCTGATTTTGATGGAGATGAAATGAATTTACATGTACCACAAACTGAAGAAGCAAGAGCAGAAGCCATAAATCTTATGGGAGTTAAAAATAATTTATTAACTCCAAAATCAGGTGAACCAATTATTGCTGCCACTCAAGATTTTATTACTGGATCTTATTTAATATCTCATAAAGATTCATTTTATGATAGAGCTTCATTAGTTCAATTATTAAGTATGATGTCTGATGCAGATATTCAATTTGATTTACCTCCTCCATCAATTTTTAAACCAGTTATGCTTTGGACTGGTAAACAAGTATTTTCTTTATTAATTAAACCTAATAAGAAATCTAATGTTGTGATTAATTTAGATGCTAAGAATAAAACTTTTATACCACCAGCTACTGGATTACCTAATGAAATGTCTCCTAATGATGGATTTGTTATTATTAGAGGTTCTAATATATTAAGTGGATTAATGGATAAATCAACTCTTGGAGATGGTAAAAAGCATTCAGTATTTTATACCATACTTCGAGATTATGGACCTGAAGAAGCAGCAAATGCTATGAATCGTATGGCTAAATTATGTGCAAGATATTTAGGTAATCGAGGATTTTCTATTGGAATTAATGATGTTACACCTGGTATAGATCTTAAAAATAAGAAAGAATCAATGGTTGAACAAGCTTATGCAAATTGTGATGAATTAATTGATTTATATAATAAAGGAAAATTAGAAACTCAACCTGGTTGTAATGAAGAACAAACTTTAGAAGCTAAGATTGGTGGATTACTTTCAAAAGTTAGAGAAGAAGTTGGTGAAGTTTGTATTCGAGAATTAGATTCACTTAATGCTCCATTAATTATGGCCACTTGTGGTTCTAAAGGTTCTACATTAAATGTTTCTCAAATGGTGGCAGTTGTTGGTCAACAAATTATTTCAGGTAATCGTGTTCCTGATGGATTTCAAGATAGATCATTACCTCATTTTACTAAAAATTCCAAGACTCCTCAATCTAAGGGGTTTGTAAGAAATTCATTCTTTAGTGGATTAACTCCACCTGAATTTTTATTCCATGCTATTTCTGGTAGAGAAGGGTTAGTTGATACCGCAGTTAAAACTGCAGAAACTGGTTATATGTCTCGTAGACTTATGAAATCTTTAGAAGATTTATCTGCTCAATATGATACAACCGTTAGAAATTCTTCAAATGGTATTGTCCAATTTACTTATGGTGGAGATGGATTAGATCCATTTGAAATGGAAGGTGATGCTAAACCAGTTAATTTTAAACGTCAATGGGATCATGCATTTAATATTACATTTAATATTAATGATAAAGGTTTATTACCATTTGAAATTATTAATTTAGTAGATTCAATATTAGATCCATTAATCGATAGATTAATTAGACATGATAATCAAGGAAATGTCTTAGAAGAAGAAAACTTTGAAAAGATTGAATTCATTGATCAAAATGAAGCAGAACGAGAATATTATCAATCTCTTAAAGATTTTATATTTGATAAGGCAGAACAATTGGCTAGAATTAGAGAAAAGAAAGGATTACAAGCTTATTTAAAAGCACCTTCAATGATTATTGATGAAGAAATTGATGAAGATTATTCTAGTATAAATGCCATTAATCAATTATTAAAGATATCTTCATTATCAATTGAGAAATTCCTTGAGCAATCATTATATAAATATTCTCGAGCTAAAGTTGAACCAGGTACTGCAGTAGGAGCTATTGGAGCTCAATCTATTGGTGAACCAGGTACTCAAATGACTTTAAAGACTTTCCATTTTGCTGGTGTGGCATCAATGAATGTTACTTTAGGGGTTCCTCGTATTAAAGAAATTATTAATGCATCTAAAACTATTTCAACTCCAATTATTAATTCAGTATTAGTTAATGATGAAGATGAAATTGCAGCTAGAGTTGTTAAAGGTAGAATTGAAAAGACTTTATTAAAGGATGTAGCCTTTTATATTGAAGATGTTTATGCTAATGATTTAGCCTATATATCAATTAAAGTTGATCTTAAAACCATTGAAAAATTACAATTAGAATTAACTATTGATAATATTGCTCAAGCCCTTTGTAATGCACCAAAATTAAAGATTTTACCTGGTGAAGTATCGGTTACTTCAAAGGATAGAATTAATGTTCTTGTTACATTACGAGAAACTAAAGCTGATATCTTAAAAGGTGGTAGTGATATTAATACATTATTCTTTAGAATGCAACAATTAAAGAGAGCTTTACCCAATGTATGTATTAAAGGATTACCTAATATATTCCGAGCAGTTATTAATATTCGAGATGATAATAAAAAGGAATTATTAGTTGAAGGATATGGATTAAAAGAAGTTATGAGTACTGAAGGTGTTGTAGGTACCAAAACCACTACAAATCATGTCCTTGAAGTATTTGAAGTATTAGGTATAGAAGCTGCCAGAAGTTCAATTATTAAAGAAATTGATTATACTATGAGTAATCACGGTATGAGTGTTGATCCTCGTCATATTCAACTTTTAGGAGATGTTATGACATATAAGGGAGAAGTGTTAGGAATTACTAGATTTGGATTAAGTAAAATGAGAGATTCAGTATTACAATTAGCATCATTTGAAAAGACTACTGATCATTTATTCGATGCAGCATTCTTTATGAAGAATGATAAAATTGAAGGAGTATCAGAATGTATTATTTTAGGACAAACTATGAGTATTGGTACTGGATCATTTAAGCTTGTTAAGTCTTCTAATTATGATAAGAAAGTATTAACTAGGAAACCATCACTATTTGAACAAGTATGTGAAGAAGTAAGTGTATATTAGGATAGGGCATAGGCATACTATTGCGGTAATGATGTATTGTTTAGGTAGTGAGTAGTGTATATAGACCCCTAAAATTACCATAAACAAAAGTAAGTATTACTGTTACTGTTACTACTGTAAATAAGTATTACCATAACTATAAGTAGTGTCTATAGGCGTATTATGTCAACTCGTGACTCAACTTACAGTTACGTCCATCTCGATAACCCCAATCGGGTAATCTATATGGAAAGATGGCGAGATGATCATATTCCATTTGATATGATTGATACTCAACCATTATTAGATGCTACATCTTCATTATTACCATTTGAAGATGAAGAAGATGATGGATCAGTGTCGCTTCAACCTGCCAGTTTTGGAGCGAATTTATATAAGAATCGAACTACTAAAGATCGAACATGGATGGATCTTGGAATTACTGAAAAAATCGCCGATGAGTCCGGTACTCTTACCGATAAGACCATGTTAGGAGTATTACATACAAATGATACGACTACAAATTCTCATTTAACTTTAGCAGAATTCTTAAGTAATGGTTATCAATCGAAAGCCGCACCTCCCTTTATGGTAATGAATTCCGATTTAGCTAATGATACTTCATTTAGTGTACATCAAGGAGGGGATTTCTTTCCTAATTCTACTTCATCAGAATTCCCCATAAATAATCATACATTTCTTAATACTCGAACTGGTTCAGTAGGTAGTACAGTTCAAACCCCTCGAGTGGGGAAAACCAGACAAGTATCTACTGATCGAAATTTCCAAACTCCCATAACGAGAATTATGAGATAGACACAAAAGGACAGAAATGAAATGTTAATAATATTAAAAAAGTATAAAGTTAGTATGTAAATTTACATATAGTACACATATGAGAAGATATGAAAAGATATGAAAAGATTTTATGGGATGGTTTTGATTTTGACATAATCAATTTCATCCTTTAATTCTTCTAATTTAGCTTTCCTCTTTCGAGACTTATCAGTTCGTCTTTTAATTCGAATTGCAGCTAATACAAAGAGTGCCACTTGTTTAAAAGTTAATGGTTTACCTCGTTTTAATCTTTCAACTTTCATAAGGGGATAATCAGGATAAATCCCTACTTTAGATAAACTATATAAATCATCCTTTAATGCTTTATCAGTATTCTTAATTGAATTAAGAGCAAATAAATACATGATTTGAAGATCATTAGCCTTTAAATTCATATCATATAATTTAGCCTTATAATAAGTTAATTCATTTTCAAGTAATATAAGTTTATCGGATTCTCCAATTTTCTTTAAGGTTTGAATTTGTTTTTGTAAATATTGATTAGTAGCTTTTGATTTATTTAATTCATTATCATTTTGAATTCTTATTCGGGATAATTTCTCATTAAGAATATTATCTTGAAGAAGTTCTTCAACTTTATTGGCTAATCTTTTACAATGATTCTTGGTCTTTAATAATTCTTCCTTTAAATTCATAATTTCTGAATCTCGGGAGATTTGTTGAGATTTAAATGATGATTCATTAATTTCATAATTATTTATCAGTTTTAATAAATTACCATTATCACGTTCAAGTCTTTCAATTTGGGATTCTAATGTAGAACATTTTGAAAGTGATTGTTTTAATTCAGTTTCAAGTTTAAAGGTAGATTTAGATGCTTCCTTTAATTGTAATTCTAATAATGCTTGGACTGGAGATGGTTGATCAACCAGTACAGTCTTGGTGATAGTTTCCTTGGTTCGTATTATATCCTTTTGTAAATCAATTTGTGTCTCAAGTGAAGATATCTTATCTTTATATCTAGTAAGTTCTAGTTCATTATCTTTTCTTAAAGTTCTAATTTCTTGTTCTAATTGTTGAATTCTTGATTCGTCTAAATTCGTTTTCGATTTCAAATAATCAGTCAATTCATGGAAATTAGCATTAGCATTGGAATTAGCATTAGCATTAGCATTGGAATTGGAATTGGAATTGGAATTGGAATTGGAATTGAAGTTATCTCCACCATTGAATTTATTATCTCGATCTAATGATGCTAATACTTCTTCAAGTCTTTTAGCTTGATACTCTAAGATTTCATAGTTCTTGGATTTAGTATCTAATTCAATTTCAATCTCTTTAAGTTGATAAGTTAATTCTCTTACTTTATCAGAATAATTATCTACTAAACCTTTTAAATCAGAATTATCGGTAAGTAAGGCTTCAAGATGTTGTTCAATTTCTCGTTGAGTTGTATCATTTTCAGTGGCAGAAGTATGAACTTTTCGTAAATAATCCAATTCATGATTCTTTGATTTTAAATCATTAGTTAATATATCATTAGTATGTTGTAAATCATCTCGTTCACGCTTTAATTGATTAATTGTCTTATTAACTGATGATTTATTACCTTCTACAATCTCAATTCTATCACCTAATTGAATCTTTTCATTCTTAAGTCGACTTATTTCATCTTGTAAATTATCTATTTCTCTTTCTAATCTAGTGGATTTGGTTGTTGATACTGAATGTTTATCCTTTAAATTTTCATATTCAACTTCATAGAATTTAAGCTTTTCCTTTAATTCAATAATTTGAATTTGTAATTGATGTAAATCTTTATTAGTTGAATCTGAATTTCGAAGTTGTGATCTTAATGATTCAATTTCCAGTTCATATCGAGTTATTTGATTTCTACTAGTAGATTCTTGTTGTTGAAGGGTTGATATGGTGAATTTGAGTTCATCATAAGTTTTCTTTATATCATTTAATTCATTAGTTCTATCACGTAATTCATTGGTTCTATCATGTAATTCACAATCTCTTATACTTAATTTATCAGTCAATTGTTCATTCAATTGTTTAACTTGTTGTAAATTATCATTTAAATGATTATATTGAACTTTTAATTTATTAAAATCACTCACTATCACATCTCGTTGACCATCATAATCTGATTTTGAATGATTTAATTGTTGTTTCCAATGTTCAATTTCCTTTTGAGCATCTGATTTGGCTTGGGCCAATTGATCACATTGAGATTGTAATGATTCTATTCTTTCAATATAATTCTGAATTGAATTATCAATTTGTTTAGATTTCCCTTCATTTATATTAAGTAAATGTGACATATCCTTTACTTTATCATTAAGATTATTTCTTTCTGATATCACAGTTTCATGTTGATGATTCAAATTATCCATTTGTTTCATTATATGTCTATTTTCATCTTGTAGAGCTTCATATTTCTTAATTAATTCAGTCTGGTGTGATTGTGATTTATCAGTTTGTTGAATTCGTTGATTCATATCTCTGAGTCTTGATTCTAAATCAGTAATTATGGATTCCTTATCATGTAATTGTTGTTGGAATTGTCTGATCTGTTGGTCATCAGTTTGTGAGTGTGTTGAATGAGATTTTATATCATCTAATTGTCTTACCATAGTAGCTACTTGTTCTCTTAATCGGAAGTTTTCTTCTAATACTTGTTTCTGATCTTCAGGAGTTCCACTAAGAAATTTCTGTAAATCTATCACTTTCAATCGGAGCATATAGTTTTCTGAATTTAAATCTCGAATTCGTTCATCCTGTTCTCTTACAGGTGCTGAGCCATTATTAATTAAATTCTTAGTGAAGTGATTATTATTGTGATTGTGGTTGTGGTTGTTAGTCACAGCAGTTGGACGATCTCTATTTGCTGATTGACCCATCGAATGGATTGACTCTATAGTAAACTCACCGGTAGTATCACCGAATATTTCATCCATATCTCTTGACATGTCGGGGATAGGTTGAAATAGTGATCGACCAGTATTATTCAGTTGATGAGATCTCTCCACTATGGGTTCGTATCGAGTAGACTTAACGCCAATGGGAGTGAAATCACGCATATCGTTTACTGCATGTCCATCTCTTCGTGGAGTACCCACTAGATTACTTCTGGTGAACATGTGACTTGGTGGTGATGGTGCTTTACTGTCTTAGTAGTGGTTAGTAGTGGATGTTTAATAAATGTAAACATGTAAACAAACGCGCACTGATTAATGAGTTGTTGCTGAGATGTCAATTGTCGCAAGGGATTGCGACAAGGGAGTGGAAAAAAAGACAAATCGTACCATTTGCGACAGTCACTCACTCACTCACTCACTCACTCACTTAGTACTGTTAGTACTGTTAGTACTGTTGTTAGTACTGTACTTATAGATTTACATATATTTACTTTTAGTTAGTGGTTAGTTATTCTACTGAGCTCACGTCGGAGATAGCGGCCTTAAACGATTCTAAAGCTAAGTATGCCGAACCACTAACAATAGAAGATTTAGCAAGTTCAACACCTTGAATCCAAGTATCAGCAGCTCCTGCTACTACGGCTAAAGCAGCAGTATTCATTAAAATATAATCAACTATTGGATGATTATTTGAATCTCGTATTTTAAATTCCGGAGTATCTTGTTGAAGAATATGAAGTAAAATTTCAGCATTTTCAAGTGGAGTACCTGATTTAACTTCACTTAAACTATGTTGAGGTAAACCAAAATAACTTGGAGATAATTCTCCTCTATGTATAGAACCATCTTCTTCTACCATCCAATATTTAGTAGTTCCAATTGGTGATATTTCATCAAGAACACATGTACCAAATACTACCATAGTTCTTTTATGAACATTTGATTGTTTAGCTAATGTAGCAGCAGCTTGAGCATAAGATTCACCTAATTTTTCACTATTAACACCTAAAATTCTAGATCTTATAGGAATTGGATTAATTAATGGACCAAGAATATTAAAAATTGAAGGGATTCCTAATTGAGATCTTACAGAAGCAATTTTACCCATTCCAGCATGGAAAGCAGGAGCAAATAAAAAGCAAAAATTTGATTTTTTAACAATTTCAGGTGTAGTTTTCAGATTAACATACATTAAATCAACTCCAAGACATTTAAGTAAATCTCCTGAACCTGATGTTGAAGTTGATGCTTTACCTCCATGTTTACATACTGGTAATCCAATCCCTGCCGCAACAATAGCTGAAGATGTTGATACATTAAAAGTATCTTGTCCATCACCTCCTGTACCAACTATATCAATATAACCATGAGAATCAACTGATTCAGGAGTTATAACATCAGAAAATTCCAATACAGTAGTGACAGCTGCAGCTATAAAATCAGGATCTTCATCTAAACCTCTTAATCTTAAAGCAGTAAGAAATGATGCTACTTGAACATCGGATGCAAGACCTCGAAATACACATCGAAGTACAGTAGCCAAATCACTAGGTGTTAGATTGGGAGGATCTAAAAGGAGTGACTTCAAATATGGAGTGAGGATATTCTTCGAAGCCATTGATAATGGTTATGGTAATGGTAGTGCCTTAGTAACAAACTGGTTAACTATACTGTTAACTATACTGGTGGTGCTGGTGGTGGTGGTCGGAGTTATGACTCTTCCTGCATTTTATTTACATTTTATTTTTTCAATCCTCACTGACTGCGAAAAATTTATTCTTACTTATAAGCGCTAAACTACGTCTACTTCTATAGAGATTTCCTTATCGGCATCCACATACGAGTCACACATACACCAGATGGATAATGTATGATGGCCCGGATTAGGAATGGTGAATGTGAGTGTAAGATTTTGACTTTGTGACTTTATAGTGGCTTTCTTAATACTATATAGCTGTTTAGTCTCTACATCTCCCACAACTATCCACCAACCTTCTCTTGTTTCTTGAGGATAATGAGGAGACACTACCGTCAAGTCATCCATATCTTCATCTCTTTCTAATTGAATCATTAATTCCTTTGGAGTATTGGCTTGAATAGGATCGGATAAATCTAATTCATACGAGATATCAATATTCGGATACTTATTGACAAATTCCGCCACATCATTTAATGGTTTACCACTTAATTGAAGTATATCATCTCTATCTTCATCTTCAAGTGTCATTAAATCATAAACTGTCTCAACATTATACTTTTCACATCGTTGTAGAATAGCATCGGAGAATTGAGGGATTTGCTTTAATGGACTATCTTTAGTCCATACGGCTTGAATAATCATTTGGGAAAGTGTCATAGCATTAAGAGCATTCAAATATCCATCTCCTGATAATGTATCTACACATGCATGAACTAATTTTAAGATAGTTTCAACTACATATTGTTGATCTGTTTGTAATTCAATTGATAATGGTATCCGTTTAAGATGCGCTTGAATAAGTATGAATGCTTTGAAATATGGTGATGAAAAGTTTTCTTCATTGGCTTTAAATGGGACTTGCTGATAAATCCGAGATAATACTGATTGTTCATTATGTCTAATCACTAAATTATCAAATTCTTCTGCTCCACTAAGAGTTTCTAGAATTGTCTTTAATTTAGCTCGAGCTCCTAATTGACTTAATAATTTCATAGTATTAAATCTAACTCCATAATGTGCTGCAATCATACATCCATTTAATGGTACTAAAGTATCTTCATCTTCTTCATCTTCTTCAATTAATCCTTCAGTAATTAATTCTTGTAATGTAGTTTCGACTAATTCAGAAAGATGTTCAGAAATTCCAAGATGGGTTACATCTTTAACATCATAATAACTGGGATTTACTTGTAATCTTCTATAGAAATAAGTATAAGTAAACCAATCCACACATTCTTGTTTATTAGTATTAACTCCCGAAGATATCTCATCAATAAAGAATTCATGTAATGATAAATTTAAGTAACTTTCAATAGGTAAGGCTTCCTTTAAGAATTTACTATAGAATTGAATCTTACTTTGATTAGTAAACATACTAACTGAACTATTATCACTTAATTTATCACAACAACAACCAACCATTTCAAGTATAGTATTAATAGAATAATCAATATATCGATCATCTTTTCCATCATATTCTTGAGTACCTGCTATAATAACTTTACCACATGAAGGTGTTACAGAGGCAGAATCCTTAGTAGCTATTAAGATATTTATATGATTATTATCAAATAAACTTTGAACAATCAATTCATCAGTTGGATGCATCCCTTTATAAAATAATCCAATTCCATAAGGTAATAAATGGCGAATCATTTCATCATGAATTCGTTCAAGATATAATGATAATTCATCAGTGGTTTCAAGGGTAAATCGATCAACTAATTCAGAAGCAATTCCTAGAGCCAGGAATCGAGTGGAAGTAAAGATTAGACAGTTCTGTTTATAATTAATTACTGGTTTAACGACTTGATAAACAGCACTAAGATCAGTGAATTCATGTAATTGAATTTGTCGAATGGGATAGAATCGTTCACGACAATCAAAATTAAATACATTACTCTTGGAACATCCTATCCATTCAGCTAAATCTCTACCATTAGCCAAGGGAGTAGAAAGACTAACAATTCTTAAAGATTTATCTAATTGACCCGACATAAACTTCATTCTACCAATACATGCTTCATAGATAGCTCCCGTTAATCCATTCCCTAATTCTTGAATATCATCACAAATTAATAATTGTATATCTTGAATAGCTCGTCTATTCATCCATCTCTTAGATATATAGTAGAATTGTTCGGGAGTAGCCAAGATTAAATTACTTGATCCTAATACTTGAAGATCTTTATATAAGACTCCACTAAGTTTACCAACCACTTTTTCAATGGTAGAAAACTTCTTAGTCCACCCTTTATAGAGTTGATTAAGTTTAGATTGACTACTATTAATATAAACAATTCTCGATGCTTCACCTTGTTTCCAATGTCTAAGTATACCAAGTTCTGCACATACAGTTTTACCTGATCCCTTGGTAGTACCAATGAATAATGATTCATCTGTTCCATACAATTGTTCAAACACTTGGGATTGAAACTTATTGAAATAACTAAAGTTAAACATTCCTTCAAGATCTGAATCATGTAATTGAGATACTGGTACATTAGCCATTTCTAATAATGGAGTGGGAGCTGGGAATAGTTTAGGAACAGTTAATCCTGACAAGTTTAAGGGGATTTTCCATTCACTATGTAACCATGATTCACTAATGAAATTTAAGATATAGACCGGTTGGAATGGTTGTAAGATGGGTAAAGTAAAATCAAGTAAGTACGTATTAGTCGAATGATTTCTATTGACTATCAACTTATCAGTATAAAGAATTCTTTCCCCATTACTATCTTCTACCAATACTAAGAATGGTTCTATCAGACGATCTCGTATCCAATTCCAATCAGCTACAATTTGAACTTGTACTCGAATTAAACTCGACGTTATGGTTTGAATATAATAACTAAGATCAAGTTTAGGAAATTGTTTCAATAGTTCATAGACTCGTCCAGCATTGGATTTCAAATTTAATGCTTCGGCCAATTCATGAGCATCAAGATTGAAATAATGAATCCAGGGGAAATGGGAATTCTCTGTAGCTCTAATTATTTCCTTAGAGGCTAAAGGTCCAAATTGTCGGAATGGAGAACTCGATAACCACATTCTCTTTTCTATCATTTTACACAAGTTTAATGTTAATTTACTTAATGAAGACCAATTCTTTTGTAAGGCTATTTCATGCATGGCTCTCATAAGTCGACCAGCCGATTGAACAATATAGACCATATCAGCCATTAATGCATAACCTTCAAGACCTAATCGAGATATATAAGCCTGTAATAATAAATTGATTTTTGCTCCAGTTTCATTGGGTTTCTCTCGAACTGGAATAGGACATTTATCTAATAATTTAGATATTTCAAGTCTTTCTTCTTGTCGAGTTGCCACATATTCGAATTCTCCTGATTTGGAGAAGATCTTTAATAATTCTATTTCGGATAACCATGGTTTTAACTGAGTATTATACATATTCATAGTCTTATAATTAATATAGAAATGGGAGGCAATCTTTCCTAATTCAGTAGGGGTCACATTACCAGATTCAGAATCAGAATCATATTGAATCAATCGATTTTCATGTAATACAGTCAATGCTGAATGGGCAAGATCATGACGTTTCCAAAAGAGTGAATCATCATCATCATCCCCATCAGCATTGGCTCCTACAAGATAAAGACCCGGCGATTGCAACATCCGAATGTAGAGATACGTATATCCCAACCATTGGACAGCTGTATCTCGATTCTGAATAGTTCCTAAAACAATCTCGGCATTTATACTATCAGCCAATCGAGTTAATAATTGCGATTCAATGGGTAATTGTTGATTCAATATCGCCAAATAATATTGAACTTCATCTTGTGTAGTAATGATTATCCCTTCTCCACTTTTATCATATCGAGGTCTACCAGCCCGTCCAAGCATTTGTAGTATATCTTGGGGTGATAATTGAGTCCAAGACCCCTTTTCTGGAGAATATGTTTCTGTACCTTTAATGATTACTGTATGAGCAGGAAGATTAACTCCCCAAGCTAAAGTAGCCGTTGATACAAGAACTTTTAGATGTCCCTGAGCAAATAGATCTTCCACTACACTTCTTTCTTCTCGTTGAAGTCCAGCATGATGAATTCCAAAGCCAAACGGTACTACTTGTTGAAGATTCTTATCAGTAAAGTTCTCCGCTTCTTGCTTTAATATCTCAATTGATCCTATACTTTTATTAATTGATTCAAGTCTTTCTTGAAGCCATTTAGCTGTTTTAAATGTCTCCTTTCGCGAATGAACAAAGATGATTACTTGATGATTGTTCGTTAGACATTTCTCAATTTGTTCTTGACATGCTTCATTCATAGCACTTAATCGTTTAATGGCTTTCTTTTCCTTGATAGCTATGAATTTTTGTTCTAATGGACATGGTCTATAAGAAGCATCAAAATAGAATAAATTCTTGGTTGAATCCACTCGTAAGAATTGGGCTACATCCTTATAATTTGGTAAAGTAGCCGATAATCCAATTAATCTTGTTTCTAATTGATTATTTCTTAAGATTCTACTAACAATACTTTCTAATACTGGACCTCTATCATCATGTAATAAATGAATTTCATCAATTATCACCAATTTGGTTTTCTTAATCGTATCATATTGAGATGATTTCCTCGTAACAATATCCCATTTCTCGGGAGTGGTAACTATAATTTGAGTTTCTTCAAGTTGTTTTCTACTTAAATTCGAATCTCCTGTTAATTCATTTACTACTACTCCAAAAACAGGAGTTAATCGTCTCAGGAATTCTCTCATTTGTTCTTGAACTAATGCCTTTAATGGGGCTATATATACCACTTTGAAATCCTTTAAATTGATTTTACCCGATTGAGGATTTCGATGATTTGATATGGCTCGTAAGATTGATAACATCGCCACATTGGTTTTACCGGCTCCAGTAGGGGCACATAATAAGATATTACCATCGGAATTGAATACTTGCGGATACACTTTCGATTGAATTCTATTTAAATTCGAGGTTTCAGTACTGGGGAAGACTTGTCTAGCCCATTCTGGAAGGGATGAGATTGAAACTATTTCATCATCTTCTGGATTAGGAGGAGGAGTAGGCGCAGGTATACTGATTATATCATACAGTTTCTTTGCTTGTTGGGATGATCCAGCTGGTAATTTAATCTTAGTGGTTGATAGTAATTGATTAGTCTGAGTTAATGTGAATGATTCTAGATCTATGAGGGTGGGTCTACGGAGCAGTTCATGATCATTTGTGTCTGGTAGTTTCCGTTTGGTTCCTCTTTTGGCAGTTTCTCCTGTGGTTAATGTTACTGTACTTGACTGTATATCTGGTTGGACTGCTTCACTGTCACTTTCATTGTCTTCTTCTTCTTCTTCTTCTTCATTATTATCATCTTCTGCCAATAAGGCTGCGGCATCATCTTCTTCCTCATCCTCAAGCTCAACAGCTATGATATTATCGGATTCTTCACGTCCATTTATGTCTTCATTATCATCTCCATCTCGTATCTTACTGGCATAATTTAATAAATCCTTCATGGTTATGTCATCTATAGATTGATCCAATAGTTCACATATACTGGCTTTCTTTACTGTGACTGGTGTATCTGTTTCTTTCAAGATCTCGACTACAGATTCAGCGGCCGATACTATGGTTTCATGACTAGCATCTTCTATATATCCTCGTACAATAGTTAGTATCATACTAAAGGCCTCATCATCATCATCATCTTCATTATCTCTGTTAGATAATTCTCCTTCAATTTCTTTACCACTGTTTGCATTCTGCCTCACAGTCACACTACTGGTGCTGGCACTTCCCATCTCCTTAGTAGACACAAGACCCACTAAAGATGTTGGGTTGGAACTGACTTCTTGTTGATGAGGTCTTCTTGAACTCCGGATAACTTTGTTAGACATCTCATTATAACTGTACTGATTGGGCGTAGAATTGGAATTTGAGTTGGTGGAATTGTTGGCCGTACTTCTCGGTACGCCATTGGACTCTCCATTTGTACTGGTCATGATTATTATGGTTGTTTGGTTGGGGTTTACTGATGGTTTATGGTTATAGTTCATCGTGAAAAATGTCATTTCGGTAGGTAGACCGCGAAGAGTTCGGTGGAGCGACCGAAAGTCACGCACCCTCGGATTTGGTATAACACTACAACGCTACAACACTACAATAACATACAAATTAGAATATATCTTAACATTAAATCTATGAAACTAGTTTACAAGCAATTTGCAAGGCAAGTCTTGTTGATTTTGGATTTGTAATTGGAGATAATTATGCTCTATACATGAGAAATGTGGGGGAATGAATGAGACATTTAGTAGACTTTATTTAAGAAAGTCTTGTTCTTGAAATCCCAAGAATCATCAGAAATTCTACCTCTTAAAACTGGGATTTCTGAACCTGGAACGTAAACATCTTCGAATAAAATATCCATCTTAGCTTCTGGTGGAGAATCAGCTTCAGCAGATGCAACTTGTTCATCAACATAAGCTCTAGCAGCTTTATCATAAGATTTAATTTCTTCTTCAGTAGCAATACCTTTATCTAATAAAGTAGCCTTTAAACCAGCAATTGGATCATTTCTTGATCTCATATGTTGAACTTCTTCTCTAGTTCTGTAAGTAGTACCTGGATCAGACATAGAGTGACCACCATATCTATAAGTTTCATATTCTAAAACTAATGGACCATTACCTTGAGCAGCCCAATCTTTAGCAAATTTAGAAGCTTGATAAGTAGCTAAAACATCCATACCATTAATCTTTAAACCAGGAATATATTGACCTCTCTTGTGATATTCAACAAGAGCAGAAGATCTTGAAGCAGCAGTACCCATACCATATTTATTGTTTTCACAAGCAAAGATACATGGTAAATTCCATAATTTAGCCATATTATAAGCTTCAAATACTTGACCTTGATTTGAGGCACCATCACCATATAAAGTAAAAGCAGCAGCTTTTTGACCTCTATATTTATGAGAAAAGGCTAAACCAGCACCTAAAGGAACTTGAGCACCAACAATACCATTACCACCATAAAATCCTGGAGCAAACATATGCATTGAACCACCTTTACCATAAGAAACACCAGTTCTTTTACCCATTAATTCACCTAAAATAGCTTTAACTGGTGCACCTCTCATAAATGCAAAACCATGACATCTATAAGAAGTAATAACAGTATCTTCTTTACTAATAGCATTTTCAATTCCAACTGCAATAGCTTCTTGACCAACTGATAAATGACAGAAACCTCTAATCTTTTTAGCTTTATATAAAGCATCAGCTGCCATTTCCATTCTTCTAATAATAATCATATCCTTATACATTTGTAATAAAGTTTCCTTTTCAGTTTCAAATGATAATTCTGGAATATCTAAATTATAACCTTCAAATGATGAAGCTGGTAATTCAATTGATACTAATTCAGATGAAGAACTTGCCAAATTTCTTTTGGCAATTCTCGAAGAGACATTAGCCAAAGGACGAACGGATCTAATCATATTGTAATATTGGATCTATAGGACTGACTAATTTAACAATTCCAGACAATTCTGTCGATAAAGATAATCTCTAATAACATAAATTTTTGAAAAGTCGATTGGTGATTTTGGGTATTGCTTCGGGTTGTGCAAGCGGGAACATCCAAACATCAGGCCTTCCCAAAACTTTTTTTCCGATCTTATTTTGAAGACGGATAGGATGCTTCCGCAGAGATGCACCCGTGCCGCAGTAATTTAAGGACAAACTCGCGTGGCTCTCCCGGAGGTATAAGACCGCACGCCGGTTTGTTTGGGAATTATGGAGATGCGACTTTTTAATGGTTTATGGTGATCGTGACTTTCAGCACGTGCCCAAAAATAAAATAAAATAAATACGACTAAATAATTATTTAATATACGATGAGCGGATGATTAAAAATTAGGCTGGGTTTATGCAGCATGATTAGATTTGTGACATCTGAAATATTTTTCAGCCAAAATCTGAAACTTGCAAATAATAATCTCAAACATTTTCTTGATAGGCATTGTTACTGATTCGATGGATAGTGCGTTGACCCTGATTATAAAAACGACATTATTGTCCATTGTAGAATTCGTAACAATTGTATAGTTTATTCATAGTTTTATTTCTTTGTTTTATCACTATATCCTCATAATAATGCAAAATCCATTTCTAATATCTAACAATATTACCCCTACTACTCCACCTCCTGAACTGAGGAATGGTTGGAAAAGTAAATTTCTTAAGACTGCAAAAAGTCATATTCGTCATAATCATTCTCCCCCTTATTCTCCTCCATTTCCGGCTCCTATTCCTATGGAAGATACTTCCCCTCGTACAACTCCAATCTCAACTCCTGCAATTCATACTCATACTCATACTCATACTCATATTAAAACCAATTCTGCCACATCCTCTCCTGCATCTTCGGTCACATCGGTGATAACTAGTCCCTTTGAAACACCTCAACCATCTTCATTCTCAACCTCTCACAACAATCATTCATATTCACATACACCACCCACCGATCCAGAATTTTCAGGTAAAAATGGTGAAAACTCAACTCCTAAATCTAAAGCATTTTTTGCACCTAAAGTTAAACCATATATTATTAGTCAACAAACCTCAAATAATTCGAGTATTTCAAGAGGTAATGAAGTATGTACAATTTGTGAAGAACTGATTCAATCGAGATTGGAATTTGAAAAGACTTTAACATTAAGTTGTGGTGATATGATCCACGAAGAATGCTTTCAAGTGACTTTAGAATGTGAAGTGGAACGTCTAATGTCTAAGAACATCCTTAATTCGAATAGTACAGTCACTGATGTGGAACACAATATCATGTTTCAATATTGTAAAGGTCCTAATTGTATGAAAAAGGGAACTAAAAAGCAAATAATCCTTCAAGACAAACAATTGTATCATCATAATATACATAAATGTTTAACCAATTACAGATCTAAACATGTCAAGATTCAAAGTCCTAATGTTAAGGCACTTAGTTCTACTTTAAGAGGGTCGAAAATTCAAGCCAAAGACTTTTCAAATCCCAATGCAATTCATAGTCCTATACCAATCAGAGCTAAAGATGCCCCTGGAAGATATTCTATCTTCAATACAATCTCATCTCCACCTAAATCATTCGCAACTCAAGTTTATCCACCTCAACCACAACCACTATCTAGATCTCCATCTCCAAATCCAAGCATAGCCACTATAGATACTTCAATTGCCATACAAAATCATAAATCAGTTCAATTGGACGATTTAAGAAACCATTTCATAAAATATTTACTAGAATCATACCCAAATTTTAATTTATCTAGTCTCATAACTTTTGGATCATTAAGATTGGTTGATAAATTAAGAGTAGCAATAGATCCACCATCGTCATCTAATGTTAATAATTTCCAAGTTAAAACCGTCTACCTTTTCCAGAATGTTATACTAATATGGTCACAAAATTCTCCTTCTTTATATTTTACTCTTGATAATATTCATATTCAAACTCCACAACCTTCAATTCTCAAAATTAGTTTAAAAGATTCCGAGATATACTTAAGTTCAGATATTGGTGCAATCATTGAAAAATGGGTCATAGGAATGTCGGACTTAAAGTTTTCATTCCCACCTGAGATATTAACTTCAACCATCCCTATGCCATCCAAGACATTGGATCCTAAAATGATTAGCAATAAGATAAAGGAGCCTATGCATCATCATACCATTAAAGAAATTGACAATGTCAATGACAATGACAATGATAAAGATAATGATCTCGATTTCGATTCTGATGATGAACTAATTAAAGCTGAGCTCAATAGGAAATCATCGATCATGAATAATTCCAGAATAGATAGCATATTCCAAAAGTCCACCATAAACGATGAATATGATTCGGATGAAGATTCCGATCAAGAAGTCATTGATAAATATAAACCTAAAGATGACAATGCCTGGAATGAAATTATATCTCATATCGATAATGCTATATCCACCAACTTTTATTAATATGTATTATTATATATAGACATTTTATTTACTTCTTAATCTAGCAATGTATTTCTATCTAATTCACTTTGAATTTTCGATGTCCAAAGCTCACGTTCTTGTCTAGATCTTGCCATAAATACAATACTTCTACCAGTAATTCCTAACTTTTGAACCATTTTAGCTAAATGGGGATTCTTTTCCGTACTATCATAAAGACCCATCTCATTCCCAAATCTTGAATCATGCTTTGATATTGCCTTTTCTCTACCGGTAATTTGTCTTTTACTTCCAAACCATAATGTAAAACATCTCATTTGCTCTTCTTCTGATGATCGCCATCCATCAGGATAAATTCTTGGAATTGAATGACGATCAGGATGTTGTGAATCTATTTCTTTCAGTCTTTCCAATAAATCAATTCTTGTTGATAATCCTGAATAGATATAACAACTTGATATAGGGATAGTTAAGAAATGATTAAAAGATGCCGTTGGTTTCCAAGTACCTGAATTCATAGATCTTTTAAATATTAAGAATAATACAAGAAATCCAGGACAAAGAACAGCATAAAATTGATTAAAATTAGCATGCTTTTTGGATTTAAGATAGAGATATCCCGTCATTAAAGTATGATTTATTTCCAACCCACTTAAACTAGGACTAGCAATTGAACCTGCAAAACTTAATTTATTTGCTTCTCCATCTATATTTGAATCTACATATTCATTGATTTTTAAATTGATCTGATTCTTTCTTCTAGTCTGAATAATATTATGTAAATTAATCTTTCTATCATTAGTCCAATAATCACATAAATCTCGAAGTCTTGTAACCCATTGATCTCTAATAAATTTATTTGGAGCTTGAAGTCTTAAGATTCCTCCATTGAACATTTCTATTTCAAATACAGAATCAGTTATAAATTTATCATCTACTAAACTTGTATCACCATAGAATAAGGCACATAACATTAACTTCTGAGTTTTAGTCAGTTTATTATCAGCAATTGCTCTTATATCTTTAACAAGATGTAAATCTATCATAGCCTCTGCCTTTATTATATGTTGAGACCGTCTTTCCAACTCTTCCAATGCCGATTTATCATTATGAGAAAACTCTTGAATGTTGATATCTCCATTATCATTAAGCTTGAATGGAGTATGTTGATATACTTCATACATTGGCTTAATAGATTTTTCAATACTATCATTTGTGACTGATGGTGGAGCAGCTCGATAATACTTCGTAAAGAAAAGAATCAGACTACTTGTATAGAAATACAGAAGTTTATGAAATGAACGAAGAAAGCTTTTCTTTTTCCCAGAAGTGTTGGTTAATCGAAGTAGAAATCCTTCAATTGGTGTAGGTTCTATATCCGAATTAATTCTTTTACTATCCTTAGTATCCCTAAATTCTAAATGATACATATCAGATAACATTTGATGTTCAATGAAGAATAATTCAGAATTATATTGCACCCAATCCAATCTATCGTAATGACGAAAACAAAACCAGGGATGTTCGAGTGTTTCAATCCATGAATTATAGTTCAATTTGATAAGATTCTCCTTTATACTTTCAATTAAGTATTGAAATAATGGACTATGTTGAAGCTGAACCCCACTTGAATTCGGTATAAGAGATATATTTTCATTTCGTTTTGTTACAGTGTCAACAATATCATGAGGTACTGAAATATTTAATGATATTTTAAGGTCAGGAATTTGGATATGGAAAGTAGGATTTAATTCATGACCTAAAGCTTGTTTAATGAAATATAACCAATTAAGTGCAGAATAATTATTATGAAACTTTAATATATATATCATAGCTCCATTTTCATGAGGTACTGATAAATATATTGATTTATCAAATTCACTATAAAAATGTGCACCGACAATATCCAATAAATTAAATGATACATCCGGATACTTTTTATTTTTATCAGAGAGTATATGGATATCATACATTTGTACAGCAATAGGAGATATGGACCCTTTAGTTCTTCTTAATACAATTATAAACTCTTTACGTCTTTCATAAACTCTGGAATCACATGGTTCATCTTCTCCAAAGGATGTCATGAAATTGGTCTTTTCAACCTGCTTGATAAGTACCAAAGCTCTACCTAATTTTACTATATCACCTACTTCATATTTCTTTAATAGTCCCTGATATATTTTCTCTCGTACTTGCCATTTTTGATTTCGTTTCAAAGCATGAACTCCTGACTTATCAACAAATTTCCGTAATTTCTTCATGAATTCATTATGTTTCTTTTCCGCTACAACATATTCTTCATCATCAATATGATTCTCCGGTATAGGGATAGTCACACTGATATCCCTTGAAAGATTTTGAGATGTTAATATGGATAAATTATCAATTGATGGAATATGTTTAGGTACTTGAATACTTTTTCTTGTAGAAGTTAAAAGACTGGTAGAACTGGGAAGAGTTTTCTCTTCAAATTGAAGGATAGGACTGAAATCTATCAGATGCAGAGATGATTGCGTAGTATCATCTTCGAGATTTTGAAATTGAAATATATCAAACATGGTGTCTTGGAGATTAGGTTCGGCGTCAATATTAGTAGTTCCATTACGAGTATCGGTACCTTCACCACCAGTAGAATGAGCATTTAATGAACTAGAAGTTAAACTTTTATGTATAATGGCATCTGACAGTTTGAATTTGGTTTTAACTTTCCGTTTAGCAATGAATGATGCTCTTGCCATAAGTGTAGGTTCATGATCTTGCAGCCATATATGGGGTAATCTTCCCAATAGAATACATTGACTACTACGACTAATTGATTGTAGATCACTATAAAGTAACTTATTGGCCAATAAGGATCCTCTCGGTATTGATACCGAACTGTCATATCCATCTGCCATACTTTACCTTAACAATTCCATAGTAATTATAGATTATCTCTAGTTTATTACTAGTTGGGTGCAATATCTCATCGAAGTCTCGTGCAGGTCCAAAATTTCCTGTTCTGGACAAATACAAATTTGTGCCACGTAAGAATCCGATAGGAACTCTGTAAAATATTCACCTTAAAACATGAATTTAGATCAATTCAATGATCTGGACCTTAACGGGCTTTTCCGAATTGCCAACTTCACTGTGGCTGTTTTATCGGTATGTCTTTTACTGAAGTATTGGTAATTATTCATAGTTGTACTCCATACTAACTAATTACGTCATCTAGGTATTAGCAGGATTATTTCAATTGTTTGTGTCAATGTAAGTATGATCAATTGGAATCCATTGATAACCAGCAGTTACTAACAGTCATATAGTCAATCCGTAAGTATAATTAATTTATCATTTTTTTGTATTTAATGTGGAGTACATTTACTAACTAATTTTTAGTTTGTTACAGGGTTATACATTATTGCTTTTGGAGTAATAATCGGAGCTTTAGGTACGTAAAAATTATATTATATTATCAATTTAAGTCACTACTAAGTTACTAACCTTTTATTTAGAATTCAAAGTCCCAGCTGAAGCTTATGCTTATGGGTCATTCTTGTTCTCCTTTATCGGTAGAGGGGTCTGTAAGTATCAAATTTTATTTTAGTCAATTGGTCAATTGGTCAATCTATACTAACTCAGGATCTAGTCTACACATTGATAGGTGTAATTATCAATGGAAATAGTATTTTTAGAATCATTGCTTCTCTTGTTATATTCATAATAGGTTTAATCTATATTGGATTAGAAGCTGTTCCCAGCATATCTCCTCCAGAGAATATGAATCCCGAGGGAATCACAGTCGGAATTAACGATGAAGACATTATCTAGGATTCCATTTATCATATTATATCATATTATGATATTAGTATTATAATCATAAGATTAGTTTATAGTTCAGTAATATATATGTATATATATTATATGAGTCTAATTTGTATAGATTTTCACACGTGACATAAGCGTGACTTTCACGTGAAAATCACGAAAAATTAAATATAATAAATAAATATATATACAAACAATTAACTACTAAGTACCTATAAACTAACCTTAAACTACGACTACCACACAATGGAAGCAACTTCTACTACAGAAGCTCTACTGCGTAAGCTTCAGGAGTTGCACTACATTGTACATGACCCTTTATTGGGTAATTTAGAGAACGACAAGTACTTTGAAAATGCTCCTAAATATACATCACTTGAACAAGTATTCAAAGCTAATGACTTAAAGGATTCATTATTAAGAGGTATAGATAAGTATATGTTTCGTCCTACCCCACTCAAACGGAAGTATGAAGATGAGTTAGTAAGTCCACCTGTAAAAATAGCCAAGACAGAATCATCTAAACCTTCAGTAAGACATAATAAATCTGCTGTAGAATCACTCCAAACTCAAGATGAATTAGATGAACAACAACTTAATGAATTCCTTCAAAAAGATATTAAAACCCTTGAAATCCTATCAGTACCAGAACATTATCCTACCAAACCTCATACGGTATCGTCATTGGCTGAATTATATTATTTAACTCAAACTCTTCCCTTAACTAAATTACTTCCTGGAAGTCATAAAGTATTAGTAACTGATAATTTTGAACTGGCACTTTTAGAAGGAAAGATTGCTGTATTATATTCAAGAATCGAAGAATTAAAACGTCAAGGTAAATGGTCACTTCGACAACCACAAAAGTTTTATGATCCTTTCTCATATAAGAAGAAGACAAAGAAGAATACTTTCCATTGGGATAATTTATTACATGAAGCTAAATGGATGGCAGAAGACTTTAAAGAAACCACCAAGTTTAAGAAATTTTGTTGTGTTATGATAGCAAATGCAATTGAAGAGTATTGGATAAAGGGTAAAGAAGTATGTATTAATCGTAAACCAATTCGTACTTTGGATGAAGTAAATGATATAGAAATACCTACGGTTGAAGAAGAACCAACTATAGATGTTGATCAACTATTGGCCCCATCTGAATCTGAAGTTACTACCATTCCACCAGTTACCACCACCACTACCACCACCACCACCATTACCAAAAGACATTCAGGACCATTCAAACCATATATAGACATGAATGAATTTAAGAAAATTGATCAATCAATCATTAAGAACTTACCGAAATTCACAGCCTTTGATGATCCTGCTATACCTAATCCTGTTCTTAAACCTCATGATACTCCATTAGCTGCTGTATCTCGATTACTTCATCCCTTTGAAGATGATGATGATTGGTATAAGATTATCTTAAAGGAGCCTATTAAAACTCGTACTCTGGGACCACCAGAATATCAAAAGGGACTCTTTGGATTTCAATCTCATCGTAAATTCAATCCATTAAAACCTCCTAAACCTCCATTAATTAAGAATATCGAATATAGATCTCCAACCATTTGGTTACCTCAAGATGATAAATATCTTATTCATTATGTTGCTGAATTTTGTTTTAATTGGGAATTGATTTCGGAACATTTATCTGCTTCGAATTCTTCATCGAGTTTAAAGAAATATGAATCTAATATTGAAAGAAGAACTCCTTGGCAATGTTTTGAAAGGTATATTCAATTGAATGAAAAGTTTCAATTTAGTGATATGAAAGGGTTATATGCTTATCATGCTCAACAATGGTTAGAACAAGCTCATCGAGCTCAACTGACAACTAAACGAAGAATATCTCCTTTAGGGGTTGGAGCTGAATCCATTCAAAGAGGTCATAGAAGATTAAGATGGGGTTCAATGTTTGATGCTATGAGGAAAGCTATGAAGAAACGTGAATTGGCTATAGCTAAAACTAATAGTCAAAGACGTCCAACTACTGATTATTCCTCGAATAATTCTGCCCCAAATCAAATCTCTAATAATAATAATAATAATACCACTCCGGGACAAGTTAAAAGAAATGTCGATAGAGTACCTAGTCCAGCGGAATTATCGAAATTGAAATATGAAAGAGATAAATCGATTCAAGAAGCATACTTGAATCAACAAGCTACTAGATCTCGTATGATGGCTGCTGTAGCTCAACAACAAAAGACTCAACAAGGTATGGTTGGTGGTGCCAGACCTCCACCAACTCAACCAGGTCAACAATCATCATCTCAACCGGGTCAAGCTCCATCCCAAACTCCAGTTCCAACAAATGGAAATGGAGCGGTATCACAATCTCAACCAGGTCAAGGACAAGGTAGAATAGGTTCTAGTAAATCTGATGGATCTAATAGTACTCAATCCTTACCACAACTGCAACTGTCAACTCCTGTTATTGCTAATGCTCCTATCAAAAGACCCACTACGCCAAATGGTACTCCATACACGGCTGAACAAATTCAACAACTCTTACAATTCCAAAAACAAAGACGATATATGCAACAGCAACAACAATTACAACAACAGGGTAAGCAACTGGGTCCAGGAGGTCCAGTTTCTGTTGCAGGTAATTCAGCCAAACTTAATACTGGGCTCACCCCTAATGCTAATGTTCCATTACAAAACCAACCTATTGTACAAGCACAACAACAGGGACAAGGACCTAACAAAAGTCCTATGATGAATGTTCCATCGACTGCCAATAGTCAAAAGCCTCGTATTCATTTTGCTCCTGCCCAAGTTTCGGCTATTATCAATTCCATTCAACAGAAGAATCCTAACTACAGTAAAGAACAAGTCACTAAATTGGCAGCACAATATCTTGCCAATCTTCAGCAACAGCAACAGAACCGATTCAACCAACAACAACAACAACAGCAGCAGCAACAACAACAGAATCGACCTCTGAATGCAAATAGTCAGTACATGTCTTCAGCCAGTGCTTCTCCAGTAATGAAACAACAACAACAACAGCAACAGCAACAGCAATTGGCCAACTTATCACCTCAGGATAGAAACCAATTGCTCATGATGAAGAATAAGGCCAATCCGCCTACCCCACAGCAATTGCAACAGCAATTACACCAGCAGCAGCAATTACAACAATTACAACAAGCACAACTTCAACAGCGAGCTATGGGAGGTTCGAGTGGTAATAATAGTGCAGGAGGTCCAGCAAGTTCGCCTACGCCTCCAGGTGGAGCTGATGGGAATAGTATCTCTAAGATAGAGTATGAGCGTAGGAAGCGATTGCTTATCCAGAAACAGCAGCAGCAGCAGCAACAACAGCAACAACAGCAACAGCAGCAGTAGTGAATAGTTTTTACTGAGAGTCCGCTAGATGCCGCGCCATACCGCCGCCTCCCTCCCCGTAGTGTAAGTACGCGTAGCGAAAAAAAATATATGCCAGTGAAAAATAGCGCTAAGTAAAATAGTGTAGTACAGTACCTGATCCAGTACCGCTAGTGAAGCTAGCTCAGTACCAGTGGAGCACCAGTTCAGGAGCAGTTCAGTAGAGTTAGCGAAGAATGGATGGTCGAGCCCCTAGAGATCTACGGGAAGTTCTCAGTATCAGTCCGTTACTTCATCTTATACCGAAACAAGATAGTGGAGCATTAAATAGTAGTCGGCTCACGGTAACGAGCCAGCGACTTAGTACCACCACTACCACTACCACCACTAAAGCTCAGTATACTATAGACAACCACACTGAGTTAATGAATGAATTAGCGAGCGAATTCACCCTGTTCGTGGCAACCGATCCTCACATCATTAGTTTCAGCGACAGACCCACTAAGGCGAATGAAAATGCTTCAGTAGTCCCCCTACCACTACCACTACAGAGTACAGAGAATACCATATACAATTCGAGTCAATTTCTTAACACAACAGTACCGAATCCCATCAAACAGTATATGCTCAATCGACCAGTCCATCATAGTCGACTTTCCATTCGGAAATCTTATGAAGTAGACGATGTATCGAAGACCAAAGTCCATAACGAGACGTATCTCCGAAAGTTCTATAAGGAACTCGGATATAGTGGGATAATGAGGAATTCTAATGAACCAGACCGAGTTATTGCTAAACGACCATATATAGATATGGACGAAGGAGCTGGAGCTGGAGCTGGAGCTGGAGCTGAATCTGAAACCATTACGTTTAAAAGGAAACAAGAACCAGACACAGTCGCAGCCGCAGTGTCAGTAGCTCAAGTCATACCCATCAATGATGAATTAACAAAACTTATGGAAGATGATGATATTGATATCACAGTAAATTGGAGACTAATGCGTATATATGATCTCATCCAACAGTCCAATGAACCAATAAGTATTGATAATCTCAGTAAAATTCAAAAGTATAGTTATTCGCAAATCCTTACTGAAGATATTTCCGATAAGTTAACTACCATTATGAGTATAGTTGATGGAACTAATTCAACTAATTCAACTAATTCAGATATACCTCAATTTAATATAACCACCAGTATAATCTCCCAATACTTTTATGCTAGTAAGATCATTATGACTATACTTAATGGAAAGAATTCCGATAAAAGCTTATTCTTAGAAGAATATTTAAGTGCATGTATTGGATTTGTTAATGATATTTGTACTAATTTAATTATCCCGCTTGCATTAAGAAGAGATAGTTCAATTGAAGTTTGTTCACTTATAAAACCATTTTTATCATCATTACTTATTAATATAATTGATTTACTTCTGAGTCTTTGTAATCATATAATGGTATATGATATTTCTGAACATATAATAACTAAAGTTGAATATTTATGTATATTAATGTTATTTACTGATATCGATAGAAAGGAGAAAGTGCCGCTTATTTCAATTCAATCATTTGATTTACTTAAATTAGAAGTAATTAATTTAATTACAAAGATATTCCAAAAGTATACTGATCAACGAGAATTCTTATTGGTAGAAATCCTTGATAATATTATTGTTAAATCCACTAGTAAATCTGGATCTAAATTCACATTATCTAATGGATCCAATATAACAATAACTAGCTTAATCTTATTAAAAATGATTCATTCAGATCAAAGTAAAGTGACTACCGATTATTCACAAGTAGAAGCAGAATTCGCCATATCCATAGGGATTTCTAATTTAATTGGATCATATATGATATCTAAATTAGGCCCCAATTCCGAGGGCAAATTCCGAATGGCAATTCAACAATTAATAGAAGATGTACTTAATGTAATTGAACTTCCAGAATGGTCAATGTCAACATTACTCTTATCTGGTATAGCTGTTACTTTAATGAATACTATACAAAAGGTAGAAATCTCCGATACGTTCATGTTAGATATTCTTGGACTAATGATCCATAAGATATCTCAATTGAAATCATCAAGTCGAACAGTTCCGTTAATTCGATTGGATCCTCATAGTTCTACAAATGATATAACTATATTTGAAAATCAGTGTGGAACGATTCTTAACTATGTAAACCATAAGGATATATTTGATAAACATACGCTTGTACTGTTCCTAAGTAAGAAGCTTATTAACTATTTGATTCCATTATATAAAAGTGATGATACCAAAGAGAAAGAATCATTGAAAAGGGCTATAGATAACTTAATAGGGTTCCCTAAATTGATGTCAGAAGTAGTAGATGCAGCCAAAACCAACGCTAACCATAATCACGAGTATACGAATATCATAGTAACATATGATATGACTCTAATGTATGATAATATGTTAACTATATTGGTTAGAGCATTAGAAGGTTCACGTATTAAAGCTAAAAGTAGAGCCATTCGAATCTTATCTACGGTGATTGAAACAGATGCATCAGTATTAATTATTCCAAAAGTTCAAACTGCCATATCTAATCGATTAACTGATGGATCAGCTCTGGTAAGAGATGCCGTAATTGATTTAATAACTAAGTATATGAATCAAAAATCAAAGTATATTGAAGAATTCTATATTCCATTATGTGAATGTATGAATGATGAAAGTGTACAAGTTCGAAGGAGAGTTATAAAACTTGCCAGAGATATGTATAGTATAATTACTATTAAATCAGCTAAAGTATACATTGCCAATAAATTATTAAGAAGATTAAATGATGAAGAAGAATCATTACAAGAATTATCGAAACTGATCTTAATGGAGATATGGTTTCCAAAATATGAGGAAACTTTTTCTTCTTCTTCTCCCATCTTGCTGGATAAATCAATTGAAAATCGGGTAGAAGTAATGACTGAAGTTGTAAATAGTAGTTCTAAGAATCTTAAGTATTTTGAGAATTTCATGCAAGTGATATATGGTAATTCTAACCAACAGGCTATCATAAAGTCAAGATTACTTATTCTAGTAAAGGTTCTAATGAATGATATTTGTGAGGGAACTAAGAAGAATCCTCAATCAGTATTGAAATTGTTAGTAACATTAATATCCATTGATAATCTGTTATTAGATCAGGATCAACTTATTAGTTTACAACATTTCATTGTTGAGGAGGGACCTCAAGCCGATATCAATAGAATGCATACATTAATGATTATTAGAAAAACTATGGGATCAATTAAAGTATTTAGACCGATATTTTTGAATAATATTCAAACTTATTTATTAAAACAATTAACTAAATTCAGTGTTCGAGATCTTCATGAAGCCATGCCCATTATTTGGCATCTTTGTGAAGTTAAAGGAGATTCAATAAAGTTAGCCAATGCCTCCATATCCTGTATGAAACATATTAAATCAATTATTGATAGTTCAAGACAATCTGGTTCTGTTTCTATTTCTGATTCTGGTTCTGGTTCTAAGGCTCCTCCATTCAATGGGAAATTATTGAAATTATTACATTTATTAGGACATTTTGGTAGATATTGTCAGTTTGAAAAGTTCAGATCTCAATTCATGAAATCCTCATTAGGTTTAAGAGATCGAGAATCCATTTCTAGTTTAATGATGAAATTCTTATTATATTTTAGTAAGAGTGATAGGGATGATCTTACCAGAGCTACTGCCATAACTAATATAACTAATATTTGTTGTTCCCATCCTAAACTTTATCTTTCAGAACCTGTACTTCAAGTTCTTGATCATGAATTTAATGTAGGTAATCCTTCTATAGTTAATCATATTATTCAAGGATTTATGGAATTTACTAAAGGTGATGATGAAGGAGATGGTTCAACTGATACATATACTTGTTTAAATGATATTAATAATACTAACAATATTAATAATATTCAATTGAATCTAAATGATGGAGTATGTTCAGGACTTATTCAAAGATATTTAACTAAGATTCTTGAATTTTGTTTAAAGGATGAAGGTAAATTATCTCATAGTGCTATCCAATTCTTACAATTTGTAATGGGTCAAGGTCTTGCTAATGTTCGATCATGTACTCCTACTGTGATAGCATTAGTGGCTAGTCAAAATCCTCTGATTAAGAGTAATGCTAAGGATATGTTAAAGGATGTGTATGAAAAACATGAAAGTTTAGTTCAAAGTAGTGTTTTAGATGGTGTTCAAAAGGCAATTACATATCGATCACAAATCTCCGCTGAATTCTATAATGAAGGAGATTTCATATCTACACTTTATTGTCAATTAACTAAATCAGTATCAAGTAAGAAGAAATTTATCGCCACCATATGTCGATGTCTTCAAATAACTACTGAGTTAGAGGAGATTTCTAAACTTGAATATCAAAGAAATAAAATCTTATATATGAGTCGAAACATTGCCGATATAGAATTTCTGATATTTGAAGAACCCGTCTCGATTATAAATTGTATTGATGAGATTTTAATTCGTCAAGGTAATGATTTACGATCACTCACTGAATCAGTTGAAGTGATTAGTTTCAAAATGATAATCTTATCGCAAACTTTATTATCTTTATTACAATTAAGAGAATTCTTATGGAATAGATATGGTATTACTACTGAATTATTACAACCTAATAATAGTAGTATATTAAAACAGAATTTGAAAATCCATCTGACTATTAAATTTAACTTACCCTTACCTACAAGTACAATTAGTACAGATGAAGATCCTATGGAACAATCATTTATTGTATCGAGTTTTCTACAATCAATTGCCAATTTTATATAGTTATATAGTTACGAATCTTAATGTATTTACGTGTTATGATTATATAGTACAGGTGTAGATGTAGTTGGTTCAGTAACACTCACAGAGTCATGTTCAGACTCAGTCTCAGACTCATGTTTATCAACTTCTGATTTAGACTTCTGAGCTGCCAAAAGTCTTAAAGATCGAGGAAACTTAAATCCTTCAATCTTAGATTGGCGAATGTTCATAAATGTCCCAAAGGCAATGTTCTCATCTGGATAAACTTGGAGATTAACAGAATCATAAGTGACAACATCCTCCAATTCCTTTATGAGTGGTTTCTTTGGCTTTGGTTTGACTGTTGGTACTGGTTTGGATTCTGGTTTCTGGATCTTGACCTTTTTAACTTGAATTGGTATAGGGACTTGTCTAGCCTTTGATGGACCTCTGTGTTTCCTTTGCTGTTTCTTTTGTTGTTGTTGTTGTTGCTGTTGTTGCTGCTGTTGTTGCTGTTCCTGTTCCTGTTCTTGTTGTTCTCTTTCAAGTTCTATTTCGAGTTCTCTTTCTTCTTCTCGTTGTTCTTCTGGTTCTTGTTTCAATACAGTCGGGGGATGTATAGGGTCTATTATTAATGTATAGCCATTATGAAGTTTAAGCCTAATAGTGGGACCTAATCTCTTACGTCTTTCCACTCTTCTTCTTTCTCGTAGAGTAGCAATATCAGCAGTATACTCATCATGTTCAATAACTACATGACGCAATCCAGTATCGAATTCTTTAATTTCATTATTCAATGCATCATTTCTTCTTCTCCAATTATCATGTTTTCTAATTAATTTATCTAATTCTGTAATTGTTAATGCTAATTTTTGTTCTAGTTCATCATAATCTTGAGGATTATTAATATAACATATACTTGGTAAATAACGAATCCAATCATATTGATGAAGTAATTGTAATTGAGATTGTAAATTATCTACTTCAGATAAAATTCTCAGACGATCTTCATTAGCCATAATTCTTTCATCCCTTTTCATCTTCTTATGAAATATATCATAAATAGATGGATCAAGGGGATCATTTAATTTCGATGATCTTCTAGGAATTAAATCATGAGTTACTTGAACATTACTAACTTTTGAGGTTGTACTATTCTTCTTATTAATATCAATATTTCCATTATAAACATAAGGATTAGTAAATGATAATTCAGTAGTAACGGTTATAGATTTATCACGATAAAGGATTTGATTAATATTATCAAAGTTAAAAAGTGCGGTATTCGCAATTCGACTACTGTCATCATTCGATCGTAACTTTCGTTTACTTTCCGCACTATCCTGTACAGTCATCTCGTTAATTGTAAACAGTATAATTACCTCTATTCGCTAAAAGGATCTCATGATACTTGCACTGCTTTTTCGCTTACCATCAAAAATAATTACGCGTTTCGTAAATTGTAAATTTATCATATACTGTATCTTAATCATATTTGGTAAATTTAAATTTAAATTTAACAACTAACAACTAACTAATAACGAATGGCATGATATTAAAGAGGAAAGATAAATCCGATAATTATATCGTGCCACCCAATGTGTCACCGGTTATATCGCATTCTCCTAAATTACTAAATACAACACTAAAAGATATTGACATTGATATTAAATCAATTTTTCAATTAGTACTGGCAAGACTAGTAGTCATTTTATTAATAGTATGGTTAATCCTTATACAATATATGGAAAGATCATATCCTAAGCATGTATTACAAAAATGTCAATGGCAAAATTGGGAATCTTGGACAAGTGATTCACAACCTCAAAGAATTGCCCTAGTAGCTGATCCTCAAATAATTGACGATTATTCTTATAGTGGTAGACCCAGTATTCTAAATTATTTTGTTAAAAGAATTACTGATAATTATCTTCATAGAAATTATCGATATATGCAAGATTTACTTGATCCTCATACAACCATTTTCCTTGGAGATTTATTTGATGGTGGTAGATATTGGGATGATAAAACTTGGTTTGAAGAATATAAAAGGTTTAATAGAATATTTCCTCCAAAAGTTAATCGATTAACTATTACATCTATACCAGGAAATCATGATATTGGATTTCAAATTATGGATAAAAAAGTTATAAATCGATTTGCTTCAGTATTTGGAGAATTAAATAATGTTATGGAATTAGGTAATCATACATTTGTATTATTAGATTCTATTTCATTATCTTCTGAAGATAAACAAATAAATAAAGAACCAAGTGAATTTCTTGCTACAGTCAAAGAACATGTTAATCCAAAATTACCTACAATATTACTTACTCATGTTCCACTCTACAGATTTAATGATAAACAACTTTGTGGATCTAAACGAGAATCAAATAAGTTATTCCCTATTCAAAAGGGTGATCAATATCAAACGGTTATTAATTATGAATTATCTCAAAAGATTTTAAGTACCATTGGTCCATCATTAGTATTTGCTGGTGATGATCATGATTATTGTGATATTCAACAACCATATTGGTATCAAAATAAAGATGCAACTGCTCGAGAAATAACCGTTAAATCTGCATCAATGAGTAGTGGAATTAGATATCCTGCTATTCAATTATTATCTCTTAATAATCCTTATAATTTAATTGATCATTTAGGAGAAAAAACTGTTAATACATATGAAACAGAAATGTGTTATATGCCTCATCCTTATTATTCATTAAGGATGTATATACTTGTATATATTATGTTTATTGGACTTTTGGTGTTTAAGTATCTTAAGCCAGATATCACTAAAATTAAATCATTATTGAGTAGGAATGGGAATTCTCCAGAATTACCTACTTATGATAATGCAAAGACTAAATTAAAACCTCGATCACAATTTGTTCCTAATAAAAAGGGATTTATAGTTAATTTGATAGTGGCCACAGTAATTCCATTATCGATACTTAATAGTTATTATTCAACTATATAGACGTGTGTATATAATGTATATAATGTATACATAACTAATACAATCTAACGCTTTATGCTTAGAAATCTTTCCAATACTCGAGGATTAAAATCAGCTCGTTTAGAAACATATTGTCTTACAGTATATGGTTTTAAATTAGCCAATTGACCTTCAGTAACTAAAGAATTTATTAAATCAGCTCTAACGGTAAACAAATTACCAATTTCCTTTAATAATTGGAAATTCTCTGATAATTCACCATTACCCCATTTATCAATAATCGATTGATATCTAATTACATCTTTAGTAAGAACAATTCCACCAGTAGAATTAACCGTAAACTTTTTATAATGTTCTAATAATTGATTTAAGAAATTGATTCCAATCTTATTAAGGAAAGAATCTAAATTCTTACCATTTAAACTTGAAGAAGCTTGAGTATAAATTGCTATAAGAAATTCACTAATATCTTCACAAGCTTCAGTATCATCTTCAATTGTATCACAATAAAAATCTTTCTTCTTTTGTTTAGTTAAAAAGTAAGTAATTTTATTTGCTATAACTTCTAAAGTTTCTGTTAAAATTATATTTAATGATAATTCACATCTGGAAACATAACTATTAGTTAAATTAATCATTCTATTTTTAATATTAGGAGTATTAATTGAACATGGTAATATAATCTTTTTAATACATGAAGATATTAAAAATAATACTTCACTAACAAGATTGAAAGTTGTTAAATAATTAAGATCAAATGATGAATTGGAATTAACTTTTGAACTAATACTTTCTTGTTTAAGATGATCATAAATTACTTCTAAACCTCCTCCCACATAAAGTCTACCGAAATCAAATAAAAGAATTTCTAATATTTCTAAAGAATATTCTGGTACTTTATTTGGAACTAATTCAAGTATCCTAGCTATTGATTCAATAGCTGATTTTAATATAATTTCTACTTGATTAATATTAATATTTTTAGTGGTAAAATCAGGAAGATTATTTTCAAAATCAACAGAATTTCTATCAGTTAATTTAGCTTTAACATAATCTCGGAATTGATTTAATCGTTTCCTTTCTAAAAATTTAAATCCAAATTTATCTCCATGACCTGCTGCTTGTTCAGAATTCCGAATTTCAAGACTATCTAAATTATCAATCTTTGTAGATAATGCATTAGTAGTTATAGCTCGTTCATTATATGTATGAAAAGAATGAACCACTCCAAAAATTAATTCTTCTAAATTCTTCTTTTCTCTGCCAATATAAATTTGATCAGAAGTATATTCAATAAATATATCATAATATGATTGATCTAATATTGAACTTAATTCATCATCTTTATCGAATTCTTCAACTGTAACAAAATTCTTTAATTCTTTAGTAAAATCTCCTACTAATATATATAATGTATGTAATATTCGAACATGAGCTAATGAACTTACTGATAATGAAAATTGTAATAAAGTTGATACTTTATTTTGAATGATTTGAGCATAAACTCTTTGAATAAAGATTTTAACTACTTGAACTGGATCTTCAAATATCCTTTGTGCTTCTCTGGCTCTACCCTTTATTACTGCACTGGCAAAATTTAATATTTCTTCAGTTGAAGGATCTTTAATTATTTCACCAAATTTAGGATCTGATAATTTAGCCCAAATAGTTTCATTATCAAGAATTGAATTAATTTCCATTTCTTCAGGAGGAAAAATATCACTTTTACTAATATAAGTTTGTACTACACTTACTCCACCATTAAATGCAAATAAAATTTTGGATATTTCATTTAAAATATCAAAATTATCACCATCTAATGCCACTTCAAATTTATTTAAAAGGGCTCTTTCCATATTTTCACTATACTTTTGTATTGCTAAACTACATTTAGTAGTTTTAGATAATTCAGGTGATTCAATCTTTTTAGCCAAAGTTAATAAATTGGCTACAACTTTAGCACATCGTATTCTATTATCAAATGATTTACTTGTTCTTAAAGTTTCTAGAGGTTCATACTTTTCTTTAGTATAAAATCCATGATAAGCTCGAATTAAAAAAATGGTTTCAGTTGATTGATCTCGAGAACTGGTGATTTTATTTAAGGAATTGGCCAATGGATTAATTCTAACTGATACTTCTGATATATTACTATCTAATATAGCAAAATTATTAATTGAATTTGAGAATCTATCAGTTAATTTAAGTACTTGTTCACTATGTTTTAATTCAACTGATGATACTTCTGATTCACTCTTTTGTCTTATTTGTTCTTGTCTCAGTTGCAATTGTTTAAGTTCTCGTAATGTAGATTCAAATGTTCTTATATATGGTTTAGGATCAAGATACTCTAATTTATTAACTTCAGCACCCTTTTGAATATGATCTTTACTAAGAATTTCTACAAATTCATTAATAGATTTCCCCTTAAGAAAGTTATCGGGCTTTAAATATTCCTTAATCTTTTCATCTAGATCATAGATTGAGAATCCACTCATATTTATATTGGTTACTAATGCAATTGTTGAGTTAATATGTAATTTATTATGGTTAACTATATACGGTGTTATGGTTCCGATACTGGTAGGTGTGCATGTTCCTGCATAGAGCCATAGCCGACTATAACGAAGACCACACACTCTACCCTCTACTTTGGCTTAATGTTAATGTTACACTGGTTACTACTCAAACTTACTACAGTACATAAATGAATGCTAATTGATGTAAATTTAATAAACTAGTAATATATAATATAATATAATATATAATATATAATATAATATATAATATAATATATAATATATACGAAACCTGGTTCAATAAAGAACAAGAATCTTATAGTTGACTAAGTATCACATTTAGTTAGCCTTGAAGGTGATGTGACACTTACCACAGTATTGTCTGTCCTTCATGTTAGCCATGAAGACACCAGCACCACAGGTTGGTTGAGGACATTCTCTTCTTAATCTTTCAACCTTACCTTCACCATCAACCTTATAGTAGGTTAAGACAGCTAATTTGTGCTTTCTGTGCTTGTGCTTAATCTTCTTTGGGGTAGTGTAAACCTTCTTCTTTCTCTTCTTACCACCACCTCTTAATCTTAAGACTAAGTGTAAAGTAGATTCCTTTTGGATGTTGTAATCAGATAAAGTTCTACCATCTTCTAATTGTTTACCAGCAAAGATTAATCTTTGTTGATCAGGTGGAATACCTTCTTTATCTTGAATTTTAGACTTGACATTGTCAATAGTGTCTGAAGATTCAACTTCTAAGGTAATGGTCTTACCAGTTAAAGTCTTGACGAAAATTTGCATTTTGGCTTGTCCGCAAGATATGCTTCTTTCTTACCAAGAGTATGTAGTTTCAAAATCTTTAAACCACTTGTTAGAAACAACGTTAGTGAAATATTAAATTTTTTTTTAGCCTGTGTCTGTCTGGCGAAGGCGAGCGAGAAGAGAGAAAAAAAAAAAAGATATTAAATTTTGCATATGGCTAGTCACGTGTATATTTCATATAGTGAGCATTGTCTAGGGATAGAGCCCTAGTGATTAATTCTAATAAACATACTAAGATGATCTTCAGGTGCACATCCTAATTGGGAAGTCTACACCGTATACAGTATTCCGCAACCACGCAATTCTGGGAAATGACCACTTCACAGCCATTGATCATGAAGCAATTTATTTGACATTAATCATTGTCATTTTTAAATCATCTCGTAAATCATTTGGCATGATCGGGGTCCAGATTAAAATTGACATAACTCATATTACTATTTAACTTTTTATAATATATATAATATTTATACATACTTGTAGTTATAATAGCTTAATACCCACTTTCCTTTTTCTCAAATAGGGGTTGCGAGCCAGTAGTTGCTACACAACGCACAGTTTAGAATAATATTAATTACATCAATTATTAGCAGATTCATTATATAAATATCCTACATCAAGCATTGAATTGCTTAGTTTGCATTTAGCATTTTGTATTTCTTGTTCGAGTTAAAGATTGTTTTCATCTTCATCTGTATTTGACATACATCTACCATATACCATATACCATATACTATATATCCTAGTAACTCATTGATAAAAACCATATGAATAATAAAATATAAGAAATTAATTTCATATATGAATGATTGGTGATAGTGTATTGAACAATCGACGTAATTTGTCTATCGATGGTGGACATGCAGAAATCAGTAGTGCTCCTGAATCGAAAAGAATTAAATTACCGCCTATTCATTTTGATAATGAGTTTTTAAATCGATTGATCAATAATAATAATTCGTCTGATTCATCCTTTTCCTTCAAAAGAAGTAAACGTAAGAAGTCCTTATTTAGGAGGATCATTGATGCTATTTTATGTCGTACTTAATTCCATTGATATTAAATATCTAAGTCATCATCATCATCGTCATCGTCATTTTCATTAATTGATTTATTCAATCTATTTCCATTCGATAATCCAAATTTTATACTTTTACGATTAATTATGTTTCTTACTAATAAGTAATTTTCAAAAGATTCATAACTTGGATTCACTGCATTATTAAATTTTTCAAAACCAACAATTCTATCAACTTCAATGGAATTTTTATAGATTATTATAAAGGGTAATATTTTAATTTGTAATTTATTAACTAAAAATGGAGCTAATTCAGCTTTAATTCTTATTATCTTTAATTGTAGATGCTTCTCTGCCAAAACATTTAAATATTTATTCATTAATTGACATTTTTGAAAATTTGGTTGATAAAAATGAACTATAGTTATTGGATGTTGTAATACTATTTCCATAATCTTTTTCTCATTAGTAATGTTTTCAACATATCCAAGATCTTCTTCATCATCATTACCACGATTCTGAATCGATTGTTTAATATTCTTTAATTCTCCTGATAATTGTTGAATTCTACTTTCTCTATACTTAGCTAATATATCATCACTTTCATCTTCCAACTGTTGTAATAACTCATCATCATCTACTTCTTCAAAGTCAGACGATGGTTCACCATCTCGTATAGACTTTAATTTAGATTCCTGATATGCCTCTATATGCCTAGATTGATTATAATCCAACATGTCTGTATTTTCACAGTCTTAACTACTATAATACAAATTGAATTCGTCAAAGAAAAAACATATACACAGATACACACACGCGTTTCAGAATTGTATAGGCGATTCCTCCAACAACGGTAATTAGTATGAAATTTTATACTATACTTATATGTACGATGGATCTACTAGTTTAAGGATATCGTTAATAGCCTTGACATTCAGTTGGACCAACTGTTTATAACTTTCTTGTGTGGATGATGTAATTTCAGATGTCTGTAATAATTTAATGGACTTGATCAAATTCTCATCAATTTGTTTAACTGTTTGTAAGATCATCTCTAGTTCTAGAAGGATAGACTCTTGTTGAGATTGTATGGATGTACTTGGCCTAGTGGTGGCAGCTGAGTTAGAACTTGTCATTATCCTTACTATGATAAATGATAGTTACAAGTACAAAGTGAGAGTTACTACTTTTTTGTTAGAGTCCAAAAAATGCGATTGTATATGAGCCGTAAACTATGTATAATGCTATAAATGCTATAAATGCTAAGATTTTAATTTGATGATATACCATAAATTAATAAAATTATAATATGGTATAAATGCTGGTTGAAACTCTATCGAGCAGTTTCAATATATTTTTGATTTTGAAGTTGTTGCTCAAGCTTCTCTAATTGTAATTTATGCTGTTTCTTTTCGATTTCTCGATCTTTTATGATTTCCGTTAATAAATTTCTTAATTCGTTATTTTCATGAATAAGTTCGATTTTGATCTTTTCATTATCATTAAATTTAGTTAATAAATAATTGAACTCCTTACATAATTTTAAATAAGTTGTTCTTAATGTGGTGAATAAAGATATCAATTTCGAAGTACTGATCATTGATTGTTTTAAAGTCATCACTGTATCAGGATTGATCTTACTATTATTTTGATTATCATTCTCATTAAATGTGGTGTCTGTTGTGGCTGAGGAGCCGATATTTTCATCTGAAAGTGAATCAAATGGAGAATTCTTGTCATTAATGGTGGTCGTAGCTGATGAGGTAGATGATAAAAGTATATCATCATTATTATGGGAGGAGATTGCATTATCTTCAAATCCATTAATGGTAGATAAAACTCTATTAATTTCATCATCAAGTTTGCTTTCTTCTGGAGATGGAATTGAAGCATTAATCTCATTAAAAAGTTTGTCTATTTCTAGATCTATGATTGCTTCATTGTTACTGTTACTAGTATGAGTATCAGATTCTAACTTTTGTCTTTTTGCTAAGGGTTCATCATAAAATATTGTGTCTGAAGTTATTGAAGTTTGTTCATGAGTTGTTTTTAGTGTTGATGATGATGACAATGATGATTTAGACGGCATGCTCTTGTAGAGGTGATCTTATTCCCCTTCTTAAGTATATATTAGTACATTTACATATTAGACTAAATATTGAAAAATAAATTTTAGATGAGATGGAGTTTTATGCAGGTGCGTCACAATAATAAATTTCTACAAAAGTATACGAAAGTAAAAGATCAAATCATAATATTAGTTAAGAAGTAGATTAATGAATGAATGAGCTATGTAGGACTATTTACAAGAACTAAACCTCTCTAATTACAGGCATAAAAATAAAATGTATAACTTTTGAAATAAAGATTTTTCAGGATATCATAAAGATATGGATGCAAATATGAAATGAAATAAATAAATAAATAAATTAATGAATAAATAAATAAATGAATGAATGAATTAATGTTAATATACAACGGAAATAAAAGTTGAAATGAATGGATGAATGAATGGAATAAAATAAAATAAAATAGTTAAGCCAATTAATTGACTTCAGTTTGTTGAACTGGAGATTGAGTAACATTCTTATTAAATTTAAAGATACCCAACTTACTGACTTCATTAACGACATCATTAGTCTTCTCACTAACTTCGTTGTTAATGTCTTTTAAGACATCAGATACGAAAACTCCACTTTCTTCCCATTTTCTTGATAAAGTATCTAAAACACCTTCAAAGGCTAATTTTCCTGTTTTGGCGTTTTGACCAAAACGTTCAACCGACCACTCTTCTAATTTATCACAAATTCTACTAATGGTAGCATAAGCGGTAATTTCAGCACTTTGTTGAAATAAAGTTCTTGTTTTCAATTCTGGATCAGGTCTATAAATAACAGTTTCATTAACTAATAAAATATGATTCATAGTTAAATTATGAGACTTCATAACCAAAGTATTATTAACTAAATCAACTTCACTAACTTCACGAACATAACTTAATTTCTGACCTCCAACAATAAATGATAACCAATTAGGTATAGCTTGTTTACATCCAATAAGTCTTTCAGTTCTTAAAGTTTTATTTTCAACATCAATTTCTCTAGCAAGTATATCCACAGAAACAACATGAGTTGATAATTCATTAGGATATTTTTGCCAATTGGCTGCCGTCACTTGATCCCAAGGATAATTGAAATAATGTTTGGTTTCAAAAAGTTTCATTGACTTTGTGTGTATATATGATGATAATCGTACTCGATCTATAAATTTATAAACTATAATTTAATATGCTTATGGGATAATTCGGGATTTGGATTTGGATTTTTACACTCCTGAAGTTTTTTCTCACTTCTCAATGATCTATCGTTTAATTATGATATAAGGATAATAATAGATCAACTTATATGCCTTTATGTATATAATAATAAATATACAAAACTTAGACAGTCTATTAATAAAAATTCGGATAATTAATCCTCGTAAGACCTATAAATGAAAATTTTTAAAATTGTGGGTTATCTATTAGGATTTAGACATCTTTAAGTATAATGTTACCATTTTGCGTGTATTTCTCAAAATGAGTCCTCCTCTCATATTAAATTTCTTTTTTTCTTGTCCCTACCCTTTTTTTGCGCTTAAACCGGCCAACCTCGGGTTTGACAAAGCGAAAAAGAAACTCTAATTATACTATAGTGTGACCGTTGCATACCCCTAATTTCCTAATTCGGCACACTATTTTGGTGGCAACTCTACGAATTTAATGACTGCAAATAGTTAGAAAATAGTTAGCAATATATAAGCAATATATTAGCAACATATTTAGTATACATTATACACACTCTTTATCTAAAACCCAATTGATGAATCAGAACTAACTTCATCTTCATCAGAACTAAAATTAATAGCTTTACTCTTCTTAACTTTTGTAACTGGCTTCTTAGCTAAACTGCTAAATGACCGTTTCGTTTGATAAACTTGTTTATTTGGTGATGGAGATTTTTGGGTTGGAGTAGTAACTGTACTTGTAGGAGCACTATCAATAGCATTAGGAGTACGTCTACTAGCTGGAACCGATATTTTTGCTAGCAGTTTCTCCTTGTTATTAGTAGCTTCGGCTTCATCTTCACTATCGGATGAATCAGAAGAACTGGATTCTTCAAATTCCAGTGAATCTAAATCTTGCAGTTCTTTAAATGGTGATTTAGTAGTGGCAGTAAAATTATAGACTGATTTATTCACAATTGGGGTAGTAGCAACAGAACTGTTATTTAATTTATTTTTACTCACTTTATTGAATTTATCAAGTATAGCTGCTTTTGAATCTCCTGCTTTATTTTGTGGACCAATGTCATCATCTGAAGATTCATCACTATCGTCATCATCAGAAGAAGATCCATCACTACCAATTCCATCGAGGAATGATACCTTAGACTTGGAAGCACCATTAATGGTAAATGAATCTTTACTTTCAATAGTTGTACTTGGAAGCTTTAAAGATTCCAATGATGATAATTTTCTACTTAACACTTGACGTTGTACCGTAGGTTGTGGTTTAATTTCATCAACATTATCTTCAGCTTCTTCATTAACCACTTCCTTTGAAGTTTGTGATGATGCAGTAGCTGCATTTTTCATCAGACTAAATAAATTATTTCTAATTGGTGTTTCCTTTACTACAGGTCTCTTTTTAACAAGTTGTGCAGGAGATGGAGTTTGACTAACAAGTACTGATTTCTTAGATCTATCACCAGCTTCATCTTCTTCATCACTTTCAGATTCATTCTCAGAATCACTCTCTTCAGACGAACTTTCTGTCTTGGCATTACTTTCACTTATTGAAGTTAAGGAGATTGATCTAGATGTAATTTTTGGCTTTATTTCACTCTGTTTATTGATTTGTTGCTCTTTGTTAATAATAGTATTCTTATTAGATGGCGATTCAATTACTTTAGTAGTCTCCACTGTAGCAGTAACTTGACTGGATCTTCTTGTACGACTTGATACTTTAGGAGTTGGCTTATCTGATTTAGGTTCTTCCATTGGAACATCTTCTTGTTCTGGCTTTTCTATGGCTGTACTATTGGCATTCACCTCAGGTTCTTCAATTGAATGGTTTATTGATGCACCACTTAAACCATCAACATCATTATCACCATTATTTGTTGATACGGTGCCATTCTTCAAAGATTTTTCAATCTCTCTTCTACTAATATTGACAGACTTATCCTCAGCAGTAACATTGGCAGCTCCATTGTGACTGTTTGATTTAATCTTTGCAGTAAAGGAATCTAAACCTTCATCATCTGATTCATCTGAACTAGTTGAGAAAACTGCTTCTCTGACTTTACCTGTACTTGTATTTTTACCATTAACTTTGCCCTTAGCAGTATTTTTTAATATATTACTATTGTTAGGACTGACAACTTCCTTATTATTCTTAGATCCACTATTGGAAATATTGCCTGACTCAACATCATTGGATTTCTCTCGACTTAAAAGTTGAAGAATTTTCGATTTCTTGATGGTTTTAGGAGTTTTAGAATCTTCATTCATTGAAGAAGATCTTGATCTTTTGGTAGGGGTAGTAGCATGAATATTATTATTATTATTATTAATAATTTGGAAGTTATTAGACACAGATGAATCCTTATTCTTAATATGATGACTAGAAAACTCATTCAAAAATGTAGTGAATGAATGCAATGCAGGACTTTCGTTAAACAATAAATATTGATATACATTATTATTAAGGAAAGTAAATATTTTATCTGGATTTGAATCAGGAATGAAGGAAGCATCAACTTTTGAAGATGGATCTTTCCAAACAAGTAATTTTGAAACAATAAAATAAATATCATTAACCGAATAATTATAATTGGGAGTATCAGAAACATTTAGACATTCACCAGGTATCTGAATTTTATTATTTCTAACATTGAATTTATCTAATGGAACACTGACATTTGAATAAGATTTTAAAATTGATTTATCAATATTCAATTGATTGAATTTATATAATAAAGGATCATATAATAATTTACTAATACATTTATTGTATGACTTAATTATTGATTCAAATACTTGATGTAAATCTTCCACTTCAATTGAATCATTATTTATGGTCTGAGTCAAATGATATTTAAACCAATCATTTAATCCACATACATCAGGTAAATTAATAGTTTTAGAATTGGATTTTGTATAATATGAATATTGAGGATTTATATAGATCAAGTCAATATTAGAAAATGCATCAATTTTAAGTAAATCATTCTTACTATCTAAAATTAATAAAATCTTTCTATTTTCTGATTTAAATTTTAAGTTGATACTATAAAGGTATGCTTCTAAATGATGGGAATTGATCAATCCGGTGGGATAGTAATTGAATGAAGGATTAATGATATTAGTGATTGTAAATGGATTAAGGAATTCACTACCTGTTAAATTACTGGTTAATGATATAGTAAATACATTGGAATTTAAATTAAGAACGATATCGGAGAAATAAAATACATTATTAGGAGAATAATTTGATACTTTACCCAGAATTCTAGATAATTCTTCATTATAAGATCCTGAATGATTGAATCCATATTTAGAATAAGTACTTCTTCTTTGTTGAATATCATCATTAGATAAGATGGTCTTATTAAAAATACTATTGAAATGATTTACTATATCAAATAATTTTTGATTCTCTACTGAAGGATTGGCAATGTATAAAGTTGCTATATAATCCAATAGAGTTTTCTTAATGATTTCTTCAACAGAAGATTTCCTAATCGCATCTTCTTTATTAATAAGATTCTTAATATATTGATGGGAGATGGACTTTACATGCGGTTGGAAAAAGGTTTGTGTCTCCGAGATGGACTCTGCCGTCGACTTAACTAACGACGTATACAGGTACATCTCTAGAATCAAAAGCTTGGTTTTATCATCTACTACTTCAGACACCATCGTACCATTTTCTAGTTATTCCAAACTTGTTTAACTTTATTACTGTAAACAATAATACCCGTCTCTACTTATATAACTATAAAATTTTTTAAGAGATGAATTTTCCTTCCTGTTTCGGAAGAGATTTTGTGCGTGTAGCCAATTTGGTTTTTTTGCATTTGTGGATGCAAACTCTGAGCGGTAAGACAGATTCTTTTTATAATACTTTATATATTACTTCTATTATTTTGGCTTGTTACTTAGTGGAGTTAACTCATCAATATTCACATTCTCCAACTTCTTAAGTTCCTTTAATTTTGCTAGATCCAATATAATTTGAAGATAACTAACGTTACGAATCTTGTCCACATATTGTTTGTTCACTATGATATCTATGCACTTTTCTCAATCTCCCATTGTTAGCTCTGTTTCCAGTTTTAGAAAATCTTATGAATCAAGTCCGACTTCTAATTCCATAAGTATTTCTTCTCCATTTTCTGGATCCCTTTCATTAAGACATTCTCCTGATGTTGGTATATGTTCTTCGTTATCTGCTACTTCCAGTATATTTGGCCATTATTTCCACAAGTACCCTAAAGTAGATAAAGCTTCTGACCCTCAAACATCATCTGATAATAAAGAAGAGAAAGATAACTCCAAATCCCAATCATGTTCAGAAATTCTTCATAAGTTTAAATTAGATGATTCTACTTTAGGTATTGATTGTTTTGTACTGTCGGCTGATACAGGACTGATTCAAAATAGTATAATTAGCATTAATTTTGATAACGACAGTCTTGAATTTCATCTAAAGTTCCCGGATCTAGAGAAAGAGGAGCAGAATTCAATTCATGAAAAGGACCAAGAGACTAAAGAAGAAAAAAATGATAATGGTCTGGATGGAAATGGTCTGGAAGTAGTTACTGATATAAGATCCACCGTGGTTATTTCTCAAATGAAGAAATCTTCAGTCTTATCCAAAGTTAGAGATTTATGGTCCACTAGACGTAGAACTAATAAATCACCTACTGATATTTTAATGTCATTACCAAGTTCAGAAGAATCTGTAATAAGTGATGGAAATAGTGTGAGCCTTTATTCACCTTTATCTTTAAAGGTACCTATAAAGGACAGTTTCAGAAGGAGAAGACTCAGCTTCAGTATATTTCAACCATTTGAAAATCAGGAAAAACATTCTACAGTTAGTAATGATAACAAAGAACATTCAATAAAGTTTAAAGATTATGCAGATATGTTTATTTACAATAATTTCAAGTACCCAAGAATCCACGGATCTGCTTCTTCCCAAGAGCAAGAGTCCGATGATGGAGAAAATAAAAATGACACTAGCATAGAAGTCGACATTAGAAGTCCAACAATTGGAAGTCGAGTTAGTCCTTTGCTTGCATCCCGGTTTGAATTTCAAAAAAGAAGAAACCAGTCTTTCGACAGTCTAAAGAGAAACTTTTCAGGAACAAATAATAATAGTTTGAGAAGATCATTTTCGTTTTCAAGATCGTTGAGAAAGGTGTCTGTACCTGCTCAAGTCCATGAAGAAAATACTGTAGCTGCCAATAAAAGTTCCACACTTCCTCCCTCTATATTGAAGAACAAGGTCAATCAAAACTACGAAGCTGAAAATATTAATAGTCTCAGAGAGCAAGAAGTCAATCTTGAGGATTTCATGCATAATTTTGCAAAATTTGAAATGGAGAAATACATGAAAGAGCCTTTTCTTGAACAAATGAGATTGGAGCAGTTAAGAGAGTACTATAATAATACAAACCAAGACGAGTTTAAATAGGAATTTATCATTTGAGTATACTTAGATAAATAATAACAAAGCATAATTATATTTAGTTGATTATAAAACCTTGTAATATTGCTGAAGTAATAAATTTAAGCTTTCTCTGCTAAAATCTTCAAAAATTTAAAGCCATAAAAATGAAAATAGAAATAACTTAAAAAATAGAATTGTAAATGATTAGTATATGGCTTAATAATGAATTATTTCATAAATTCAATTTATAATTTTCACCAAAACAGATTAGGTAATAAGAGAGGGAATTATATTGGTGATATACTCTTTAAAAGACAGCGAATCGATCCAAGTCAGCAAAATTGTTCTACTTTGATGTCAATCCAGCCCATTAAGTATAAGCTGTGACACTCTCAGAAACATTAGCAACGTTTAATAGACAAAATTTGGGTATATGCTTCATAATGATAAAAATATCTCTAACCTACATAAAACCGCCAGATCAGGTACGGAAATATGCATGCTGTACTCCGAAAAAGTAGTGGACCAAATCAAATCCCGAATTCTGGGGCTGGTATAATATATATTGATTTAGCTTTCTATACTACCTATAACTTCAATAGTTTTCTGATTTACTGAATTATTAATTTAGACATACCTCTACTTATGCAGCAGATTATACTCATCGTTGAAAATAAAATCCGTAGAAAAAGAGTTTTTACATGACACCATATCTATCACACATAACTATCCATTAAGTACTACAAGATTTGAACTATGGTGATGTGAACTCTGCTAACAAGAAAGATTGATTCAGCAAGGCTGACATTTTCCATTTTGCAAACTAATACAAACGCCTTTCGCTAATATACTAACAAAATACATAGTGTTTACATCCCGGGCATTACTTCGCATTTTTTTCGTGGGCGAACATCTACTACTCATTCCTCTGTATGCTCTCCATGTTTTCCTCCACATTCTTTACCTTCCCTCATGGGGTTAATATAAACTAGTTGAATATAGTCAAATATAAGACTAATATAGCTGGATGGATTCCAGAACGAATAAACAAGTCAGCAAGATCATGACTGCAGAACGACGTAAAAAAGTCAGCAAAGCTTGTGACTACTGCAAGAAGCGGAAGTATAAGTGTAGTGGTCGGTCTCCTTGTGATCTTTGTTCAAAGAAGAAGATTGAATGCATGTTCTCCATAGTAGATAGACGTACAACCAAAGGAATTAAAAAGAATATTAATAGCTCCATCGAGTATGAACAACTGTCTTCATACTCTAGTGGAGATTCCAATATGGGAAAGTCTCCAGCTGTTTCACTCAACCGTCCTAGACTTGAAGAATCATCCGAATCTCTGGTTACTCATATGAGTGTCATTCAAGCACGAGGATCCAATCAGCGAAGTACTTCTCGTATCAAACCTATATATACTCCTAAGAGCTTACAACCATTGCTACAGTTTCCGTTGGAAGATGAAGTACAAGATATACACCAAGATGAAAATGATAGCAACAAAGAAGATATGTATGAAACTATACATAAAGAACAGGCCAATCATAATTCTAATTCTATTATTAACAGTATGAGAAATACCAAAAGTCGCAATAACAATTTCTATTCTGTGACACAGTCAAATGAAGAATCACCAGCAAGCAATATCAATATTCAGAATTCAAATTCTCCAAAACTGAATCAACCATTAGAACATATAAGACCATCACATCCAGAAAACCCAGCACCTGCTACAGGACTTTCAAATAACTATGGAAAGAGCTCTCGTCTTCTCTTTGATTCTGCTGGAAATCTCAGATATATTGGAGAGAGTAGTCCTCTTTCACTCCTTTTTGAATGCAGAAATATATTTCTGAGCATAGTTGGTGAATGTGAGTTTACTCAAGATCCCCAAGGAACTAATATTATTGATGAACCAGCAAAAATCCATAATCGAATACCAGTTCAACTTCCCAAGAGAGACCATTGCAATGTTTTGGTCAAATTCTTTGAGATTAATGTCAATTCTACATGGTACGTTTTTAATATGAAATATTTTAAAGAATTCATAGTCGATTATATTTATGATAATCCAATACGAGCTCGTGCGCAGAAGTTAGCCTTACTACATTTAGTCTTGGCATTGGGACTTCTCTATGCTGAAACTTCCAATAGTTTCCTAGTGGAAGATCTCCAGGCACTGCAGATAAATTCCCTTTCATTCTTTGAAAGTGGGTGCAGTTTAATGAAAAGTGTTATAGATGATGGGAAACTTTGGCTCTCTGAGGCCTATATCTTGGTTTATTTTTATTATCAATCTACTTCTAAAAGAAGTACTTCATGGATCATGCTTGGTACTGCAATTAGGAATGCTCAAGCACTTGGTCTTCACAGGAAATTTATTAACGAATCATTTCGGGATCGTCAATATATAATGCATCGTCGAAAACTATGGAGAAGTTTATACGTATGTGATAGGATTTCTTCCATCTTACTAGGAAGACCACTTCTAATTGGAGATTATGATTGGGATGATTTTGGTAATGATGATTTAGTAGAATACGAAGATAAAATCAATCACGATAAAAATATTTATTGTCTTATTGAAATTGCAAAGGTGTGTAAGATTAATGGGAAAATTGTTCATGACTTTTACTTGGATGGAATAATAGATCCTGCAAGAGCAGAGAAATTAGCAATTGAATTGAAAATGTGGTCTATCAACCTTCCTAAAGAACTTCAGCTTGATAGAATTCTCCTTAATCCCGAGAGTAACGAAGTATTTCAAGACAAAGAAAATGTACTTAATGAAGATCGATTTTCCGATCGTGCCATCAGCCTGGATAATTTTGCTCTTTTATTGGTTCATTTACTGCAATTATATGGTATCATGTTATTGGGAAAGCCTTTCTTTATGTACATTGCATTCAAGCGTAATAGCAGGGAGAATGGTACTGGTGGGAGTTCACGTCGAAGAATTAAGCATGAAACCACAATGGTCAATTTTTGTAAAGCAAGTGTGAAATCGTCAGTCCTTACTATTCAACTCATACATTTATATATAGAAAAACATCCACAAAGAATTGAACTGTATGTGACAGTAAATTGCTGTTTCATGGCTGCATTGATTCTTGGACTTCTGATTTTGCATCGGAAAACTGATATCACTTTTAAGGATGAATATAATATTGTACTTCTTATGGAGACATTGAATACGGCAAAGACTATTTTAATGTTTTATGGTCCTATCAATGCAACACTGAAGAGATTTCATCAAATCGTTAGCAAAATGCAGAGATCCTTGGAAGCAGCTTTTGGACGAATAGAAAACAATATTTCATCGCTGACTGTATCACCTCCAATTGAAAGTAATATACGCCCACAAGGGGCTAATCCATTGTATAATTTACCAGCCATTCAACAAGGGCGTCCATTACAACCTATAGAATCAAACCAAAGAACAATCATCCACTCACAAGAGAATCCTGCTACTATTATTCAACCTAATATAACCATGGGCAATGAAAGTCAAATTCCTGGAAATAATCGTGTCAATGGACAAACCATTAATTATAATGTCAATGGTAACAATAGTCCTGCTGATATGACCCTCAGTACCACTAATGTCAATAATAATGAACTAGCTAATGATTTCTTTAATAATACCAATAGGGGAATGTCCCTTCCTCAAACTCCATTTTCCAATACAGACTTGAAGTCGTTTATGAATTTTCAACAATTCTTTGTTCCTTCATTGGTGGGTGTCACAACTAGTTCAAATGATGACTTCTCTACTCAGTCTTCAGGTTCACCTACTAGTGAAGCTCTTGATGTATTTATGTATAACGTAGGTACCAATGACATCTTGTTTGATGGGAATATATAGTTGTTACAACATGTATATAGAATGGAACATTACATAATCGTATTGTGTGAGTTTTGCAACCACGTAGACAGTAGACAATATGTATTAATACACTCTCGGCTAATGTTACTGCTAAAAAAAAAGATTGCACCATACACACACTGCATAGATTTTCGGAAAATCTTGTGGAAGGTAAACTCTTTTTCCCCCACGTATTAAAAATAAGACTACCTAATTCGGAAAGTACCCCGTCCCCGTATTTTCATTTTTTTTCAGTCCCCTCCGCCAAACAGTACAGATCAGGCAAACAATTATTACTGTGGTTCTTTCCCCCACTATGTAATATAAAATTTTCAGCTATAAAAGTCTCATGTTTTAGCCAGTTCGTTGTTATAATAATGTTTACAATATTATTAATTTGATCAATTCATTTCGTAAAGTGTTTATTGTAAATATTTAATTATTATTAAGATGTCAAAGACTGTATTTGTTTCTGGTGCCAATGGGTTCATTGCTTCTCATACTGTGGGTTTATTATTAGATCAAGGTTATACTGTTATTGGTTCAGTTAGAAGTGAAGCTAAAGGTGCTTCTTTCAAGAAAGCTTTAAAAACTGATAAATTCTCTTATGTTGTTATCCCTAACATTGCTGATGTTGGTGCTTTCGATAATGTATTGAAGGAAAATCCTCAAATTTCTGCTTTCTTACATATTGCTTCTCCATTCCGTTTTAATGTTGAAAGTCCAGAAAATGATATTTTAATTCCTGCAATTGAAGGTACTAGAAATGTATTGAATTCCATTAAGAAGTATGCTCCTCAAATAACTAGAGTTGTTATTACTTCTTCTGATTGTGCTGCAAGAGAAAATGATGATAGAGATCCAAGCATTGTTCTTGATGAAAGTGTTTGGAGTAAAGCTACATTTGAAAGTTCAAAACATGACTTGGTTCCTGCTTATCTTGGATCTAAGCCTTTGGCTGAAAAATTGGCCTGGGACTTTGTTAAAAATGAAAAGCCAAACTTCAAATTAGTCACTGTTTTACCAAGTTACACATTTGGTCCTCAATTAACTGATGAATTAGTTTCTCCAGACTTGAACAATTCTTCTAAAGTCATTGAATCTATTCTTCAACTGACTCCAGAATCAGTGTTACATAATCACACTGGTAGTTGGATCGATGTTAGAGATGCTGCAAAGGCTCATATTGTTGCTTTACAAAGCGATGAAGCCGTTAATCAGAGATTAATTTTATCCTCAAGTAGATTTACTTCTCAAACTATTACTGATATCATTATCAAAGACTTCCCACAATATAAGGGTAAGATTTTTGAAGGTGTTCCAGGTGCTGATGTTGAAGAAGTAAAGACTTTCCAAACATTGAATTACTCAAAAACCAACAATATCTTAGGATTTAAATTTATTCCTATAAAGAAAACAGTTGATGACAGTGTTTCTCAATTATTGAGAGTTAGAGGTGCTTGAATGGGTCGAAATAATAAAATAGACAGGTATATATTAATAAAAGTTAACCAAAATGAAATAAATAACGCGATACAATCGAAGAATAAGACTCGTAGACAGACAAATACAGACTTCAGCTCTTGACATATTTTCCAAAGTTATCACCTAATTCTGCTCTTAATAACATTCTTTTAACCAGAACTCCATAGCGATACCCATTCAAAGTACCTTTACTTCCAAGTACTCTATGACAAGGAACTATTATTGCAAGTTTATTGGAACCAATGCAATTTCCAATGGCTCGACTCGACAGGGCCAGCTTATTCAAATCTTTAGCAACAGTTGAGTAGTTTGTTACTTCGCCAAAGGGAACATTATCAACAAGATGAGTCCAAACTTTTCTTTGGAGTTGTGTTCCAAATATGAACTTATACTTGATTTTAGATTTTGAAGATGGACTATCACTCATCAACCCTTTAAATAACTCAATATTCTTAACTAATAAAGACCTACTCTTATCAGAAAGAATTTTTGAAGAAGCAGAACTAAATGAATTCAATCGATAACCTTTTATGCTTCTGAAATCTTTCATCATAAGCTGAACTAAAGAAGCTTGAGAAGTGCCTAAAGACGCGTATAATAAAATGCCTTCGCCATCCAAAACGAGAAGACTAAGATATTTATCCCCGTCAACGATAGTATAGAACAAGTTAGTGCTTGACATACTTAAATAATAATATATGTATTAATGAAATTATATACAACTACGAAGATTTTATAATTTGAAGTGTCTAATTAGTTATTCAAATTAAAAGGTTTGTCGCACGGAAAAATTATTTGCAACACTTACGATCGGTGCTATCATTTGATTCAATAGATTCAGTGAAAGTAAAAATGAACTTGCCGAATAAAGCACCTAAAATACAAGAAATAATAATATACCCGTTATAGTACATGAATAACAACATTATGAGATAAGATAAACCCCATTCAACCATAAAAATTCCAGATCTAATTAAATGTTGGAATGGAGTAGCAGTAATGTCATTTGGATTTTTGCGAAATAACCACAGTTGAGTGACTGCGAAAATAATTGGATTCTGAGAACCATAAGATTGATGAGGAACATTGAGAGCGTCTTTGGCACAGTCATCAGATGAACTACCTTCGGTGTTATCATCACTAATAATAGATCTTCTTTGAGCATTTTGTTTAGCAAATGCTCTGTCTAATTCACGAGCAAATCTGTTAAGCCATTGTGCAGCAACTACTAAGAGGAATACACCAATACAAGATCCAGCAAACATCCCCTTTGATCTGACATGCCATGATCTGGCAATGAAACATGTATCAACAGTGTACCAATTCCACAACATGGAAATTTTACAAGAAGGTTTAGGACTCGAAGAGCTTCCACCCATACCTCCACCCATACTCATACCTCCCATACTCATTTTTGAAACAATATCTGACATTCTTTTTCTTTTTGTTTATAACAATTTCTTCTCTTTCTTTTTTGGATTGAAGTCCATAAAGATTCAAACTTTACAGTCCAATAGCTTCATATTTATATGCTAAACCCAATGAATAGTGAAGTGATTAAGAGCACTTTTTTTATCTAGTTTTAGATGAGCAAATTAAGTAATATATTAAAGTTTTTTCTTGGTGCTAAAAAACCCTATAGCAGTCGCTTTAGCCGTGAGACCACTTTATTAAATAAAAAAATGAACCAATAAATAAAAAAAGAGTTTGAACGCTATATATAATATTAAAACAAGATATTATGTCGTGCTTTCTGGATCTAATTTATATGCTCTGAATTGAAAACATTTTGCAAGAGTGAGCACTTTAATGTGGAACCAAGTTTAAATTCTATGCTAATTACATGTTACTCTGGATATAAACAAGAATGATTTTCCTACTAGCAGTTCATTATTCTGAACATAATTGCACCGATCTAGTAGTTCTACTCTTGCATTGACATTTTGTTCTATTTTAAATAAGTTATTTTTAAACTTTGTTAACTCATCTTCCTCACAAGAACATTGAGATTCAACTGAAGATTGTTTCGAAGGTGAAACTGTATTATATGAATGTAACTGATGTGATAAATGAGAATCTGATTGTGATATGGACTGTTGTGGTATCAATATTGATGTGGGATCGGGCGATATATCTAGTAAATTTAGGTTATAACTTGCAATTTTGTAACCAACCAAGCTATTGCACTCTTTACAAAATAAATTATGTATGAGAAGATTATGATTCAACCGAGATAAGTTTGAATCTGGAGTAATATTAGTTATGCAGTCCTCTGAATTATAGGATATTACAACTGGATTGGAGCAACAGTTGCATATAATGAGCTTTCTTAAGGATTCATTATTCGCTTTACTTTTATAATCAATGGTTCCCGAATTACGATCGGTTCTCATTTTAGTAACAGTATAATGCTGATCATAATAATATGGTATGAGAAGTTCCATATTATATTTGCTTTCCAAAGATAAAATTTATCGAATATGTCAAAATTCGTAAATATAGCTTACCTTTATACTGTCAAGCTATTTACAAAAAGCGCAAAATTCTACTGTTTCATGTGGAGAATTCGGGTATACAAGTATCTTTGCGCTATTTCAAAGATCATATGTATAAGTCATTATTATAATAATTGCCGATATTTTCTTGCCGTTCACTTGTTTCTTGCTTTTTGCAAGAAAAATGTTACAGATGAATAGTTCGTAAATTTTCTGCAACACAAAAATCCAGGCACGAAAAGTTCGTAAATCGCAAAACAGTACATAAAATATCAAATTTCAAAACGAATCACTAAAAACGCGAACACTGGGGGCTATTTTCAGAACTGGCTCAGCTGCAGCTAAACTGTATCTAGTCCTTAAAAGGAATTACTAATCTTCTTATTCTTAAGAATAGATATCTACCCACTAAAGAGACTTCTATTTCCTGAAGGATCACATTTTACGAAAGAATAATACGAAATCTCCTGGTTGTTTCTGGTATTTTCTGAGAAATCCCATTAGCAGCTTAAGTCCTTTTTTTGGACGTATCAAAAATTAAGTTTTAAATGAGCTGCAATCACAAGTAGCAAGATAAACTAGGTTGTTTTGGAAGTGAATTCTCTTTACAAATCCCTTGTACGTAAAAGTTCTTCATGAGAAGATTTATACTTCAACTAGCTAATTGAAAGCTCAGTATCTCTTGATTTTACTTTATCCATCAATATTATCTATCGATATTTTTCAACTCTGGCTCTACAAGAAAATTCTCTTCCTCTTTTGGAAGGATAGCTCAATTTTTCTTGATTATTAGAGATTGCAAATATAGTTCAGTAATTGATCATTGATATGAGTATTTGCTGGATTTTATGTAACCGGTCTTTCAAAAATTATTTTTTATTATCCCTAACCCCTTAGCAACCGTTACTTATATGGCATAGTCTTAATTACAAATTGATGCCAATGATACAGATAAACGGGTTGTGCTTCCCGCAATCAGTAGAGAACAATTTTTTTGATTTCATGAACTCATCGCTTATTTTGATTATTATTTCGCCATCTCCTTCTGTTTTTATACGCCATATCTGCCAGTAGTACGTCCCTACTACACAATCAGCATTATGTTCTCTATCCTAACTTGAAGAGATAAGCATCATGCTTTCTTTACGGAAGTATTACATAAGCTTCTCCATGTCGAGATAGAAACGTGATCTATCACGTGGAGCAATGTTATCATATCACGTGAATAAAGTTTAGTAATCTCTTCTTAAATATAGTTGATTGGATATCTTTTTTATAATGTATCTTCTACTCCTCTAGCCATTAAGAAGAATGACTGTGAATGAGAAGGTTGTAGTATTAACTACTGAACATTTAAAGCACTTAAATGAAAAGTTGCAAGATTTGCAACCTCAAGAAATTATCAGATGGGCATATTTAACATTTCCAAACTTATATCAAACTACAGCTTTTGGATTGACTGGATTAGCTACCATCGATATGATCTCGAAACTTAAATCAACAGAAGAATCCAACCACATAATAGATCTTATCTTTATAGATACGTTACATCATTTCCCTCAAACATATGATTTAGTTAAAAATATAGAAAGCAAATATCATCCAAAACTTCATACTTTCAAACCTTTGAATGTTGAGAATGAGAATGAATTTGCTGAAAAATACGGAGATCAGTTATGGGAAACCAACGACGAATATTACGACTTTTTAGTTAAAGTCGAACCATCTCAAAGAGCATACAAGGAGTTAAATGTAGTAGCAGTACTAACCGGTAGAAGAAAATCTCAAGGTGGAGCTCGTGGTGACTTACCTGTTATTGAAATTGAAGAATCCAGTGGAACTATAAAGATAAATCCATTAGTGAATTGGTCGTTTGGTCAAGTTAAACAATATATTGATGAAAACAATGTCCCTTACAATGAATTATTGAATTTGGGCTACAAATCCATAGGCGATTGGCATTCGACTGCTCCGGTAACGGAGGGAGAAGACGAGAGAAGTGGTAGATGGAAAGGAAAAGCTAAGACGGAATGTGGGATCCATCAGACGAGTAGTTTCACCCATTATTTGCAAGCGGTTAACAAGAATTCTATTTCTCAATAGAGTAAGGTAAGTAGAGTTAATAGATATTAAGAACGAGAAATTCCGCGTTTTTACCGGTGCGGAATGCGGTTCCTAAATAGGAAGCGGGGATTCGCAGCTTATCGATAATATTTTTAGACATTTATAGTCTACACAATCTATGATTTTAATTATAATTATATACTATAACCATCATCAGACGTAATGTTACAAGAATTAGGATCAACTTTATTTCAGTTTGTGTCTGTTCATGCAACAGAAGCCCATCTTATTGTCGTAGGTTTAATAATTGCATATTATCTAGTGATTTATCCATTTATTTTATCACCATTACGAGATGTTCCGGGACCTTATCTTCATAGAATAAGCCGATTTTCAGCATTGAATAATCAAAGAACGATGACTTGGGTAAGGAAAGTTGACGATTTACATAAAAAGTATGGAAATGTCGTACTTTTATCACCAATCGAAGTGAGTGTTAACGGAGAATATAAATATCTCCATGACTTATATACAAAGAATCTTCCCAAATCCAAATTTTATGAAAACTTCAGAAATCATGGATTCAAAGATAATATATTTGCCAGTTTGGAGAATGATAGGCATATCAAATATAAGAAGATTGTTTCGAATATTTATAGTAAATCATCTATTTTTTCCAAATCGAACACTGCAAGATTAAACATCGTTGAAAAGATTACAAATTTAGTAAAGGCGGTATACAAATCATCAGTAGATGCAACAGAACCAGATTATATCAATGCAAGATCTGAACGCAATATTCACGGAAAGGGTTATAAGAATAGTGATTGGTTTAACAAATCTGGTAGAGAAAAGAACTTAGGCATTGACGTTTATTCACTCTTTGGATCTTTAGCATGCGATGTAGTGTCAGGATTTGAATTAGGAATTGAAAATGGGACAGATTTAATATCACGACCAGAAGAAAGACATATATTAGTGAGCCATAGAGAAGTTGCTAGTATGGTTTTTTGGACAACTCTAATGCCAAGATTCTGGGATTGGGTTGCAGGCAAGCGTATTCTTAAAGCAATGGAAACTATAACTAGATGGCAATTAAATTTATATTATAATGCCGAAACTAATAGTCCAAAAGTCATAGAAGGTCAAAATCTTACTACCTTGCAGACATTAAACAAGGCTGGCTTAAAGGGGGAATATGCTTATTCGTTCTTAACTGATAATATCTTTGCTGGTCATGAAACAACCGCGATATTCCTTACCTATTTATGCTACGAGATCTCAAGACCAATAAATTCTTTTATGCAAGTCAAGTTGAAAGAAGAATTAAAAAGTACTTTCGGTACCCCACCTAATAGGCAAACTATTATTGATGATTTTGAAACAGTTGATACTCTTCCATATTTGAATGCCCTTATTAATGAAGTTGGTAGAGTTCACACACCAATACCTGGAGCAGAACCTAGATTAGTTGATAAACCATATTTAGTAACTGCAGGCAATGGTAAGAATATAACCATTCCAAAAGGTACGATAATTTCTAGTCAACCATTTTCTATGCATAGATTAGAAAACGTTTTCCCTGATCCAAACAGATTCATTCCGGAAAGATGGTTAAAGTATGAAGATGAAAGTGAATCACAGTTTAATCAACGTATAATGAAGCAACTGAAATTTTCCATGCCATTCGGTAAAGGGATCAGAATGTGTTTGGGAATGAATATTGCTCTAATTGAAATGAAATTAGCTGTAGCCAATTTATATTGGAAATTAAGTAGTCAAATTGATAATGATTGGTGTGACATTACTCAATATGATAGTGAATCGGCTAATAAGGTTATTGCTAATGTGATTGAAACCGGTTTTGATTTTGTAGGTAATAATCAGACTGATGAAGAGAAAATGGTGATGTACGATCTGTATACCACCAGACCTTATAATGATGAATGTTGGTTAAGATGGATTGATGATTCTGATTCTGATTCTGATTTACATACATAGTTATTTAAAATAAAATAAAATAAAATAAAATAAAATAAAATAAAAACTTCTCGAAATAAAACCGGTCAAAAAATAGTTTAAACCGACCCCTCCGTAATTAATTCGCCGCACTTTCTTTTGTGCCTGATTAGTTCTTGCTAAAAAGTCACCCGCTATTTTAGATTTAAAGGCACAATCTTAAACTACAAGATAACGTTACTATACTTTATCAAACTATACGACATCTTCTACTATATAAAGTAGGAGGGCAAAGAAATTATTGCATTTCAAAATTTATATTTTGATTCTTATAACCTTCAACAATTGCATATTTCATTGAATATCAAAGTTACAAATCATTACTGCTCATCCCCCTCGTGTACTGTAGTAGATATTTCATTATTATTATAGATTGTTAAACATGCTTCCATTTGCAATTCCCTATCCTCCAGAACAAGCAATTGGATTCTGGGGTGTTCCAACGTCAACCATTGATTGGTGTGAAGAGAATTATGTTGTTTCAGATTATATTGCTGAAGCATTGAATACTGTCACTAATTCAATTTTTATTGCATTAGCTACTTTTGCTATATATCACGCTTATCGAAATCATTTAGAACCAAGATTTCTATTTACAGGATTTGGATTCTTATTGGTAGGAATTGGTTCATGGTTATTCCATATGACATTAATGTATCACTTTCAATTATTAGATGAATTACCAATGATTTATGCTACATGTATCCCATTTTGGTCAGTATTTAGTGAATTCAAAACTAAGACTCAATCAATTTTAGTAGCTATTGGAATCTTTTCAGCAGCTAATTTATTAACTGTCATATATTTGCATTTCAGAGACCCCACCATACATCAGGCCGCATATGCGTTATTAAATGCGGGAATAATTCTTAAATCGTTATCATTAACCAGTAAACACGTTCATGATAAAGTAGCTAAAGTTCAATTATACAGAACAATGACGATTGGAATTTGTATATTTTTATTAGGATATTTCTTATGGAATCTTGATATACATTTCTGTACTTTTGTTAGAGGTAAAAGAAGAGATTGGGGAATTCCTTATGGATTTGTATTAGAAGGTCATGGTTGGTGGCATATATTTACAGGTACTGGAGTTTATTACTATTTAGTATATCAAGAATATCTTAGATGCTTTTTACAAGGTACAGATGAATTTTTTACGTTTAAATGGGTATGGGGTTTACCAGTAGTATTTTGTACTGATTCGCATGGTTTAAAACGCTTCAAAGCAATCAGAGCATTAGCCGAAATAGATGCAACAGTTGAAGCAGAAAAGAGAAGCCAACAAATTTTGGAAAAAAAGCAACAATAGATGCATACATATTTATTAGGGTCTAATTGTTTATTTATATATTTTAGTTTAGTTTAGTTTAGTTAGTTAGCGTATAGAGATAGGACACTTCAAAAACAATCAATCAATCTTATTAGTGTATAATTTAGCGCGGCAAAAAAAAGTTGCGATTTGGTTGCAAATTATTTTAAAGTTTATGAATATTACCTAAAAAAGTATTAACTCTATCTATAAGTTGAGAATTTCACTAACTAGCTTGTTATTTTGAAGTCCTTGTTCATCAACTAAAATTCTTAATTTTTCAATTGCTTCGTCACTAGTGAATTTATTAGTTCCATCAGCTTCATTATAACAAGAATTCTTCCATTGTTTTAAAACATCCTTTAATTTCTTAAGTCCATCATTAATTTCTTGTTCATTACATTTAGTTCTTTTATTTTGAATAAATTTATCATTTTCTGAAAGATTAGTATCTTGTAATTCTGAAGCTTTCCTCTTAGCCATATTAATAATCTTAGTAGGAAATTTTACAAGTTCAGCTACATGAATACCAAAAGATTTATCTGAAATCCCAGGTTCAACCTTATACATTAAAGTTATATCATCATCATTTTCTGAATCTTTCTCAACATGAGCTACAACATGTAAATTATCAACATTTGAATACTTTGAAGCTAATTGAGTTAATTCATGGAAATGAGTAGCAAATAATGTAAAACAGTTCTTGTTGGTTATCAAATGTTCCAGAATTGACCATGCTAATCCAAACCCATCATAAGTTGATGTACCTCTTCCCAACTCATCAATAATGATAAGGGAATTATGAGTGGCTGTTGCTAAAATAGACGAAGTTTCTAACATTTCAATCATAAATGTTGATAATCCTTTCAATTGTGAATCACCTGCACCAACTCTTGATAAAATAGCATCAAAAATTGGAATTTCTGCTGGTTCTTCATCGTCCGAGACAGGAATGAAACTACCAATTTGACTCATTAATGCAATGACTCCTACTTGTCTAATATATGTACTCTTACCACCCATATTAGGACCGGTAATTATAGCAAATGACTTATCTTCATTGGAGAATTTGACATCATTTGCAATGAAACTAACATCATCTTGAACTTCAACAACTGGATGACGTGCATCTCTTAATTGAATTTTTCTATTTTTAAATTCAGGAGAATCTATAGAACCACTTAATGGATGTAACTTAGGTTTAATAAATGTGATTGGAGCTGTGATAGCAACATTAGCAAAACTAGTCAAAACATCCAAATGGGATATACTTAATGTAAGAGAGGTAAATACTTGTTGATAAGTTAATGTGATAGCAAGTATTTCCTTAATTAATTCTCGTTGTTTACGATTATATTCAGTAGAAGCATCGGAATATTGCTTTGATAAAGCAGCTAATTTCTTGGTTGTAAAATAGACCCCTGCTTTAACGACCTGTAATTCATTATATCTATTATTAGTGTTCCTTAATACAGTGGAATCAATTCTTGTGACTCTAAAACACCAACCATGTTGAATATGTTTCTCCAATTTTAATTTCTTATCCAATTCCATATTTAAATCATCACCAACTTCAATATGTTGTTGTTTAATCTCTTCAAGAGCCAGTTGTAATTTATTATCAATTTCAACTAATGAATCATCAAATTCAGGTTTGATATTAAAATCTGTATTTAATAAATCAAATGATGAAGAAGCTTCTAAGGGAGATAAATCAATAGTTGTTTCAATCAATTCTTGGAATTTTAATAATAATTCATAATCTCGTTGAATAGGTTGTAACCAATATTTCTCAACTAATGAATTTCCTTCGGCTTCTGTTTTAAGTGTCTCTATTAATGTAGGTAAGACAAGGATTAATTGATATAATCTAACCACATCTTCTAATTTTTTATTTTCATTTCCTACACTTTTACCAACACCAACTGAAATCTTTTTAAGAAGACGTTTAATATCAGGTACTTGAGATGCAAATTCTTGAGATAAGAAAACTCGAAGGTTAGTGTTGGAAATCAAGTAACTAACTAAATCCTGTCTTTCTTCAATCATGGATAAGTTTGTAAGGGGTTGCTTCAACCATTGAGATAATAACCGAGAACCAGCAACGGTTTTACATTTATTTAACAATTCAAAAATTGATCCAATAGTAGATGATTTTGAATTTGGAGAAGCAGATGTAGTAGATGATGAAGACGAAGAAATTGGGAAAATATTAAGAGCCTTCATAGTTGAGGAATCTAATTTCATAAATGAAGTAAGATTATATTGATCAATAGTGAAATTATATTCATTATCACCCAAAAGATCCAAATATACAATTAAAGCATTACAACATGATAATGAGATTTGAAAATCTATTGAATTAATACCTTTTGAAGCAAGAATAAGTTCAATTTTTATTTCTTCATCCTTTTTATCAACATTATCATTAATGACAATTTTAGATAAATCTTGTTCTATATCTTTAGTGTTAAAAACAGATGACTTTGTTGATGAAATGACAAGATTTCCAATTTTATCAATAACTTGAAATAATTTGATTGTATCTGAATTTTCTTGTTCAGGAGAATAATTAGAAGGTAAAACCACCTCTTTAACTCCAAGTTGTAATAATAAACTTTCTAAATTCGAGAAAAGATCATTATCTTCAAATTCAGAGAGTTGGATAGTTGAATTCAGAGTATCAATTAATGCAACTCCTACTTTCTTCATACTATTGCCAACTGAAGTATACCTAATAGCTGCAATTATTGGATTTGAACAATCTTGAAACATTGATTCGAGATTAACTCCATATTCATTAGATAAATTAACTAAATTTCCGGCAGTGGCAGTACAAATTAATTCAAAGGATTTATTATAAATCTCTAACTTTAAATGTTTATCAATAAGAACAAACTTTAATACATTATTAAGAAAGACTTGTGAAGCAATTGTGACATATTTATTTTTACGAGATTGACTATACTTAATTACTGATTGAGTTTTATAAATATTATCAGCAATTAAATCTGCATCATCATCCAATGCCGTAAAGTAATCTTTATTATTATCTACTATTCTAATAGTAGAATTATCTTTAGTAGGTAATTTTGAGAATTTGGTATAGAACAGTCTTTCATCGGCATTATCCGAGAACTTTAAGTCTGGTCTGGTACTTGACATTCTGTCCAAATGTATGTAGAGCTAGTTGCTATTAGCTATAACTATTTACAAGATGTGGAGATGCTTATATAACAAAAACATACGCGTTAAAGTGAAAGTCAAAGTGTGCGCGCGTTAATTTTTCACTTCTGCTTATGTTAGTAGTGTACTATGCTCAGTAATTTACTATAGAGTTTTCATTTGTATGACAAAATCTTAACATACAGATAACCACTATGTAAAATCTTGGCATTAGTAAGTTTAACTACAAGACAGTTGCAGCCATTTAAATTTAAATGACAATCAAACATCATCGTGATGAACTATCAAGGAAAACAAACTGTGTTTTCAAAAATAAAAAGTAAAATATTCACCTCCACTCTGATTTCGTTGCACATCGTTTCGTCATTGTTCTCGATTTTTCTGATTTTTCTGTTCGAGCCATGCCCCTCATTTCAAATCATCGCTCAATTCAACTTATGAAGTACAACTACACATAAATAAAACTTAATTTAAAATGTACATTTTTAAACACTAGACTATATAGTTACTTGACAACATAATCAATTGAATCGATTGCATCTATCAATCAATCAATCAATTAATAAACCCAGCTATTAATCATTTTTTGTTTGACTGATTAGTAGTTGTACTTGTTGTCTTGGTAATCAAATGGAGGTTGTTGATCTGGACTCCATTGATCTTGTTGACCGTAGTGAGAGTCGTAGTTTTCTTGAACAGATCTTTGAGCTTGAGCTCTGGCTTGATCTCTGTCTAAGTAGTCTAAACCTTTAGTTTCAACCAACTTGTCAACTTCACCACCAGCAATACCAGCTAATAATTCTTTAGCAAAAGCGTGGGAGACTGGCTTACCTTCAGATCTTTGACGGTTTTCAAAGATTCTAGCAGCTTCAAAAGAAGCAGCACCAGCGATTAATTCATGGGAGAATTTACCTTCGTGTTGATCACCATAAACTTGTTGATGGGAAGATTCACCAAATCCGAACATTTCTATTTATTATTTTTGTTAAAGATATTGATTAATTGGAAATTAGTCAATTGAATAAATAAATAAAAGAAGAAAAGAATAAAATTGAAATTTATAAATAAGTGAAATTTTAGGGATTATTTATACCTGATTCAGTTTCAGAATGACGTTGAGGGCACGATTGTTGGAGAACATTCTTGATCGCTAAATTCTGAAAAATTATGTACAAAATTCAAATTTCGGAATCGTGGCAAAATTTGAAATTCATAGTTTACATTATCAGCGACAATAGAAAGTATAATGTGAGAAAGTTTAATGTACGTCAATAGAACCGTAAGAGTTACACTAAAAGCAATTAAGGCTGAACTACTATTTACCGGCACAGTTTGAATGATGATCATTCAATATTAAAAAAAGGGGTAATACAAGTATGGTAGAGGTATTGTGTTTTACATCAATTGTAATTTTCAGGGCATTAAAGTACACTAAAGTACGAACGAGCTGTATTACTGGATAAATGGTTAATATTAATATGAAATTTCCATTTAAAGTAATAAAACAAAGTAGTGCGCTTAATCAATTGAGCATGTTTCACAATTGTCTCACTATTCTTTCACAGACGACTCGTGCCACTTGTTTGGACAACAAATACATACTGTAGTAGAATGACCATAATTTTCAGCCTCTGGACGTAGTTTTGAGTTAAAGCCATATCTTCTTCTAATCTTCAGACCAAAAAGCCTTGGAATTATTATACTGCATAGTCTTAGATTTCTATATTAATCTATGACATGCTGTTGTTTTAGGTAAGTTTTGTGCCATATTTTTATGTCCACTTTTTCGTGATCTGGGTAGGCAGTGCCAAAATTTTAACTCTACCTATATTATGGCGGTCTATAATTAGAAACATCCGTTACCATTAAATGATACTCAGATGAAACAAATCTCATTCGCAATCATAAAACAATATTAATAGATACTATTTTAGGAGTTGCAGGACATTTAAGATTCATGTAATATTGTAGAAACATGTCAAAGCTTGGCGTGGCTTTGTTTTTGAAAAATTGATGCGAATAAGTTGCAAACTATATATACATAAACTACCAATGAATCTCTAAGTTTGAAGTAGTATATTTCTTATTCCTAAAAATACTCAGCGCTCTAATGGGGAAGAGAATTTCAAACTTGTACAGTAATATAATTTTACTTGAGTTTTTGTATGACATTCTTTCTTTTAATACACTATGTCACTAATATTGCTGCAATTTCATTTGCTTCTAAGTGAGTCTAAACCCCGTTGAGGACATAGTTAACACGATGCTAAGTATATATTGCAATCAATAATCTTGCAAGTTCAATAATTAACCTTTTCTTCGGACCGACTTTATCCAAGTCCAAATCTGAGCTCAATGTCTGTAATCGTCATTAAATCCGACTTGCGGGTAAATTTTTGCTTTATATATGAAGATTCGAATAGTATTACTCTTCTACTTAATTGATTTAATCAGTTCAATCAGTTCAATCACTATAATGGAGTACATAGAAAGAGCTTTAGGTTACTTATTCTTCAACTTCAAAGTTGGAGATTCGGGAATTTTGACGAAGACTCTTAAATTTTCAACTTCAAATCCTCAATTTAAAGTAACTTCTAGTTCTTTTTCTGATAATGGCTATCTTCCTCTTGAATCAGCTCAGGTAGGAGTTGGAGGAAAGAATTTATCTCCGCCTTTGACTATCGAGTTCATTGGCGAAAGAGATCCTCAAATCAAATCACTTGTTTTGGTTTGTCATGATGTGGATGTTCCTATTTGGTTCGCAGTTACTCATGTAATAGTCTACAATATTCCAGTAGATGGTGATAAGCCAATTGAATTTGAATTCGGAGCTTTCAATGGCGAAAGAGCAAAGTCAACCGATAAAGATTCTTACATTGTTGGAAAAGGGACAACTGGTGAGAGATCCTTTATTGGTCCTAGACCAATTTTGGGACATGGAGATCATAGATATGTATTTCAAGTAATTGCAATTAATGATATTGCTACAAATTTACTAAATGAATTGAGCTCCGATGAAGTCAATCCAACTAAATTAACTGAAATCCTTAAAGATAATGCAATTTCTTATGCTACAATCACTGGATTATATAAACGTGATTAAAATGATATGTAGATCTATAGCTATTTAAATAATGTAAGCTCGTATATTTTTTGTGCGAACCAATTTATGGGGAAGCAAACAAAGGGAGCACAAAATGAAAAACTCTTAATTTGAAAATGAGTCTTCAACTAAAGGCGGGACAACATTGTCATTCCCTTCGTTGAACAAATCGGTAACACATAGTGTTGGATGGAGTAGTGTCTATTCTACTTCTATATAAGAAAAGTGAAGAATGTTGTCTAATTTTAGAGAGTACCACAGAAGGTATACTGCATACTTAGGATCTCAGAATACTCAGGAGGACGATGAAGATGATGAAGTCGAAGAAGAAGAAGAAGATGATAGGGATGAAGGAGAAGATGATAATGAAAATGATAATGTAGAAAGAAATGGAGTCAGACAAAATGATAATACTATACTTTTAAATGATAATAAATCTCGACCAGGTAACAAACGAGCTAGATATTCACGACCTTGTGATGGATGTTCCTTAAAGAAAGTTAAATGTTCTGGTACATCTCCTTGTACTAGATGTATAAATAATGGAATTCCTTGTACAAATAATCGAATTAGAAAGAAATGTGGTCCCAAGCCGAACAAATTCAAATCAACAAATAATTCAAATTCAAATTCATCATCACGACAATCTTCAACATCATCACAATTCTCAAAGAAACCTAAAACCAATCTATATTCCCAACCTCAATTATGTTCTTCTTGCGATAAAGAAATGCGTATTTCACTTCTGTTAATTGTTCCTAGTCTTCAGATATATCAAACATGGTTTTATGGAGTTTGGCCCGTTATATCCGTACCTCAATTAATTTCAAATCTCACATCAGTAGATTTTGGCTTTGAATTATCTCAAGAAACATCGGTTTCATATGCTTTGTGTTTAGCTGTTTCAGCAGCAGTATCTCGTCAAATGACTTTCTTATCAGAAAAATCAAGTCTTCCTCAAGTTCCAGTTAATATTGATTTTGAATCAGTTGCTAAAGAGGCTATAAGAATAAGAGATCTTTATGATCATCGTTTAAATCCTAATTGTGAAACATTATTAACATCTTTCTTCTTATACGTCTATTACATTAATATTAAAGATGCCACCGCAACAGCCATAATTTATTTACGAGAGGCTATTTCAATGGCTCAAATTTTAAAATTACATGATGCTAAAACATACATGAGGAAACCGGTTGCTGAAGCACATAGATTGAAGAAGATCTTTTATCTTTTACTTATCACCGAAAGATTTATGTGTATTGAAGATAATGTTCCAGTAATTCTTGATGCATGTGTTCCTTATCCATCTTTGGAAGAAGAAGAATACCCAGAATTATTAAGTGGATTTATCGAATTGGTACATATTTTCTCCATTCCAAATCGTGATTTCTTCGAAAAGATGCTTGAGTTTAACGATGATGGTGGTTCTGGAAATCTGAGTGATAATTACAAAATGTTACATTCTTTCTTACACGATGCATCTCATTCTATGTCTGAACTGCAAATTATTGAAGTAGATAGTAAGCTAAGAAACATTTCTTTAACTCATCTAGCTTCTGATATTCAAAAGGCAAATATTTTATTGTCCAAGAGTTGGATGAGATCATTAACTTGGCATATTGCTCAAAAACGTGGAGTATTAAAGAGAAACTTTAATGATAATGATAGTTGTTTAAGTTTTAATTATCCTGCTACCATAGCCAACGATTTTTTGAAATCAATTTGTGGAATTCCTATATATGCATTTGAATCCAATGGACCCGGAGTTGTTGTGAAATTATTAGAAATAGCTAGTGGATTGGCAGATTCTATCCAAGATTTAAGTTCAATAAAGTCTTCAGATGATCTCCAACCTTGCTATAATGCATTATCTTCAATCTTTTCCCTAATATGTAAATTTAAAACTGATACAATTTTACCCGTTAAACTATATCAAAATATCGAGAGAATGGTTCTTTCCAGAAGTTTATCTACAGCTAGTACTACGGCTAAGTTAACACCGATACCGATATTAAATGTTAGTTCATCTATATTAGATCCTCTGCCTCCAGGTAATGAATATTCGTTATGGGAAATAAGACAATCTCGTGATCGTACGGTTTCCCCATATAATCACAATAATAATCATTTTACTAATAATATGATTAATAATAATTCAAGTCCTTATAGTAACAAAAATATGTTTAAATTTTCACCAGATACATCTATAATAAAACCTCCAATCTTATTTCATCAAGATATTCTTGCACTTGTGGATCAAACTCCAACCGATTTTGTTACCTATCAATTTTCGAATACACCCCCAGTTATAGAAGAATTAGATAAAACCGATTAGATTGTAAATTTTATATATTCTATATAGTATTATAATGAAGTTATGTTTTATTTGTTATGTTATGTTATGTTCCCTTGAGTATGTAATTGGTTGCGAGGAAAAACTTTCACACCCAAAAAAAAAGTAAGTGAGTGAAGATGAACCACAAAATAGCAATAACCATTTTCCCAATCGGGATAGATCATAAACAAATATAGAATTTCAATTTAACTATAGAGCTCGATTTAGAATACACGAAGACATTAAGTAAAGATGATAATTATCGATGAAGTAGAATTATAACAATCATTGATAATTTTGGATAATCTAAAGAACAAGTAATTGTTCATAAATTTTATTTATTATACTAATTATAGTTTTTAATTTTACATATGTCGAGCACTAATATAAGTAATGAATATGAACCTCTTGAAATCATAGGTAAAGGATCATTTGGTACTGTTAGGAAAGTACGACAGAAAAGTGATGGGCAAATTCTTGTTCGAAAGGAAATTGAATATACTTCAATGAATGTTCATGAAAGAAATCAATTAATTTCAGAATTAAGAATTCTTCGAGAATTAAATCATCCAAATATAGTTAAATACTATCGTCATGATCATATAATAGATCACAAAACAATTCATATATATATGGAATATTGTGATGGAGGAGATTTAGCTCAAATCATTACAAATTTCAAAAAGAATAAAGAAAAAGTTCCTGAAGAATTTATTTGGCAAGTTTTAGTTCAAACATTATTAGCATTATATCGTTGTCATTATGGTGTAGAAGCATCAAAAGTTAATTTATTTGCTGGAAATGATGATAGAGAACCAACAATTGATTCAGAAACAGTTATAATCCATCGAGATATAAAACCAGATAATATATTCTTATTGAATTCAGGAAAATCAATAAAGTTAGGTGATTTTGGTTTAGCAAAAATGTTAACATCAAATAATGATTTTGCTAAAACTTATGTAGGAACTCCATATTATATGTCACCAGAAGTATTAATGGATAATCCTTATTCTCCTGTATGTGATATATGGTCATTAGGATGTGTTCTATTTGAATTATGTACTTTACAACCACCATTTCATGCAAAGACTCATCTTCAATTACAATCAAAAATTAAAAAAGGTATAGTGCCTGAACTTCCAAGTCATTATTCATCTCAAATTAGAAGTATAATTAAAGATTGTATAACAGTCAATCCTGATACAAGACCTTCATGTCATGATTTATTAGGAACTTTATCAATTAAATTCTTAAGAAAGGAAATGGAACTAATAGAATTCAATTCAAATTTAAAAGAATTCCAAAATCAATTAGCTAAAAAGAATGAAGAATTAAAGAATAAAGAATTATACTTAAACAATATCGAAAGGAAATTATTACTTAGTAGAGAGGAACAACATCAAGAATATTCAAATATGGAAAAGAAATTCATACTTCAAAAGAAGCAATTTGAACAAGAAATGATTGAAGATTTTGAAATGAAGAAAAGGGCTATGGACCTTGAAGCTAAAGAAGTAAGGTTAGGTTATCAAAGAGAATTTAAAATGGTTGTAGAGCTGGAAGTTCAACAACGTTTGAAAGAGCTCATTTCAAAACAAAGTGATGTGTATCGCATAAAGTCAGATCCCAGCATTTCAGGACCACAACTGCCATCCCTTTCTGCTCAAAGGTTAAATTATGAACAACAAAGATTACGAGGTCCCAGAGATCTTCTAGAAGAACAACAACAACTACAACAACAGCAACAACTGCAACAGCAACAGCAGCACCAACAACAACAAATGAAAAGAATTCCTCTCAGATCACGAAGTAATGAAGATTATGATATAAATCACAATACAGGTCAATTTAATAAAGCTGCGCCCCAGCATACTTCAAGATTTCCAGCATCGAGCCCAAAGAAAAGGATAACTGATGAATTGGAAAGATTAAGTTTAGAGAAAAGGAATACACCAGAATTCGAAGAAGTTTATTTACGTAAAAATGGTCGTCATTAGCATAAATTTTTATTTTTAAAAATTCTAAAATATTGTAAATACTATTTAATGAATTAGGACTTTATATTTAATCGCTCCATTTAGCACCTGTAATTTCTTCATAAGCTTCAACATATTTCTTTTTGGTTTCAATCACAATTTCTTCATCCATCGATATACCATCCTTACCAGCATAACCCTTTGAAGTTAACCAATCTCTTAAATATTGTTTGTCATATGAATCTTGTGATGCACCTAATTCATACTTAGAAGCACTCCAGAATCTGGATGAATCAGGAGTCAATACTTCATCAACAAGAACTAAATTGTCTTTTTCATCTAAACCAAATTCAAATTTGGTATCAGCAATAATAATTCCCTTAGTTTTAGCAAATTCTTTAGCTTTTGAATAAAGTTCTACTGCTTTAACAGCTAATTTATCACATAATTCTTTACCAACAATTTCTGCAGCTTGTTCAGGTGATATATTTTCATCATGTTCACCTTGTTCAGCTTTAGTAGATGGAGTGAAAATTGGGGTAGCAAATTCTTGTGATTCCTTTAATCCTTCTTCAACTTTCAAACCATGAACAGTTCCACTTTTTTTGTATTCTTTCCAAGCCGATCCTGTGATATAACCTCTAACAATAACTTCAAGTGGTATTAATTTTAATTTTCTAACTAATAATGATCTTCCTGATAATTGAGATTTATATTTTGGTTCTGATAATTCCTTTGGTAATTTAGCAAATAAATTTTCATCATTACTTTCAGATAATATTAAATGGTTTGGAATGGAACTAGATAAGAATTCAAACCAGAATTCAGATAATTTAGTTAAAATTTTACCTTTAGATGGTACACCATTTTCCATAATAACATCATAAGCTGATATTCTATCAGTAGCGACAAAAAGTAAGGTATTTTCATCGACTTGATAGATATCTCTAACCTTACCTCTGGCTATCAATGGCAAAATACCATCTAAGTTAGTTGTGTGTAATGACATGTTTGTTGTTTTATGATAAGTCCAGCTAGTAAAGAAATATGTTTCTAGAATTTATAAGTTTATATTGTTGCATCATCATCGCAAAATAGAATAATTAGAGGACCATTAAGTTTTTGACTCTGATTTTAATCACCAGCCAGTATGCAGGAATTTATCATTAATACTATCTAGACCAGTTCTATATAAGGACATTGTTTAACAAGTACATCCATCATCATTCCATGATACAGTTAGTAATCACAACATATGACAAAGTAGCTATTTATTGCTTAAATGGAACATATATAGCTTTGACTATTTCATACTATAATGAAGAAATATCAATTGATATTTAAAGAATCCTTAACAAAACATATTAATATCATGTTTTACTCCACTCCCGAATCTAGCTATTATAAATTAATAGCTCAAGGTATATTATTATGTAACTGTGCTTTATAATAATACATTTTATGTATGTGGGGATTCTTAGAATTAGTGAAGAGTCCAAAGTATTTGCAGCCATTCAATCTTTTTTTGGTACACGATGTCGGCTCGGAGGCAAATGATTCCATCTTACCGATTACCGGTTGACCATACTATGTTAGAGACATTGTCACTTTCTTTCCCACTTATATAATGAAATTATTATTCCGAAATACTTTGGGCTGAAGTGATCAATACTTTCTGTTTTCGGGTGATTGTACTATATTTATTTCCGCTGCGCTTAATTATCCGAAATTTTCAAGCCATGTAATATCTGGGGTAAAGTATAAATTAACATGAACAAGTCTAGGTTGTATATGATAAATTTTAAAAGGGATGAAAGTTAACAACAAACTATACAAAGAATGAGTACACCTGCCCAAATTTTAAAAGAACTAATTGATGCTCCTGAACTTTTAGTATGCCCTGGAGTATTCGATGGTATAACTACTAGAATAGCTCTTAAAGCAGATTCAAAGGCTCTTTACATGACAGGTGCTGGAACTGTTGCTTCAAGATTAGGAATGCCTGATTTAGGTATTGGTAATTTGAATGATATGCATGAAAATGCTCATATGATAGCTGGTATTGCTAACAAGGTACCTCTTATTGCTGATGCGGATACAGGCTATGGAAATAGCAGTGTTTGCGCTCGTACTTTAAACTTTTATGCAAGAGCAGGTGTGGCTGCTTTACATGTTGAAGATCAAGTTCTTTCCAAAAGATGTGGTCATTTAATGGGTAAACAATTGGTATCTGCTGAAGAATTTGCTGCACGTATTCATAGTATGGCAATTGAAAGGAAAAGAATTGGATCTGATATTCTAATTATTGCAAGGACAGACTCGTTACAAGATGAAGGTATCGAAGAAGCCTTAAAGAGAATAAAGGCTGCCATCAAAGTTGGTGCAGATGTAGCATTTGTTGAAGGAATTGCCAATGAAGAACAAGCAAAACAAATTATTTCCGAACTTGCTCCTGTACCTGTTTTACTTAATGTAGTCCCTAATGGATTGACACCAAATTGGAGTGTTGAAGAGGCCCAACAATTAGGATTTAAATTAGCTTTATATCCTGGATTGTTTCTTGGACCTATTGCAATCACTTCTCAAAAGGCAATCGCTGAATTAAAATCTACTGGTAAACAAGCTATCCCGGAAGGAAATCCAAAGGAATTCTTTATGACTATGGGTCTTGGAGAAGTCGTAACTCTCGACAAAATGGTTGGGGTAACTGCTACCTCTCAAATTTAAAAATAGTTCTATTACTTATATAGTTATATATTAAAGACTAATGAAAAAAACTGTTCTCAATCTGATTACTCAAATCTCCGTCCCAAAGTTGATTGAACATATCGTTCATAAATGCATCTAAAACATCGGCTTGTTCTAATGGTTCTACTGTAGAATCTTTATTCTTTTGCTGTTCTTCAATTTGAGCTCGCTTAAAAGGTAATAATAAACTCCAAAAAGCACTAGCACCCATTCTTGTTCTTACAGTAAATATGGGCTCTCTTATAAGCTTCTTACCATCCAAACTTTTTAAACCATCCATCACTCTAACTATTCTAGTAGGATAATCATTTGGATACCTTTGAAGTTTCTGCATAAGTTCATAAAAGTCAGATAATGAGTTTCTAGCAATAGATTTATTTATAAGTTCACGATAACGTTTAGAAATCGATAAGCCATATAAAATAGTAGCAGCCATTGCCGAATATGACAAAATAAATGTAGGAAAATTCGTATTTTCCTTTACAAGTTCTAGTAAAATCTCTATTAATTTTACACAAACCAAATATAATGACATAGCAGCTGAATCTTGATCTTCAGGTAACGTATCAGGTACTAAAAGAAATGAATGAACAAGAAGTTTTGCTAATAAACTCAACAGTTCTGTGACTTTACTACAAGGAGTAAGTTCGGCTATAATGATAGATAAATTTTCTGTTATCGCTTTATGTTGAATTCCTCTTATTGCTGGGTCAACCATTCCAAACTCTGTTTCGGAATTATTTCCCAAGCTATTCATTGAAGTTTGAATAAACTGAGCTAGTTTCAATTGTTTTCCAAAATCTTCAATATAATTATTCTGAGGTAGATTCTTGAATGTAGTAAATATATTATAGTTCAATGGTAACGAACTTGGCATTCCAAAAATAGAACATAAAACTGTCTTGGTTATAAAGCATCCAGCCCATGCAACAGTTGCTGTTTGAATTTGTTCTTTAAGTGCATCATCTAAAGTAATACAATACTCTCGAGTATAGGCAAATCTATGAAGACCAATCTTCATTCCTATATCAACTGCTCTACCAACATGAACAATTGATTCATCATTTTGGATACTACTACTTCTTAATGGCCAATAACATAATATCAAAGAAGCAAATACAACACTCAAAGAGTGTAATGGATCCACCATATAAGTGGAATCATTCTGATATGCCAATTCTTTTATTTTATCCTGTAATACAAGTTCTAATTCTGGACAACAAAGTACAGATGTTGAGTTACAAATAGCAAAAAACAATAGCTTATAATTTTTCATCCATAGGTATCGAGGATCTAATAACTGTTTAGATAGTATTGGTAAATGACAATAATTTACTTGATAGAATGTTTTGAACATGAGTATGATTTTATCTTTTGGAATTAAAGAATCTACTAGTTCATCACCAACATCATCTATATATGGAAAGACATCCACGGTTCTAGTAGAATTTGGAGTAAGCAAAGTTGACAAATTACTTTCTAGACTTGAGCCAATCAGATCTTCACGACTGACAGTATCTACTTTGGTATGAGAATTTGAATTCCTCCTTACTGGCTCTCTTTTAAAATTAGTATCAATTTCACATATACTACCTAGTCTTTCACATCTAGTACATTTCTTGGGAAATTTATCAATCGCATCACATTTTAGCTTTATTTGACGACATGTAGTACATGCCCTTTTAGATCTAGTATATTTAACTTTTCGTATTTTTGGCTCTTTATCCATAGTTGTATAGTAATTATAAAATGAAAGATTTATGTAATTGAATTAGTTTTTAGTGGGGTATTAGAAAAAAAAGTTTATTTACGGTTCGTAAACATTATAGAAATCTCACTTAATTTTTACAACATAAATTGTATTTCCATTCCCGAGGATTTATAATTGTAATTTAAGTATAAAAACAGTGTATTTAACTACTAAACAGTGTATTTAACTACTAAACAGTGTATTTAACTACTAAACAGTGTATTTAACTACTAAACAGTGTATTTAACTACTAAACAGTGTATTTAACTACTAAACAGTGTATTTAACTACTAAACAGTGTATTTAACTACTAAACAGTGTATTTAACTACTAAACAGTGTATATAATTATGATGATTTCAAAAGTGTAGATTTACCATGCAAGTGTAGATGCATTTGCACCTCCACAAGAAGAGGACGTATCAATTATATTACTACTTGGTTGGGACATAGCACATACTTCAGCTTGCAAATTTCTAAATACATCTTTACCATCTCTCTTGAATCTTTTCATGATTCCTCCACTAGATTGAAGTCTGAGTTCTAATGCATCAAGTTGAAAATTATATTTGACTCCATTAACTTGAACTTTTCTTTCTTTAACCAAAATTTCTACAGTAGAACCTTCTTGAGCAGCTTCATAAAATCTTTCATCAGTTACTTTAATTCCAAATAATGAAATATTTGCTTGGTTTCTATTGTAAATATAAGCAAAAGATTTAGCAATAACTGCTTGTACACCACAAAGTTTAAGAGCTTCAGGAGCAGTTTCTCTAGACGATCCACTCCCAAACCCTCTGCCAGCAACAATGATAGCAGCACCTTCTTTTACTTTAGAGACAAATTCAGGACGAACATAGGCAAATGCACTGGTAGGTAAGTCTTCCTTTCCCATTTTATCAATTGGAATAATGGCATCAGTATCAACATCATCACCAAATCTTTGCACTTTGGAACAAATGACGGATGGTAATTCTGAAAGTTCTTCTTTATAAGTTTCTAATCTATTCAACTTTTTATTTTCAAGAATGGGTGCATCTTTTGGTTCAGTATACATAACAGATTCTTGAGGTTCTGACCAATACAATCTGAGCCTATTATATTCCTCTTGATCTACTTTAGAAAGTAATTCTCTTGGATCAGTCAATTTCATATCAAAAGAAGAAGCTGCAACAGTTACTGAGGATGCAAGATTTCCAAAGGAGCCTTTACCCATTCTATTCTCAAAGTTTCTATTTTGAGAAGATAACCAGACTTCACCAGCCCCTGCTTGATCAGCCCCCATACCAACACAATAACTACATCCTGGAGCACCGACTGTAAATCCAGCCTTTTCATACCATTCAAGCAATCCAAATGATTTTAATCTAGAGATAAGAACCAATGAACCAGGGGTTACTTTTCTTTTACCCTTTTGAGAAACAACCGAGCCACTTTCTAAACCAGCTTTCAAAACCAATGCACCGAGAATTAAATCTTCTTCGGCAGTAGTACAAGCTCCAATAAAGCATCCATCAAGTTCCATACCAAGCTTTTCTTCGACTGTTACTACATTATCAGGTGATGGATATAAAGCAATATATGGAACGATACTACTTAAATCAATCTCTCTTATTTCTGCATATTTTGCATTTTCGTCTGGACGAAAGTATAAGGATTCCTGTTTGTAAATTGGATTATTTCTTCGGTTTATAAAAGCAGATGTTTGTTGATCAGGAACAAATACACCAGCCAAAGCTCCAAATTCAGTAGACATATTGGAAATAGCAAATCTTGCATCACAAGAAAGATAGCGAACACCATCTCCACCATATTCAACTGCTCTATTTGAGGCAATTGTGTTTCTTTTGAATTCTTTAAGAATATGAAGAATTGTATCCTTACCACCTATACCAAACTCTGGTTTACCAACTATATTAATTCTTAAAGTTTCCGGAACCTGAAAATAAGTTTCACCAGTAATTAATGGAAATACAACATCCGAAGTTCCGAGTCCAACTGCCAATGTACCCAAAGCTCCACTTGAACATGTATGGGAATCGGCACCAATGATTAACATACCAGGTTGAGCTCTTTCTCTATAGAATTCAGTATGCATGATAGTTGTATTTGGAGGTTGATAATCAATTATATTCAACTCTTTTGCACCTGCTTCAGCTAATTTAATTAACATTTGAGGCTTCTCTAAATGATTGATACGAGGATCCACAATATGATCAGCAGCTAACCAAACTCTATCATTTCTAAATACTCCCGGTTTACCAAGTTTATTATAAATACCATATAGACCCGCCCAACTTAATTCCAGCGCAGCTGTCCAATCCACCTTAACACATACCATATTCCCTGGTACGATTTCTGAATCACCAAGAACATGCTCTTTAAGTATCTTCTCGATTAAATTGTATGATTGAACCATCTTGAATAACCAATTTTAATAAATGTCGTCACACCGGTACAAACAAATTGTTATAGAGACCATAAGCCCTATATATACCAAGTTATTTATTTCAACAAATCATAAGATTCCTAATGGTAAGTCGGCAATTAGCAGCCATTATCCCCACAAAAAGAAATGTAGATATATCGCATAGCTTTCCGAAAAAGAAAATGGTATGACGCTCGCATAGCTATCCGAAAAATGATATGATAATCTGAATAAAGGAATAGATATACTTTTATTTCCGAAGGCTTAAACAATACACAGTATTGAATTCATATACATATAAATATATCTTATAATCATAAAATGATGATGTCGGATTAATTGTTTGAACATTATTTATTCTTATCATTAGAAATTGACAACAATGGCTAGTAAAATACTTGCAGATAATGCTCCTGATCCCAATAGTGTTACAACTAAATTAAGTGAATGGGTATCAAATGTTACTTTGGATGATATTCCAGAAAATATTAAAGAACGTGCCAAATATTTAATTTTAGATGGATTAGGATGTGCATTGGTAGGTGCACATTTACCATGGTCTGAAGAAGCTGTTGAAGCTATTACTAAATTCGAAACACCTGGTGGTACTGCTCCTATTATAGGATGGAAGGGAAAGAAAACAGGTCTTATCTCTTCGGCAATAATCAATTCTTCATTCATTCAAGGGTTTGAGTTAGATGATTATCATAGTTATGCTCCTTTACACAGTAACTCTATTATTTTACCAACTTTAATTAGTTTATTATCTAGGGAACCTGAAAAATTTACAGGTAAAGATTTACTTTTAGCAACTATTGTCGGTTATGAAGTTGGACCAAGAGTTGGTAGATCAATTGGTGGAAGTTCTATTCTTTCTGTTGGATGGCATAGTGGTGCAGTATTTGGACCTCCAGTAGCTTCTGCTTCAGCTGCAAAATTACTAAATCTTAATGCAAGACAAGTTGAAGATGCATTTGGTATGGCTTGTACTCAAGCAGCTGGACTTATGTCTGCTCAATTTGAATCTTCTGTTAAAAGAATGCAACATGGATTTGCTGCTAGAAATGGATTGTTTGCTGCTTTGATGGCAGAATCGAACTATAAAGGAATTTCAAAGGTTTTTGAAAGAAAATACGGTGGTTATATCCCAGTTTTCACTCTAGGAGGTTTAAAACCAAAACCAGAAGAGATTGCTCTTGGTCTAGGTGAGATATGGAGAACTGAAGGTGTATTAGTGAAGATACATGCTTGTATGGGTGGTATTCATTCTACATGTGAATCTGTCGGTAATCTTTTGAAAGATCATGATATTAAATATCAAGATATAGAAAAAGTTACAATTGAACTTACAGAAGCACCATTCCATCATGGTGGTTGGAAGGCTGAAGCTCCTATACAAGTTATTGGTGCCCAAATGAATAATGCTTACATCGCAGCAACTATATTCATTGATGGAAGTTTAGAAATGAAATCTTTTGATGAAAGCAAATTGAACCGTCCCGAGGTTTGGGATTTAGTTTCTAAAATAGAATGTAAACAAAATAATTTTGAGGGAGAAGTAGATCCACAATTTAAATTATGTACCCAAATTACAGTTGAATTGAAAAATGGAGAGAAATTTACCAATAGAGTTGTAAATCCAAAAGGTGTATTAGTTCCATTTTCGAAAGATGATATTGTTGGCAAATTCCGTCATTTAACAAATGGGATAATTTCTACAGAAGAACAAGAACGTATAATTGAAAGTGTAGTAAACTTAGAAAATACTAGTATTGAAGAATTCTTAAAAGTGTTAGATTTAGATGTTAAAAGTCCATTTGCTGTTTAGAGTGTTATAGTAATAAATTATAGTTTGTATAAGTACTAAAGGGCGGCTAAAATGTCTGCTACCTATTTGCAACATATAGGCAAATAGGTCGTGTGCATGACATAGTTTAGGTAATATACAATATCATCGGATACTAGATCGGATAAAATGCGTCGGTTAGCGAAAAACTGATAATGCAATACAAAAGACATGTTATTAAATGACAATACAAATGAATTTATATAAATATATAACGATGTTCCCATCTTGAAATTATTATGTATTCTAATGAAGAAGTAAATATCGAAAATGGAATCAGTGATTAGAGTATTAGGAAAATTATTCTATAATGTTAGATCAGGTGATGCTAAATTACTTACAAAAGTCCTCAAAGTTGATCAGATAATACCACAAATTGAAATATCTAGTTCATTATTTAAAAATGATGGTTATATGCCAATTGAAACAGCAGGTGTAGGAGTAGGTGATAATAAGTCTCCACCATTAACTATTCATTTTGAAAATGATATTAGAATTAAATCATATGTGATAGTCGTTCAAGACATTGACCCTCCCTTACCTTCACCAATCACTCATCTTCTTGCTTATAATATTAGTCCAGAGACTACAACTTTTGAATTAAATGAATTTGATGGAAGTAAATCTGATAAATTCATATTAGGTATTAGTTTCAGAGGTAGAAAGGGATACTGTGGTCCCCGTCCTGTCATTGGTCATGGAGATCATCGTTATGTATTTCAAGTATATGCAATTAATGAAGATGCTACATCAAAATTGGAAGATCAAAACGAGGATCTTACTACTGAAAGACTTGTACAAATAATTGAAGGTAATATTATAAAGTACGGAACACTTACTGGTTTATACAAAAGAGATTAAATTGAATGTAGATCTATAAAAGCTTATATTTCTAATATATATTTAAATATAAATTAATTATTTTTGTAATACTTGAACAAACATTAATGGGACATGTTGTTGACTACCATGAAGGTCATTGTCATAAAAGCTTGCACTACTATGTTTACGGGGAATTGTAAACTTAAATGAAAGTGATTGTCGAAAGAACAAATGAGCTATAACATCATTTTCTTCGATATTATAAAGTTTACTCATCTTCTCCAACGATAAAGCCTGCAGTTGTTTAACCCATTCAAATGTTTCAACATCTGGAAAAATAACGTCAAAGGTTATTTCAAATGGACCAGCATTCTTAGAACGAATTACTTTCGCTAACAGGTGAAGAAATACATAATTGTTATCTTTTGGCTTATTCAATTCACTAGGAAAATTGAAAGGTCGATTTTTAATATCTTTACTGGCCTTTTGAAGTGCCAGCATCAGAGAATCACTTTCTGGTATTTCTGGCTGGTAATTCTTAAGTCTTGTAGTAGAAGGATCTTCACCAAAGAGCAATATTTCTTTTTCACTTCTAAAGTATTTGAGTGAATCTTGAACTTTCATTAAATGGTAAATATTGAATTCACAATGTACTCCAAGAGGTATTTCAAGAGGGATAACTGGCATTGCCAAGTTTCCTGCAGTGGCTTTTTGGCCAGGGTAAGGGCCATGAACAACAGCAATTCTAGCCATTGATGCAATACTGTTAGATAATTCTTGATTTGAAGAAAGTACTTCACCTAACAAGAATACTGATCCACCTCCTATTTGTGGAACATCAACATATGTGGATATTGAAGAGTTTCCCTTATAGATATCAATTTTCAATTCATATTCTTTACCTTTAAATACACTTTTAAGATAAAGCTTCACAGCCACAATGAATTCTGATATATTTGATGTCAATATTGGGTCATTGATACTTCCAACAAATAAAGTTTTATAACCTGCTACTTTAGCACCTTCTAACTTAATCGTATACTCATCACTCTTAATGAATTTGGCACCTTTTGCAACTGCAGATTTTTCTTTAGAAATGAATTCAGCTTCACGTAAATCTAACACACCACCTGGACCAGGAAGTAAATCTGGTCTAGATTTTTCATACAATGTATGTGCAGCAAGAGATTCAGCAGTACATACAACATTTGTAGCCATACTTGAAATTTCAAATTTATCTTGCCAAATTTCAGCGAAGGCTGTTTTCGACTTGGGTGTTAAACAAAGACCTCCACATTCCATTACTTTACCCATATTATATATAACCCCCATATTTGTATATCCATTGAAATAACAGTAAGCAGCATATGGAGATGGATCATAAGCTCTACCAGCAATTATGATATCATAATCGGGATATAATTTCATAGCTTCAACAAAGGGTTCCATACCCATTTGTGCAACAACTCGAGTTGAAGCAATAACTTCATCATGGGTTAATTCTGATGGACCCTTACCGCAAGGTTCTATTAAACCATCATCAAGTGCTTGATGTATATCAGATTTTGGAATCTCTGCATATATTTTTACAATATTTAAATTATACTTCTTCTGTTTAGCATAATCTTTGATCATCAGGACAAAAGTATCAACATGTTCATTACTTCCATCACCTCCTGCAGAAGAAATAATAACTTTGACTTTTCTATGGAAAGCAGCATCCGCAAGGGGTTGTAAATCTCTAATATATGAATCTGGGGGACATGTCATCTTACCCAACCCAAGCTTTTGAGGTCCACTATCAGTTGAACCTGAATCAATAATAATTGCACTGGCACCTCGATTGATGGCTTGAAAAAGTTCATTTTCATCATATCCATAACCGAGCATACCAACAGGTGTTACGATTTTTAGTGAGGTTTCAATTGTCATTATGTAAGGATGTAATTGCTAAATAGAGCATTAGATAATTTTGATTATTTGTCAAGGGGTATAGCTCTTATGATATTTATACTATTAAAAACAACATGGCTAATAATCTATTGTTTATCGGAAAGGCTTAAAAATATACCGATGAGGGATTATTTGTCTGGTAATTGTCACTATATATTTTGAGTCCTAAGAATTGGTAAGCCTAGTCCGGATGAGAATGTGTCAAAGCTGGAGCAGAACGTAATTACTGCTACAGCCGTATATTTTCAACTTTCTACGCACTTTTTCGGAGTTATAAGGACCAAAAGAATTAAATCCCGTAAGATTGTTCTTATTAATTTATGTCATTATAATCAATCATTTGAACTAAACCTATATACATCTATATAGCAGAATTAGTATAATACCCCACAATGTAGATGTACCCCACATAAACCGACCAATTATAATTACAGTACTTGCTGAAAAATCAATTAAGAAGTAATTTTAAATTCATCAAAGGGAAGCTATCCGAACTGGTCGCAACTAACTAACCGATGATGTGGAGAACTTCCTACTCAATCCTATATATGGATCTAACCCGGGGAAGTTACGTTCTTAGATTAATGTAGGTTAATGACCACTATTTGACAAGTAAGTTGATGAGGGGTATTTTTTGGGTGCAACTACATCTCCATAGTGCTTTTATTTTGCAGACTGAACTTACATACAAATTTAATCAATCGATTAATGACCCCACAATTTAATTAAAATCTAGCATTACATGTTGGAAAACATGAATAATATGTTGTATTGGTTTTCATAACTACTATTTGATTAAAGAAAACACGGCAGGGATCAACTTTGAATGTACATATTGAGTTATTAGTATTTCAACCGAATAACTAATAAGGAACCAAAAACTTTAGATTGTTCTATGTCACAAATATTACAATGTAAAGTCAAAACTTTATCCGAAAATTGCAACTTAAATTGATATCCGTTGGAGCGGAGCCCCAGTAACTTGGTTTTATGAAATGAATAACTCGGCTGTTGAAGATTTTCCAAGTAAAATATTTCATCAAATTAACAAGTATATGTGTGGGGTATTATGGTCAATGACAATTTCTCTACATCTTTTCTCAGTTTATAAATGGGGCATATAGTGCAATTATATTTTCAGTTTTAATAGATTATTTAAGTTAATATCGTTATTAATTAAATATTATGTCTGAAAAAGTAGGTGTTGAAATAACAAACAGTAGTATTGGTGGACTGAATGGATTCGAATTAAGTGACAATGATGAATTGAATAATTTTGAGTTCACTAAGGAAGAAAGGAAAAAATACTTAAGAAAAGTTGATTATTATGTGCTTCCGCTTATTTATGTTACTTATATGATTTTGGCTTATGATAAGGGTATCCTTTCTCATGCAGTTTTATTTAATTTCACACTTGATTTAGGATTAACCAAAATTACAATTACACCCCATGGTATACTGGAAAATAATGTTAGATATTCTGATGTTGTCACTGTATTTTATGCTTCTTATGCTGCTGGAACTTATCCATTAACCTGGCTTTCGACAAAGTTCAGTGTTAAAAAGTTTGTTTCGTTATCTGTGCTTACATGGAGTGTGGTAGTTTTTACTACCCCAGCTTGTAAAACATATGCTGGTATTATGGTTAACAGAGCAATTTTAGGATTCTTAGAGGCAGGTGTAGCTCCAACTTTTAATATCTATATGTCTAGATGGTGGACTAGAAAAGAACAGTCTATTAGATCAAGTGTTTGGTATAGTGCCTATGGTTTGAGTGGTATTATTAGTGCATTTATAGATTATGGTTTGGGTACAGTAAGTACAAAATTGAAACACTGGCAACCAATGTTCTTCTTTATTGGAAGTTTAACGTTAGTATGGAGTATAATAATTTTCATATTGCTTCCTGAAAGTCCCCAAGAATGGAGCAGAATTAGTCAAAGAGAGAAAGATATTCTCAAAGCTCAACAAGAAAACGAGAACCATATGAATCAAAAGTTCGATCTCAAACAAGCTTTGGAGGCATTAACATCATTTAATACTTGGTCAGCTGGACTTTTAGCAGCCTTTGCAGGTGTTATAGCCGTTGGATTATTAAATTTTTTAACATTGATTATTACAGGCTTTGGATTTGGATTAGCAGGAACACTAGCCTTAACCATTCCAATTTCCGTTATATATATAATAGGTATGGTGTTTGCTGGGTATATTTGTAGGAAGTTTAATGGATTAGTTTATTTGGCTGCAATAGTTTGTGACTTAATTTGCCTTGTCGGAACTTTCATATGCTGGTTTTCTCCAAGGCATAAGAAAGGACTTTTATACTTTGGTACCTTCTTACTTGCTTTCCAAAGTGTACAAATTTATGTTGGATACTATTTAGGTACTGTCAATGCTGCAGGTGCTTCGAAGAAAACATTATCTAACTCAGTAGTCTTTGCTTTAGCTTCTGCTGGAAATATTGCTGGATCATATATCTTTTCAAGTACACCGGGACCCGAATTCAGAGGTGCATGGATAGGCTGTACATGCGTTGCTGCTGCAAGTGCTGTAATTGCTATTTTTTCCAGGTTTTATTTGCAGCATGAGAATCGTAAGAAAGACAAATTAATGAGCGAATCATCTACTGAAGAGAAAGCCAACCTAACCGATAGTAGTGATTTATCATTTAGGTATATTATTTAGTTAATAGGTAGAATCAAATGGGTTATGAAGAGTTCACGATATTTATCCTATTATCTCACGGTGATTCACAGCCTTGCTCTACTGTTTTTATATTTAATACTTGAGCTATAGTATATAGTTTTCTAATTTATGATTAATTTAAGAACAATTCATCACACGTTTGGGTTCAAAATATTAGAATATGGTCAATGGTAACAGCTCAATTTTATTACACTTACATATATTGATTATAATGTAGTATATTTATATTGAAAAGCAAAGATTTAACTTATGGATAATGTCCCTTTCTAAGACCGAAATATCCATCAGGAGCATCAACTGTAGCATTTAAAATCGTTCTCCTACCAGCACCACCTTCAATACCTTGGAATGGAACATCATTTCCCCACCAAGAGATACTCTTATCATTATACTGTACAGCAAAGAAAATAATAATAGCACTAAAAGCAACACCGGCATCCATCGCACCCGATAAAACAAAGTTATATTTCTCCCACCAAGTCAAATAATACTTCTTTAAATACCACATAAAAGCAATAGATAAGTAAAGACCCCCAGTATAATATGATAAATTATAAGGAGCATAAATAAGCATTCCTCCGATTATTAAAGTAGGTTGGAAATACTTGGTGAATTTTTTAGGGCCATATTTCTTGAAAAGTATACATGGGAAGGAAAGTAAGAAACCAATCAAGAAGCATTTTTCTAAAATTGGATAAATTCCTCCGAACACCTTCTTTGGTCCAATAACACCCCATAAAATAGAAGCATTGTAAAACACAGTTGAATTTGGACATCTAAACTTTTGTTTATTTAGAGGATCACAATATCCTTCAATATTATTGATTTGGAAATTCATTACAGCTAATCCAATAAATGAAGTAATAAAAACTGAAAGCATTTGACACCGAAACATAGATCTTGGAGGAATTTTAAGATAATGGCCCATTTTTTGATCAGAAATGTAGTTTTGAGCTTGACCATTGATATTGTAACCAAACGCTTTGATGAAATTCAATGCTAATCCATTTCCAGGAAGAGCATAACCTACAATTAATTCAACCAAGACATTTAGTCCAAACTGGAAACCTGTAGTGGAATAGATTGCAGTTAATGGAATTAAAAAGCAAAAGTTAATAGCAACAGCAAAGAATATTCCCCACACAGGAGTTTCTGCAGGATATAATTTAACACATAATATAGCCAAAACTATTGAAACTACTAAAACAATTAAGAAAACCCAATCTGGTACTTCTTTGTAACGTCTCATCATGGTAGTATGAGGATCATCAAAACCTTCATAAGTTGACCTTCTGAAGTTTTTTAAAGACTTCCCCAAGCCTTTTAATGCTTTCCACATAGACTGGTAGTTCATAAAGACTTCATACACGATAGCAAATGGATAAATCGCAAAGAATGATCCATAAACAACTAAATTTGCGGCAGAATAGTAAGGTGGCCCAACTACTTCATATTTTTGTTGATCGAATAAACTTCTTTCATTAACAATAGATTTGACATCATAAACAAAACCTTCTTGATCATAGAGGGAAGATGTATTTATAGGAATATATGAAGACCAATTATTATTCGACCAAAAAATACCAATTATTGTAAAAAAGGCAATGACGGAACCAATGTATTGGTTAAGTTGAGAGTAAAATGGAAAAATCAAAGCAGCATTAAAATTTAAAATATTCCAATCGAATGTCGGAATAGGATTAAGACCTAAACCATAAAGACTTCCAGTTATAGCAACTAAGTTAAAGTTGTCAGGACTGATCCAAGTAATCCAATTAAAATAGGATAACGCATTAAATAGGTAAGTTGGAATCCAGTTATACAAAAATGAAAAGGCAAACACACTAAAAAAGAAAGCGTACCTGGATATGGTCCAACCATTAATATTCTCTTTTCTCTCGGGCTGCATCAAAGCTTTGTTCAATGCCAAAGTGGGTAAGATTGTTGGCCAAATTGATCTAATTGGATAAATTGCAAATTTTCTCATAATTCCAGCAAACCCAAATCCCAAGAAGTTGGTTGAAAGAATCAATAATGTTTGATAACCAAAATCAGCCCATTGATTATTATAGAACCTTTCCATTTTTTGAACATGAATATTATAAGAAACATAACTAGTACCGGCGGACACAGAATAGAATATTGTAGCTAAAATCTGTTCTTTATGATTATAAGGGCCAGGATTCAAATCAAAGGTATATTTCCAAACTTTGAATGATTTGTTTGGTAATATTTTTGATAATAAAATACCGGAAGGGTAAAGGAATAATTGTACAACAGCACTAGATAATGAAATAGATGGTTGTCTTTCAGCAAAGAACTGGTTAATAAATGCCCCAATGGCAGTCCAAACAATACCAAGTATATAAACTCTAACAGTTTCAACAGGTAAGGAAGGATCGTCATAAGGATCGGTTACAGCCCTTACTTCAGGATATGGAGAATGGTATGCTATCAAAGCCGCCTCTAATCTAACTTGCAAATCCCAATCAATTATGTGATAATAATTTTCAAATTCCAAATCAATAAAGGATACAGAATTGGTAGATGAATCTTTTTTAATCTGTTTTTCATCTCCTGACTTTTCAGAGCCATGCACAGATGGAGTAAAATCTGTGACTTGCTGAGATTGGAATTCTTGGTCAACCAAAGCTTGAATCAAATCTAAATCTTGAGTGGGAATATTCACATCATCATTGTGATCTCTAAGGGCCTGATTAAGAATTTCAAGGGATTCTCCAATTTTAAGATTTTCAATTTTCTCGATCATGAACGTTGCACCAATGGGAAGATCATCCATAGATAATAAACCTTCAAAATTTAATCTTCTCAAGATAATTTGCTTCTGTGACTCATTAAGAGTATGCCCCACAGCTCCAATTGAAATTGGATGAGAAGCAATTCCCTGTAAATCCACTTCATGGTCTTCAACATCTAAGCGACTTCCTGTAGATCTGATGCTCGTCAGAGGTTCAACAGACTTCTCAAGTATCATTGTTGCTAATTGAAGATCGAGTAGTACAATATTTCTTAAAATAAATTGGAACTTACGGGACATTTATAGCACCCATTTTTTTATATTAATTATAAATTTATTATGAATGATAAGCAAATTTTCTTGACATTCATATATTCACAATCTCTTCATGTCTACGGCTCCATTTGCAACTTAAAATACAGGAAATATTTTTAACGATTGATTCACCACCTCGCCACATAACTAAAAGGATGCATAATATAGTCAAAAGAATGTTGATATAAGTGTCAATACATTTTGAAGACATAAAATTTCCAAGAAAATCTTCGAACCAAGACTATTTTGCAACCCCATTTTAAACGTTCCTGTATATTAAATATCCTTATCTTGACATTTCTGTAATTACAAATGCAATTTTAGGCTGCTCAGAATTGCGCGTTAACCACAAGATTCAAGTGGATATGTTAACGCAATTATTTACATAAGCGACTACATCCAACAAAATACAATTACTTTAATCTGGGCCAACATTTGAACGTACTCTCTTCAATTGTTTTCATAAATATTATATCCCTATGAACAGACGGCACTCCCATTAAATTCTTGTCATTTTTCTTATCGGAACATTTTTATTTTATCAAAATTGACCATCTTCTTGGCATGTCCACATCTTTGGATTGGCCACGGCATTCTCGTCGATGTAAATGTGGATTATGGCAAACTTATAATCCATATAATCAAATAAATGCTGGGCAACAACCATATACTGTACATGTACGTATTCCAGGATAGGTTTAAAAGCGTGATTCATTTATAGGCTCTGCGCTACACTACCTCTCTATTTACTTCCAAGAACTATACTTCATTATTATTATTTCATGTTAACGACATAATAGTATCAGTTAAGAATACAACTATCTAAACAATACAGTTCCACAGTTTTATTTTCTAGTTGTTACATGTGGGGTTTTGTAGTAAGCTTTAGGTCATAAGTTCTGCAATATCACTGATGAAATAAATAAGTTTAACATCATTAGATTTAATTATAGACTCCTTTTGGAAATGTTTACAAGATCCTAGAAGGTGCTTCGAATTTTAACATGAATAAATAGTATCCTCTTTAAGAACAATATATAGTAATTCAAAGCAGTGGTATTAAGGAATCCAAACTTCAGTATGATAAGTAAACTAAGTAGAAATAGATTTTAATTACTATTTGGTCTAAGAATGTTTATAATTGCAGTAGCGCTCTCCACTTCGTTGATTATTAACTACTTGTAGATATTTCATTTGATTTCATTTAGTTCTTTTGTATTATTGTATTTGAATCTTTGTAGTTGGTCATCAAAGGATGCGAGAAACTATACAAGCCGAATAAAAATTTTTCACACTAAAGAATAAATTAGTAGGAAGTGATCACATGGCTTTACAATGGGAATAATGAGTGGTCGTCATTACATCTACTATAATATTGTAGGTAACAATCACCTAAATTTCTTAAGAAAATTTCTATGTGAATTAACATACATATGGTTATAGGAATATTTCTATTTCAAGTTTACCAAAGATGTTTAAAAATAATAATAATGATTTCTTCAAAGAAATCTTTTATCACGCATAAATTCCAATTTCAGACAATGGTAGGTATCCAAACTATATTAAAATAAATTCAAATAAGAAACCTAATAAGTAGAATTTAAAATTGATAAATAATACATACATAAATTTCTAAGATGAAAATAGAAAAAATTCTTAATTCAATTTTGAATTTAAAAGATATATAAGAACAGAATAATATAATAATAACTTAACTCATGAACAAGAATTAAAGTTCTAAAAGTATTAAAAACTAGACAAAAGCAAGGATAATTAAAGAAACGATATATGAAGTAAGAATCTTCCACTCATTTGCCACAGCTCCACTTTCATCATCTACGATGCTGACTGAAGGGCCCAATGATACCAAAGTAGAAGAATAAGGAATAGTATCAAAAGTTGAATGAACATCCAGTATGGTAGTGGCAGTGGTAATATCAGCATTGTTTGATACATTTGGTTGAATAGCATTTGTTCGAGCACTGTTTGTAAAAATTGATTCAGCGTTTATTTGAGCAGCAGTATTCGACTCAATCTTTCCTTCGGCCACTATAGATGTGAATTCTCCTGAGGCATTGCTACCTACAACAACAACAGCTGTCTTAGTACATGGGTAACTTTCAGTACAACTTGTATTAGTAACAGTTGTAGTGTATAACGATTGGACACCCGAAGTAATTAGAGTAGCAGTGGTGGCCCCAACTTCATTAGTGATAACAGCCACAAGACCAGTTCCTGTACTAATTGCACCACCATTCTTAGTATTAACAATTGGCGTTGTATAAATTTCTAACGGTGAAGCAGCTTCTGGAGAGTTATTTACTACCTCAGGCCAATAAGTAGCTGTGAGTGTATGAATGATTGTGACAGTTCTGATTGAATTCAAAGGACAATCTGTTATAGTTTCGGGACAATCTGTGATTTTAATTACTTCATTGGAGGTAAAAGTTGTAGTTATGGTAGAACCAGTAGCAGTATGAGTATTCTCAGATGTAGATGTGGTAGTACCGTCAGACTCAGGGCAATAGATGGTCGTGATTGTATGAACTACTGTAGTAGTTCTGATTGAATTCAAAGGACAATGTGTAACAGTTTCTGGACAATCGGTTATTGTAATGATTTCGTTGGAAGTGTATGTTGTAGTAATGGTAGCATCATTAGTAGTAGCAGTAGTAGCAGCAGTAGTAGAGCTAGATCCACTATTACAGACACTTGATACATAAGCAATAGTTGCGCCATCTGTTACAGATGTAGGTTCTTCTTCGAGTACATGTAACTCACCAATAAAACAGTTGCAGTCGATCATATTAAGCTGTAAAGGAATCGACTGCTCTGGACAAATATAAAACTCAGTTCCAAACCCTTCCAATGATAAAATTGGATCACCCACTTTCAGCCACCCTCCGAAAGGAGTATCACCTAAGTATACACCATTTGATTCATCCGCTTCAAGGAATAAGTCATTAATAGTGATGTAACCTCCTAACAACTCAAATGTTGGACCGTCAGTTTCTACTAAGGTCATACCGTTCTCATTCAATGCAACATATTTCCTGTAATATATTGGTGGTTTGGCTACTGCAGTAATTTGGAAAGACACCATCGATTGACTTGGTGATTCACTCTCAGCAATAGTAGTGGTAATACTTCTTATCCCAGATATGGCACTATTATCGGAGCCACTACCTGTAGTAGTTGGGAACAATGATGTGGAAGTAGTCAAGGAACCTCCAGTACCAGTACTGATAATAACAACACCAGAATCAGTTACTTCCGCACCAACAGAATTGGTTCTAGAGTAAGTAGTAGTGTATGAAGTAAATTCGACAGAAGCTCCTGGTGTTGTTGGGAACATTGCCGTGGACATGGAAAAGAAATCGTCAGAATTCTCATTTTTAGCAATATCTGTAGTCAGTGATAGATCTTCTTCTGAACTGGAAGTCTCATCAGTGGAACTGTCTGTGACCAGCGATGGTTCAGTGCTGGAACTATCACCAGTGGAACTGTCTGTGACCAGCGATGGTTCAGTGCTGGAACTATCACCAGTGGAACTGTCTGTGACCAGCGATGGTTCAGTGCTGGAAGTCTCATCAGTGGAACTGTCTGTGACCAGCGATGGTTCAGTGCTGGAACTCTCATCAGTGGAACTGTCTGTGACCAGCGATGGTTCAGTGCTGGAACTATCACCAGTGGAACTGTCTGTGACCAGCGATGGTTCAGTGCTAGAACTCTCATCAGTGGAACTGTTTGTGACCAGCGATGGTTCAGTGCTAGAACTCTCATCAGTGGAACTGTCTGTGACCAGCGATGGTTCAGTGCTGGAACTCTCATCAGTGGAACTGTCTGTGACCAGCGATGGTTCAGTGCTGGAACTATCACCAGTGGAACTGTCTGTGACCAGCGATGGTTCAGTGCTAGAACTATCACCAGTGGAACTGTCTGTGACCAGCGATGGTTCAGTGCTAGAACTATCACCAGTGGAACTGTCTGTGACCAGCGATGGTTCAGTGCTGGAACTCTCACCAGTGGAACTATCTGTGAGCAGCGATGGTTCCGAACTAGAAGTAACTATCTCATCATTATCATCATCATCGGAAACTATGAATGGTTCACCAACTTGTGGAAGTACCAGTGGGCAAGTCTGACAGGTATCGGGAGTTGATGAATCTGGAGGTGGCCCTGCGTAAGTGAGCCCGTATCCGTAATTGTCAATTTGCTCCATCAGAATTAAAGATGAGTCATAACCATAACCAACAATATAATTAACGACTGCGTTATTGAAAGCCACACTCAATGTATCACCGACATAAGTCCATTCGGAATTAGAAAAATCAGAATCAGCAATAAAATTCCCATTCCCCCATCCCTTTACAAGAAATGAATACGCACCAACAATGGCTGAACTAATGTAAAAAACTGAGGTTTCTGAGCTGAGAAATATAGTCATCTGATTACCATCTGTGCCGAACGTATCAGGTGTGGTCAATTGAAATACTGAGCTCGATCCAACGTTAATACAACCATTTCCAGAAATAGGTGAATTCGCATTCAATATACTCTGCTGCAGCGAGGTACCTCCCCTCATACAAATCGTCCCGTTATTTATGACTTCATTAGTAGTACCTGCATCACCCAAATACGCAAGACCCATAAGTTGACCCTCATTAAGAAAGAATGAAATAACACCTGTGTTGATTACAGATAGACTTAAAAGGCCGAAATTGGCATAATTACAAATTCCGCCATCGGCAAATAAAATATTACCTTCATTATAAAAAGTCTGCCCACCAATTTTATACATAGGTGCTACACAGCTAGTATCATTATCAGTTACAATAAGTGTACCATAATTTGAAAAGTCATAAAGAGAAGTTGGATCGGTATTGAAATTCAAATACAAAGCATTCCGGTTCTCATTATAATTTTCTGGTAAACTATAAAAGTTTCTAATATATGTATAACCTCGATTTAAAAAGTTACCAGCTAAATTGAATGTGTAAACATCAAGTATAAGACTAACTCCGGAGTCAATTGTTATATCTGCATTGAAATAAACCATATCATCTTCACCAAAATCATTGTTTGTCAAATGAGAGTCTGTAGTAACATCAAGGTTTTCCGACAATGACAAAGCCCCCATTGATTCCCGGAGCAAATAACAAGCACATATTATACTTAAAATACCAAGTTTCATAATTCTATGAGAATAATTGAATTTTTTAATTCCAGTAAATATGAAATTACAATTCACTTACAGACACATATATGATTTAAATATGAAAATAAAGCATCGTGGGATGGTTCATAATTAATGGGACGATTAATAAAATGATTGACATGCATATACTAAATTAATTCTGATCATGGAACTTTTAGGTAGATTTGTTTATATTGAAGCTTAACTAACTTAAACCATAATACCAAAGAAAATACACAATCTGAAGTTTGCTGATTATCTTTTGATGAAAGATGCATCATCTTCAGAGATTTCTTCGACTTCTGTATGACAAATGCATATCCCGAGGTAACAAATGCAGTAGAAAACAATCATGGCCTAATATCAATAAATTCTCGTAATACCCCAAAAGGGGACAATCTTACAGAGTAGATGATCATTCAATCGCCGAATAAAATAAAGTAGTTACATAAATAAGGTTAAAGATTGACAGTTGAAAAGAATTAAATAGAATCAATGCAAGAGCTAAAAAATAATTGATGAAATAATCATTCTCCAAAAGATATTTTTGTAGTAACCGAATCAAGTTCCAAAACTTTGAATAATATGTTCGTTTTATTTGTTATATTCAACAAGTGTGGTTTGAATTATTAAAGTGGAATTACGGTTAAGATGATTAGTTTAATAGATTCAACTTACTTTTTAATAAAATCCAAGCTAAATTGATCAATGGTGAAGTTTGAGAGTTCTCACTATTTCAATTCATTGCAGACGTACATATATGCATGCATAAATACTAGATACATGTATAAATACCAGATACATATATAAATACCGATATTTTTGCTTTCACAAGTTAGCTAATAAATACTATTATTATCAAATTTGACCATGTCTGAAGCTATGACTTATCCACTAAATGCGAATCAGCCACTGATTTAGGATAAAGCTTTTAGCTCAGCTCATAATATAATTTGCTTTCTATGTTAATAAAAATAATAAGGTCAACATATGATATATTGATGGTGCTGTTTAGAAAATCTTTACAAATTTACTTACACTTACTTGTGGAAGTTTACAAATTCACTACGATGAATGTTAATACTCTGTAATGCCTAACACAAACATACATATGGTAATTAGCTTTATTTAATGGCAGTTTAATGGCTTATAAGAAAGGTCTTGGTATGATTTCCACCCATAAAACGAGAGTAATTTAGGAAAAACCTCTAACGATAGAAATATGACAACTTTTAATTAAGACTTCTAGAACAAATTCAATGTGAAGGGAACTGAACGGAAGGGAACGAGTTTATCGATTTTTTTGAAAAGTAATAAAATATTGAAGATTTACGCAAAATATGCAAAATATGCAAATGTAAAAGTAATTAGATTCATTTGCCTGATATTTGATCTATTTAATATTACCCAATCGGTATAAACCATCAGTAACTCCTTCTTAAATTATTATCTAGACTTTCAATTAATCTCAAAGTTCAACTAAACAAGCTTTCTTTATTGAACAAAGTACACTCTTCTGTTTAATATGAAAACTATATTGTGTACTAAATGAAATACAGAAATAATATTTATTTGGAATGCATTAGATTGAAAGAATCCTTCAAAAGAAAAGACTCGCTTCATGAATACTGAATATGATAGAATTGTGAAGAAGAGAAAATTGAATTATTTCAAAAAAAATGTTAACATAATATCAGGAATCTATTCATTGAACGCAGGGAATCAGATCTCTGAGTAGAAGTTCAAGATCAATATTTTAGTCATACGTATTATGATACCTAAGATTCATCAGATCTATATCACATCTAAGCATCAAAAGATAACCATAAATTGGCCCATGATTTTGACAACCATTGCTTGATGTCGCTTCATTTCATCATCGTTTGCAAATATGTGCGCCAAGATACATGCATGATGTCGGTAAAATCAGCCGAGTAATGCTGATCAACGTCATGCTCCTTTTTGGATTTTTAGGCAAGACACTTCCTCGGCGATAGTCCCAGGTTAAATGCGTGCGCCGTCAGTTTTTGTAGCGCAGTCGGTACTTATGCGATTGGTGAGCTAGTTGTACCAGTAGATAAGTTAGCGCAGTCGGTACATATGCGATTGGTGAGCTAGTCGTATCAGTAGATGCGCCATGTTTGGAAGGTTGGGATTATATAGTTTATAGAGAAATAGTTACGAAAGCGTGGTAGTTATCACGAGTTTGGATGTTTATACCACCGATATGATATTGTCAAAGGGATCCTTATCATGATCTGAGTATTAACTAAGGAACAACAGACGAATTATTGTAAACAAAATGGTGCTCTCATTAATAGTCAACAGTACATTGAAAAGGATATCTCTAAAGATCAGAAACTGTCTAATATGCATAGAAGTAGATAATTACCTGGTTCTAAAACCGAAAGAATAATTAACTAAAGAGAATATATTTTGACTAGATTTTATTTAGATTTATCGAAATTAAGCATATTGTTTAGGAAAGAATATAGATTACTGATTTGGTAAATTATCATACTGGAACAATATTAGTTTGACCGAGTTTCATGTATTAGTATCGGATGAGAATTATTAATCAAGGATAACGCGTCTTGCTACAATATAGATCCGACAAGTGGAATCTTAAGCAATACTCTTATAATATGCTACAATAAGTTATATTTAAACAGAAATATCATAAATATATTAAGGAAGTCATAACGACAAACCTATACAACCTAGAGTTAGTAAAGAATAGCCTAAAAGTTATGATCTTTCAACAGAATGAATAGACCGGAGTCCATTCTTCTTATAGTGCTAGCTGTCGAACTGTTAGATAATACCAAGTGTCCAGTGTATTGAGGCAGTTGGTTGTACGTATAAACTAGGTAGTCGAAAAGTTAGATATGGAAATATTCGTTTCTGTATAGTGCTTACTACTTGAATAAAACATACAATCATAATGAACCATGGATGAGTGCATTAACTAATGCTGTTGACACTATCATAAAAATTTTTTGGCGCGGTTTTTCATTCTGTCGTCAACCTTGTGAAATAGGCGGAAAACAGGCACCATGCTCAATTTTCAGGATATTGAGCTGTAATTGGTACTGTAGATTCGTACGTGCTCTGGGAGGTTTAGTTAGTACAGAGAAGTGTTGGAACGATCTGTAGCGTTAGTTATAGCAGGTTGAAGTCCTGATTTTTATGGTATGTGCAGGAATTTATAGGGTGTGTGCAGGATTTTGGAATATCTGTGCAGGTCTAAATGGGCGTATTCTGGCTGTTTGAAATAGACTTTATATTTAACTGGTTGGAGCTGTGAATGAAGTACGTTATAGACGTTGATATACTTAAGTGAATTGTGCAATTTGGTAGTGCTCACATTAAGGTGGGTGAAGTTACAGCTATTATAGAGGTATTCTTAAGTATGTGCGATAGTCATGTTCTCATAGTTAAGGATTGCTTAAATCAGGCGTCAATTGGCACTTTTATTAATGGTATGACGGTGATATTTTGCTTAGGGTATATTGTGGTTAGAATACATGTACTGTTCGAAGAAGAGCTTATTAGCACAAACTTTCGAGTGTTTGGATTTTGGCAATTTTACATAGTTAAGAGCATGTTTAAAACAGGCGTCATTGGGTATTTTTTGTAAGCGTATTGAAAAAGTGAAGAGTGCGATTGATTTTCAATTGCAACGTTTACTTATTGTTGGGATATCAGTGATTGAAGTTTAGTGATGGTGGAGTTGCTGCTAGCTTAGTCTTAGTAGAATATGCTTGTAGCGTCTCAGTTATGTCGTAAAAAAATATGGAGTGTCGCAAAATATCTTCAAAATTTAGGGAGAGTTTGGCTAGGGAGTAAAAATAGGGAGGGTTTGGGTAGGTGCGCATACTCTAAAAAAGCAAGAAATTAGGGAGAGTCTAGTATTATTTGCCGCTTTTGCAGTAATATATTTAGAGGTACTTAATAAGGTAGTTGCAGAAGTAAATAATAAAATGGTATATTTAAGTGTATAAGAGCTCTGTGGTATATATAATGATTGTTTGGAAGTAGTATATGTAAGAGTTAAAATATTAGGAGATTGCTAGGGGTTGATTTAAAAGTTGACTACGGTGGATTTCTTGCGTGTGTATAGTAAAATGATGTTGTAACTGTTAGTAATTCTTAATGCTTTGTTAAAAATGTAAATATATGTAAGAAATATTGGAACTTAATGCACTTTGGATATTAGTTTGGAACATAAAGTAATTTACATATTACTTTGGAACATAATGCGCTTTAGAAGTTAGTTTGGAACATAATGTAAATAGATGATAGTTTGGAAATTAATGCAATTTAGATAAGTTTGAAATTAATTCTATTTAGATGGAACTAATAAAATTTAGAAATAAGTTTGGAGAATTCTAGAAATTTAACAAAGGTGATAGCAACTGAAGTTAAGTTAGTACTGAGGATAGAAGTGGTTTAAATAGTCATAAAGGAATGTTGTTATATTTAGTAGTATCATAAGTAAAGTTGGTCTAACTACTGGTAAGCTACTAGAGTTAAATAAATAAAGACATTATCAGCCTATAGTTGTATTTAAGATAAATGTAATGTTAAGTGAAAGCACAGCTTAATTTGGCAAGGCGCAAAAAATAGCGAGGGTCAGCTAACTTGAAAAAATTAGGGAGGGCTTGGGTAGGCGCGAACTTTAAGAAAGCAAAATATTAGGGAGCAAATTAGCGCGCAAAAATTGTGATCGAGAAATTGACAAGTATTATTTGGCACTAATATATTTCGAGGTCCATAATAAGGTAGATGCAGAAGTAAGTAATAATATGGTATAGTTAAGTCTATAAAAGCTATGTGGTAGAGATAATGATTGATTAGTATATCCGTGCATTTATTGAGTTAGAGTAATGGCTCTAGAAGTAAAGGCTTAAACTTAAATAGATCTAAAAGGAAAGTATAGCATGTGTAGATTTAATAGTAATTTAAGTATAGGTCATTGAAGAATGTAAACGAAGTCTCAAATTATGTCAGTTTATATATCATTAGAAGTAAGTAATATAATGCTTTTATAAATGGTAATAAGAAGGCTATAATAGGAGGTGAAGTTGGTGATAATATTAAAACAAATGTTATTGAAAGGCAGTAGAGCTATTTAAATAAAATTAGTAGTAAGATAAATAACATTAGTATAGATATATGTTATAGTTAAGTAAGTATATAGTGTGGTAGCGCAAGATTATAAAGTTGAAGTAAAAGTAGAAATGAGCAGTGGTATTAAAGTAAAGAGGAGTATAAGGGTAATACTGGATTTATGATAAAGTAGAAATTAATAAAACGATATATTATGTAGAGGTAAGAGTAAGTTAGTTGTAATTTATGTGAAGTATAGTAGTTATTTTATTAGAAAAATAAGGGTGATTGTAAGTTATTGCATGTGATTGGTAATGAAAATAAGGGTATGAAATATATTAATATAAAGTAAATAAGTAGATGATTAAGTATAATAAGTAATATTATAGGTAATATTACAGAGTTAGAAAAGATGTAGAAATAGTTAAATATTGAATTGTAATATGAAATAAAAGGATCATTTAGTTAGAAGTGTAAATGGTTGAAGGTGATAATAGGTAATAATGGAAAATATGTAAGTGTGGAAGTGATTATAAGATAGTAATAAGTAAGTTATAATAAATTTAAGTGTGATTAATTATTGAGAATTTCGTTAGAATATTTGGAAAAAGTGAATGCATGCGAATTTAATTTAGGAAAAAAGACAAAGATAATATAGTATATAGAATATATGATTATGCAATTATAATGCTAATATTTATGTTATAAGATGAATTAAAGATAGGAGATAATCAATAATATAAGGTATAGAGCAATTGAAGTGGTGTAAGATATGGTAGTAGAGTGATATAGAATATGTAGAAATGGGAGCGCATATTTAAACGTTAAATTGTGTAATAAGTAAGGCTGTTTGTGTAATAATACGAAGTAATAAAACATTTAAGTGAATATGTAATTATAAGTAAGAAAGTAAAGTTTGAATTAGTAAAAGAGAGTAATATAGTAAATTAGTAAAAGAGAGTAATATAGTGAATTAGTAAAAGAGAGTAATATAGTAAATAAATATGGATTGTGTGGGAGTAGTAATGAAAGAAGTATTAGTAAAATGTAAGTAGTTATAGGATATAGTTAGTTAAAGTAAAGAATAAAATAGTTAGAGATTAGAAGATAAGTAGAAGTATAGTAAGAATGAATAGTTGAAGTATTAGTGAGATAAGTAAGAAGAAGAGATGTAATAGGAAAAGATAATATAAGAGAGTTAAGAGTTAAGGTAAATAGAGGAGAAGTAAGGATATTTTAGAAAAGAAAGGAAGTTATGGTAGTAGGTGAATGATAGTAAATATAATAGTTAAAAGGAAAGATAAGTAGAAGTGAAGTATATAGTAGAATAAGAAAATAATGTAAATGTAGGTGTTAGTAAAGAAAGGAGGTAGTAGATGAAGAATGAAGGAGTTAATGTAAAAAAGTAGATAAAGAAAAGTAGTAGTTTGAGTGGTAATGGTGAAAACGAGTAAGAGTGAAGTAAGGAAGGAAAGTAGGAGGAAGTGTGGGAGTAGATGTGTTAATGGTAGTAAATGGAGTAGAAGAGGTAGAGTAAGTAAGAAAAGAAAATAGAGTATGTTTAAGAAGGAAGTAAAGATTAGATAGAAACGAAAGGGAAAGTAAGAAAGGTTAGTAAGTTAGGAATGTTAGTAGAGTAAGAAAGGATAAATTAGTAAAGTAAGAAGAGTTAATGTAGTAAAAAAGGAGGGGGTGTGGTAGTAGTGATAAGTAAAGTTAAGGGAGAAAATGAGTAAGAGTAAGGTAAGTAAAGAAGGTAAATGTAAGGTGTGGTAGTAGTAAGGTGAGAAGGGTTAGTAAAGTAAGTAAAAGGAGGTGTGGGAGTAGTTAAAAGGTAGTGTATTAGTGTGAAGAGTATGAAAAGTGGAAAATGAAGAGTAGTAGATAGGGAGAAAGTAATGGTAGAAGGAGTAAAAGGAGGTGTGGGAGTAGTATTGGTTAAAGAGTAGTATAAGTAGTAAGGAAAGTGTATTAAGGGAAAGAGTAGTAAAAGTAGTAAGGGTAGTTGAGGAGTAGTAAAAGCAGTAAGGGGAGTTAAGGAGTAGTTAGAAAAGGTAGTGTAGTGTGAAGAGTAGTAAAAGTAGGAGAAAGTAATGGTAGAGGAAAGGGTAGTAAAAGTAAAGGAAGAAGTAAAGGAAGGTTTGTGTGGAAGTAGTTGTGTTAATGGTAAGTAGAAGTAAATGAGGAAGAAGGAGTAGAGTATGTAAGAAAGGTTAGTGAAATAAGTAAAGGGAGGTGTGGTAGTGAAAAAGAAAGGAGAAGTTAAGAAGTAAAAAGTAAAGAAGGTGGTGAGTTAGTAGTAAAGTAAGTAAAGTTAAAGTGTGGTAGTAGTAATTTAAGAAAGGATAGTAAAGTAAGTAAAGGGAGGTGTGGTAGAGTAAGGTAGAAGTTAAGAAGAGAGTGTGGTAGTAGTAGAGTAGTAGTAAGGGAAAGAAATGGAAGAAGATAGATAAGAAGTAAAGGAAGAAGTAAAGGAAAAGTAAATGGAAGAGAAGGTAGTGTGGTAGTAGTAAAGTAGATAAGTAATGATAAGAAAGTAGTAGTGAAGAGTAGAAGTTAAGTAAGGTAGAAGTTATGAAGGTGGTGTGGTAGAAGTAAAGTATAGATAGGAAAGTAGTAGTAAAGGAAAGAAAGGAAGAAAAGAGTAAGTAAGAGGAAGTAGAAGGTAAGAAGTAAAGGAAGTTAAAAGGGAGTGTGGGAGTGAGGAGAAGTAGTTGAAGTGGAAGTAGAAGTTAAGGAAAGAAGGGGAAGGTAAAAAAGAGATGAATAAAGGTGTGTTAGAAATGGTAAAGTAGAAGGAAGTGTGGTAGTTAAGTAAAGAGAGTAAAGTAGAGGAAGAGTAAAGTAGAGGAAGAGTAAAGTAGAGGAAGAGTAAAGGTAGTAAAGGTAGTAAAGGTAGTAGTAAAAGAAGTAAAGGTAGTAGTAAAAGAAGGAAAGTAAGTAGAAGAGAGTGTGGAAGTAAGTGTAGTAAAAGTAGTAGAAGAAGGAGAAAGTAAAGGTAGAAGGAGTAGAGGAAGTGTGGAAGTAGTAAGAGAGTAAGAAGGAGTGTGTTGAAGTAGTCAATTTAGATAGTGGGGATCATTTAATTTTTCAGCTAGTATAGATATTAGCCTGTGTGCAGGAGAGCAGATTTACTATGTAAAAAATCAATTTTCACCTCGCAGGACAGAACTTGGGTGCATTTTGATTTTCCCATAGTTAAGGGTGCAAGTTGAGTCGTTTATATGCCGTACTAAAAAAATAGTCTAGTATAATTTAGATTGACCAGAAATTTTTATGAAGTGAGCTATGTAAATGTTTATTAACAACATAAGTAAACTACACTATTATTGATATGCAACATTTTAATGGTTTTTAAAGTACATATGTTATTTTGGTTATAGTTTCACCACGATCCATTTGAGTATGACTTTCAATTGTTACGGATTCACTAATTAGACATCATTGTATTTCTCATTATGATTAATATATTAATTACTATAATGTTATACAGCCATTGCAATTCAATGACTTTTAAGCTGGTTTTGATAAGATTCGTTTAGTATGGACTTGGGTCACTAGGTACACTTGTTTCAGAAGGTGATTTATTACTATTTGTGGAGCAGTAGTTTAATGGTCAAGAGTTATAAAGTAATTAGTATAATATTATCCAGATAAGGCAATTCAATGACTTTTAAGCTGGTTTTGGTAAGGTTCGGTAGCTATTGCTTTTGGTCACTAGGTGCACTTGTTTAAGGTGATTTATTACTATTTGTGGATCAGTAATATAATAATCAAGAGTTTTAAAGTAATTACTATAATATTGTCCAGTCAAGGCAATTCAATGACTTTTAAGCTGGTTTTGGTAAGGTTAGGTAGCTATTGAGTTTGGTCACTCGGTGCACTTGTTTAGCACTCTAAGTTTTAATGGTATAGTTTGCTGGTGTTGATTGTTGGTAAATTTGGTATTTTTGTATATTAAGGGTTGTATTTAATATAGAAAGATCATCTTTTTCTTTGGAAGTTATTTCAAAAGATGTAGAATGTAATTAGATAAGTTATATATGTATAATTATTTTAATAAATGATTTGGTTCACATTTTATGCTCTTCTCTAGTTTGTAATAAATTTATGATTAATGTAGATTTGAATTTTTGGTCGTGCGTAGAAATTGTTAGCTGTAATTTTTTAGTGAGCAGAAAATTAAATTTATATTTTAAAGTATAGTAATTAGAGTTAGATAAGTGGCACTATGTACAATTGCTAAAGTAGTAACATTGGAACGTAATGTAGTTTAGATATTAGTTTGGAACATAATGTAATTTAGACATTAGTTTGGAACTTAATGCGCTTTAGAAGTTAGTTTGGAACATAATGTAGTTTAGATGTTAATTTGAAATTATTTAGATAGAACTAATACAATTTAGAATTAAGTAGTAGAATTTACTAGAAATTTAACAATAGCAAGTCAAGCTAAGTTAGCACTGAAGATAGAATTGGTTTAAATAGTAGTAATTAATGAGTGTTGTTAAATGTAGTAGTAACATAAGTAATCTTGTTCTAACTATCGGAAAGCTAATAGAATTTAATAAATATAGATATTGTTGTCACATAATAGTTGTATTTAAGGTGACTTTAATTAAAGTAAAGGAACTGTAGGATGGAAGGTAGAACAAATTAATTAGAAATATCATCATATGGAAATAGTAATTAAGTAATTAAAGAGTAATATAGAATGTCTATTAGATATTATAAGTATAGTTTTAGAGGTTATACTGAAGGTAACTTAATGATACTTTAAATATAAGTGTTATTCAAGGATATTGGAGGTACCCAATTGGAATTAGAAATAACTTCAATAGTATTAGCTGACGTATCAGTGGTATATGATATAGTTAAAAATGTAGAAGTAAGTAGCGCTTATTTTACAAGTCTAACTAAAAGTAGTGTTTATTAGTGATATGAATTAGAACAAGAGTCTAATGGATAGTAATCTTTAATTGGGAAAGTAATAAAATATACTATTGGAAGTAGCAGTAAGCTAGCAATAACTTTTATTGAGTATAGTAGAAAATATATTTAACTTGTATAAGTAATGATTAAGAGAAAGTAATGATTCTAAATGGAAGAAGTGAAGTCAAGTTAGTTAGAAATATATTGTAATGTTAAAATTTATACTAGAAAGAATTTTACATACATATATAACTATAATTTTATACTTACTTTAATACCATTTTAGTCTTCTTATCCAAATGGTAATGCATTATGCTGGTTTCCTCTTCTTTCACTTGTTGGATCATTATATATATGAAGTACATATACCCATATGTCCCTCGATATTCACTTAATATAACTTTAAGAAAATCATCGTAGCTGTGAAGTATCCATATTATTTCTTGATTCCTAAACATCTTAGATAAGGTAATAAAACACAAGTCTATATTGTAATAGCCAGTCAAAAGAATGAAACTTAGTAACTGTTCCATCATGCATTCACCTTGATGCATCAAGTGGCATCTTTTGCATGCTCCTTTAGTTTGTTTCTGTCTTAATCTATCTTCTAATTGTTTCATTTTTTCCTCTTTGACATTGTTGTCCATCAGCCATCCTACCTTACTACTTACTCCCCTCCAACCATTAATCACTTTAAGTGTTGTCAGGAAGTTTCTCCTTTTAGTTGTATCAGCCCCAAGCCTATTATTTGGCTTGGGGGTATACAATAGATTATACAAATCTTGACTTAATTCTTGAAAAGGGATATTATGATGAGTTAAGTTCAACTGTTTGTTGAATCTTAGTAATACACAGCTCTTCATTTTGGCTCTAAACAGCTCCTGATGTACATAATTAACTACTATATTTCTTAGTTCTATAGCCCTTTCTATATTATCCTGATTAATATAATTAAGTAACTTTTTGGAGGAACTCAAGACATATGGAATAAGGAGTCCCATAGTAAATCTGTAGTTGGGACATTCTATATTGTGGGTTTCGTGATTGAGTCCACATCCATAGCAGATCACCTGATTCCCAAGACCACGGTAATAGTAGTGTTGGAAATTATAAATTAAGGCATTATCAATTCTTAATTCATCCTCAAACTTAGCTTTTTTAAAACGTTGTGGATCCATCATTACATAGATATTATCATTATATTTCTGGAGTACTGAAATGACCGATTCATCTGTTTGAAGATATAATGATTCATCTGCTGATTGGTTATTTAATATCCGCTGTTGTTTGGAGGCAGATTGGTATGACTGTGTTTCTCCTCTTCTTTTCAATATTGGTCTTGTTGAATCAAAGGTTGACAAAGGTGACTGATATGTGTTGGTTGTATTGGACAGACTACCTGCAACTTCATTTATTGATGATTGAGCTAAAGGTATGTTAAATAAAATTCTATTGCTAGCTGGTTTATTTAGTGATCTATTAATCATACTAGGTGGAACTTGATTGACGACAGGCAAATTATCAAACCAGTCAGTAGTGTCTGTCTCATCCATTGTATTATCAGCTTGTGTTTCTACTTCAATTGGTCTATCTGTTTCTACTTCCATTGGTCTATCAACTTGTGTTTCTCCTTCAATTGGTCTATCTGTTTCTACTTCAATTGGTACTATCGGTTGTGTTGGACCATTGCTTCTGCAGACACTGCACAACAGTACTTTGAGTTCTGTGCACAGTTTGATTTCCAATTCTTGGGACCAATTTTGAACCTCCGACAAACATGTAGGTGACATGAGTTTCTTTTGAAATTCATCTTTACTTCTATTGGCTACAAGAATCAAATCAACTGTCGATGCCTGCCCATCTCTACCAGTCCTACCACTGGCTTGTATGAGAGTTTCGGCGTCATAGCATTGGTCTCCAATAATTAAATATCTAAGTGATGTTATGTCTAATCCGGTAGTAAACCCAGTAGTAGCAATTACAACTCTTAATTCACTATTGTATACCTTTTCTATAACACTCTCTTTATCAGCGAAATTTAACTTGGAATGGAACATTTCACAATTAATACCAGCCTCTTTGAATTCTTTATGATACTCTTGTACCTTTCTTATAGTGGGTAAGATAACAATACTAAAAGGAACTTGTAATACTTTTGATTTAATTATTTCAGCAACTTCTTCTTCTCTTTTGACAATGGTTTTATTAAGTATTATATTTGGACGAACAATGGAAGGACTTTCTAATCTAATTAGCCTTTTGGGATTTATCAAACTGTTCAATTCCCTTTCATATGATTTAGGGTATGTCGCTGACACAAAGAGCATTTGAAATCGTTTGCATTTAGCAATTTCTTCATTTTTGCTCTCTCTATATTGATGATACATAAAGTGGGCCTCTTCAAATATAATTCGACGTACTGACATATGGTTGGAAGCTTCAATGGTTTCTATCAATTCATTACTAAATAGTTCTAATTGTACTATTAGCATATCATATGCTGTGGTGTAATTAATAGTACCCTCATAAATTAATGGTACAACTCCGTAACGTTTTAGATGTTCTAATATATCTAATCTCAAGGAAATAAAGGGTACTACAACTACTGAGACTTGCCTTTTGCTACTTGGAAACACATAGTTTTCCAAATAGCTGGCAACCCCATATGTTGCTGTCTTTCCCTCAGAAGTTCTTAAACATATAGCTATAGAGTTATTTCTAAGAACCTCCAAGGTAGTAACCACTTGTATTTCTCTAGCTGGAAAATTCAAAACCTTAAGATAAGCGTCTTTTACATCCGCAATGCTAACATCTTGCCATATTATGTTTGAACTATTAACTTCGGGGGTTACATGATTAGTCAACATCTCATACCATCTATTGCAAACTTTCCTTTGGAGTAAATTGTTACTGACATTACTTCTGCTTTCATGATTATAACCGTAATTGACCAAGGCCGTTGTATTGGAATGGTTGCTCATTCTATTGATTTCACTGATTATTTGTTCAACTTTATTAAAGTCAACAACTAAAGAGTGAACCAATGAATGTAACCCTTGACGCATTTCTCTTTGATTTAACCCAACACCATATGCCTTTGTGATGTTTCGAATGGCACTCAATCCAAGGTCCGGCTTAGCTCGACCATTAAGTGATATGAACAACTTGGTAAAATACTCTCTTTTAATATATTCAACATTATTAGCGGCCCTGATTATTGGATCTTCTACATCTAGATCCTCTTCTTCATTCTCTATTTCTTCGATTTCCTGAACTAAGTCTTGGTCTATATCTGAATTAACATGTCTATTAGTACGTTCTTTTGTATAACTAGTACCCTCAATAAACTTGAGTCTAAGCTCCAACAATATATGCCTTGTCAAATGTAAGTATAATATGAGATATTGTCCGGTTTCCACATTCAAGTATTTAGTAATAGCAACTATAGTATTGTGACGGTCTAAATTTTTGGAGTAGGTAGTTCTGAATACTACATTTTCTTCATCAAGAATTACATTACTAGGTGAGTTGGAGTGGTCCTCGATTCTCATAGTGAGAATCTCTGGAGACCTATAGGGTGCTCCGCACCCAATAATAATAAGTAGGTAAAGTAATTCTTGAATCTTGAGTATTCTCTTGAACAAAGCAACAGCAGAATGAACATTTTTGACTTTATTTTTTTTGAGTAATAGTTGAAATTCAGAATTGCTATAGCGTTTAAATGTTTTTCGGAGACTGAGTTTCTTATTATACTCCTTAACTATATCTGAATATTTAACACCATTGAAGAGATCAGGACCAAATATATCAACCAACTCATCTTTAATTGTAGTAATGCAACCTTTTCTCATATCATTCAATAGTTGCAATGAGACAATCTTACCGTTAATTCTAAAAGCATCTGTTCTGGAACCTACTTGTTGACAATTCATCGGAGTCTGAGGACTAGCTAAATCATGTTGATTGAACAACCATTTAAGACTGAAATAACCTGCACTATGTTCAATGTTGGGAGACTTTAATTCCTGTTTGAATGCTTTAAATTCTTCTTTAGTAATTTCATGTATAATGATTAATTTGGAGAAGAATAATACGCTGCAGAACATAGTCCTTCTCACTGAGTTCGAGACAAGACTATTATTCTGCAGCATACAACTAAGAACAAAAAGGTCTAGAACTGTTCTCTCAACATTAACTTTTAAAAGATAATCTTTTAAGAACATAGTGCAGAACTTGTCGAAGTCCTCTTTCGAAGTTACCTTAATATCTAAATGGAATAAACTTACTTGAAGGAAGGTCACAGTGGCTTTAACATAATCATTAACCGCCCCTCTACTATAGTGTGACTTTAAGAACACTTTGGTAGTATTCAAGTTTTTCTGAAACTCATTAAGCTTGTCCAAGTGATCCTTTGTAAAAAAGCTTCTTACTAAACTGGTAAGCTTTTTCTTACCGGCTTCATCTTCTGGAACTTCCTTGTAAAGTCTCATTGCCCTTTCAACACAAAGTAATGATAAGAATTTATCCTTATTCAAGTCCAGTAAAATATTTTCCTGAGTTAAATTCTCATAGATATCAATTGTAGTTGCTTCAATTAAAATTGATGATAAACGGCTACTGATTCTAACAGGATAACCCAGCTGCTGCAGCAGGACTAGCATTTCATGATTGGCTTCAGGATGATATTTCTTGACATGCCGATTGAAATACTTTAACCCAATAAACGAAGAGTCACAAAAGTTACAATTGTACATGTCAATTGGTTGGACACCCGGAATAGAGACATTGGTAGACAATCTGTTGGTAGTAATGTCTCTCTGCAATTTAGATTCATCTAAAAAGAAGGGTTCCAAACTCTCATACTTCGCTGCCACATTACCCTCCCATCCAGGAATATCAGTGATAAGTCTTCTGAACTGCTGCATGTTCGGAATACTTCTGAATTCATTGGCTTTCGGAATAAAGACAAAAGGAATTCCTGGAGTACAGATGTATCCGTTAGAGTTCAAGGTTTCAAGAGTTTGATTAGTGGCTTGGTCATAAAGTGACTCAACTACTTCATCTTCACTTTCGCTAGAGTGTTCGTCGCTGAAGACTTCTCCATAATATGGAATGCCGTGGTTAAGAAAATCGCGTTCAGTACTATCTGTGGTAGACATTGTTGGTTTAAGAACTTTGGTTATGATAAACGTATCTGATCTTAGTTAGTGTTATATCTATCTGGTTTGATGTTAAATTTTTATTTTTCTTTGAAAAAGCTTTGAAATATTTTCATTCTAACTTTTTCCTTATTTAGGTAAATGGTACACACTACGCATTGATTTAAGTTCGTGCATAAAAATTAACTTATTATATTTATTTAGACTTAACAGGTTACTAATTAGATGATACAGTGCAGACGGTTATTAAAATATATTAAATCAAAGTATTGCAAAAAATATTATTGACAATTAATAATACTCGCTATGACTATTAATAGAGGGATCAGGTTTTCTTATCTGAATTATTTTACGAACTGTTATCTCTTAATAATAAATTAAATAATTATAAATTAAATATTAGTATTTGTGAATATTCTAAATTGATGTAGTAATAGTAAATTAAATAGAAGTAAGATCAGGACAGCTCAAATGGTTACTTTCAAAAATAGTTAACCAAGTAGTTCGCTAGGTGGACAAAATTAGGGGGCTGGACAGAAAAAAGTTAATACTGGAGAAGGCAAAAGCTGCAAAAAAATACTGTCCGATTTTACTAGTTGAAAGAAAATACTCAATAAATTGAAGGCGAGGAAAAATTAGGGAGGGTTTGTCTAGGCGGGAAAAAATACTGATTGAAATTGACAAGGTATATTCTGGCTGATTGCAATAGAGTTTATACTTAACTGCTTGGAGCTCAGAATGAAGTATATGGTATAAGGTGATGTAGTTAAGATATTTCTACAGTTTGGTAGTACTCACATTAAGGTGGGTGAAGTTACAGGTATTTAGAAGTTTTCTAGTATGTGCGAAAGTATTGTTCTCATAGTTAAGGAATGCTTAAAACAGTCGTCAAGTATCACTTTTATTAATGGTATGAGGCTGATATTTTGGCAAGGTTATATTGACGTTAGAATACAAATAATGTTAGAAGAAGAGCTTATTAGCATTAAGTTTAGAGTGTTTGGATTTAGGTAATTTAACATAGTTAAGAGCACATTTAAAACAAGTATCACTTTTATTAATGGTATGAGGCTGATCTTTTGGTAAGGGTATATTGAGTTTAGAACACATGTACAGTTCAAAGAAGAGCTTATTAGCACTATATTTAGAGTGTTTGGATTGAAATTTTACATAGTTAAGAACACATTTAAAACAGGCGTCATTGGGTATTTTTTGTAAGTGTATTGAAAAAGTGAAGAGTGAGATTGATTTATAATGGCAGTGTTTAGTTATGGTTGGGATATGAGTTATTGAGGATTAGTAGTGGTGGAGTTGGTTCTAGCATAGTCTTAGTAGAATATGCTTGTAGCGTCTCAGTTATGTCGTAAAAAAAATAGCGAGTGTCGAAAAATTTAGGGAGCATTTAGCTAGCGAGAAAAAATAGGGAGGGTTTGGGTAGGCGCGAACTTTAAGAAAGCAAAAAATTAGGGAGGGTCGAATTAGCGCGCAAAAATTGTGATCGAAAAATTTACAAGTATTTGCCGATTTGGCAGTAATATATTTAGAGTTAACAGAAGTAAGTAATATTATTATAAGATTAAGTGTACTAGAGGCTTTGGGGTGATATAATGGTTGATTAGTATATCCGTGCGTTTATTGAGTTAGAGTAATGTGTCTAGAAGTAAACTCTTAAACTTATATAAAGTTAAAGGATATTAAAGATTGTATATAAATAAAAGCAATTTAAGTAAAGGTTATTGAAGAGTGTAAACAAAGTGTCTTAGGTCAGGTTGGTAATATATTTATCATTAGAAGTAAGTCAAATAATGGTTTTATAAATGGTAATAAGATATATTATAGTTAAGTTAAGTATAGGTAGTGAAAGTTTTATAAGTATATTTACGTGTATTTTAAAAGTGATATCAAGAAATTTTATAGTGATAGAAGACTCTAAGATAATGCTACATATATATGAGTAATAATGATGACGATAGTTGACACGTAGTAGTGTTTTGGACTAGGATAAGATAGTATATTAGAAATGGAAAGTATAAGATATAAGGTGTGTATAAGATGTGGTAAAGTTAAAGGTAATGTTAAAGTAGGTATATATTTAAAGTATACAGGGCATTTGGATGTAATTAGTAACAAGTTAAGTCATGTTAGTATAAGTAGTACTGAGATATGATGTAGATAAATAAAAATATATGTTGGTAGCGTTTATTTTACAAGTCGAAGTAAAATAATATTTCATCAATGATATGAAGTTGAAGAATAGTAGAATATAATGTAGTTGTCAAGAATTAATTGGAAGACTAGTAATAAGGTCTATTATTTGAACTTGAAGTAGGTTAGAAGTAGGTTTTACTACATATAGTAGAAATTATAAGTATTAGTACTAGACTTAGCAAACTAAAAATGGGGTAAAGTTAGTGATAATGTTATAGCAAGTATGAAATAAGTATAAGCACGGTATTTAGATAGCAGTAGAATTAATTAAAGTAATGTTAGTATAAGCAGTAATAAAATAGGCTACAGTTAAGAAAGTATATATGGTAGTAGCGCAAAATTATAAATTGAGGTGAAAGTGGAATTGCGTAGTGATATTAAAGTAAATTGAAGTGTAATGGTATCAGGGCTATTTGAATAAAGCAGAAGGTAATAAAAAGATAGATTATGTGGAGGTAAGAGTAAGTTTGTAGTAATTTATGTGAAGTATAGTAGATATTTTATTAGGTAATAAGGGTGATTGTAAGTTATTGTATGAGATTGGAAAAGAGGCTAGTAGTATTAAATTATTAATATAAAGGAATTCGGTAGATGTTTTATTATAATAAGTAAAGTTAGAGTTAGTATTACAGAGTTAGAAAATATGTAGAAATAGTTAAATATTTGAATAAAATGTGAAATAAAAAGTTGGTTTAGTAAGAAGTGTAAATGGTTGAAGGTGATAATAGATAATAATTGAAAGTATGTAAGTGTGGAGGTGATTATATATTAATAATAAGCAAGTTAAAATCATTTTAAGTGTGATTAATTTTTGAGAATTTGGTTAGATTATTGCGAAAAAGTGTTAGCATGAGAATAAATTTAAAAAAAAAATGATAAAGATGATATAGTATATAAAATTATGAATATGCAATTATAATGCTAATATTATGTTATAAGATGAATTAACGAGTGGATAATAAAAATATAAGGTATAAAGCAGTTCAAGTGGTGTAAGGTATGGTAGTATTGTAATATAGTATAGTTTGAAAATGGGAGCGCATGTTTAAAAATTTAAGCAAGGCTGATTTTGTGTTATAATATGAAGTAAAAAATGTAATAATAGTAAAGAATATGACAAGTAAAGTAGATTATATGTAGAACAAGAAATATAATAATAGTAAATATGTAATTATAAGTAAGAAAGTAAAGTTTGATTTAAGTAGCAGTATAATTGGTTGAAGTGTATCGCAAGGAATAGCATGGATATCGCAAGTGAATAATTAAAGTAATATGTAGTAATGAAATATGGATTGTGTGGGAGTAGGCTATAGTAGTTATATTAGGTTATTGTTAGAAAAGAGTTTAGAAGTGGAAGTGAATCGCACGGGAATCGCAAATTAATTAGTAAGAGAAAGTAATATGAAAGATAGATTGTGTGGAAGGAGTAATATTAAGTATTAAAAGTGGAAGTTAATCGCAAGGGATCGAATGGATATCGCAAGTGAATAATTAAAGAAAGTGATATGTAGTAAAGAAAGAAGGATTGTGTGGGAGTAGTAATGCTAGGAGTAGGTTATAGTAAATTGTAAGTAGTTATAGGTTAGTAAGTTAAAGTAAAGAATAAGAATAGTTAGAGATTAGAAGTTAGAAGCAGAAGTATAGAGATTAGTGTGAAGTATAGTAAGAATGAATAGTTGAAGTTTTAGTGAGATAAGTAGGAAGAAGAGATGTAATAGGAAGGAAAAGAAGTGAGAAAGTAAGTGTTAAAGTGTAAAAGGTATGTTAAAGTAGATGTAGAGTTAAGATAAGGAAGAGACGCAGTTAAAAAGAATAGAAAGGAGTGATGGAAAGGGTGGTGTGGTAGTAAAATGTGATAAAAGAGTTGGTTTATAAGATAAGAAGTTGAGATGTAAATGGTATAGAAGAGAAGGTGGTTAAAGTTAAGTAAGTAAAGAATTAAGTGGTTAAGAAGTAGTAAGAGTAAGAATAGTGAGTGTTAAAGTAAGGGAAAAGAAGAAAAGAATAAAAAAAGGGAATTTTGAAAGGAAGTATGTAGTATTAGAAAGAGAAGTATTAGTATTGATTTAAGGTAATGTTGTATAGGAATGTTAAAGTAGAAGTAAGTAGTAAAATAATATTAGTAAGAAAGAAGAGATTTAAGGTATAGTAATAGTAAGATTGTAAAGTGGGAGTAGTATTGGAAGAGGAGAAAGTAAGAAGAGAAAGGTAGTTTGTAAATAAGTTAAGTTATAAGTAGAAGTAGAAAGGTTGTAGTTATGGATTATTAGAAAAGTAAAAGGAGTAAAGAATAGAGAAGGTAGAAGAAAATGATAAGTGATAGTATATGTAGAAATAGAAAAGAGAATGGTAAGAAATGAAGATGATAAGAAGTAAGGGAGAAGTAAGGTAGTAGTGATAAGTAAAGTAAAGTAAGGAAAAGAGTAAGAGTAAAGTAAGTAAGGAAAGGAAGAGAAGGAAGTGTGGGAGTAGTTGTGTTAATGGTAAGTTGAAGTAAATGAGGAAGAAGGAGTAGAGTGTGTAAGAAAGGTTAGTGAAGTAAAGTAGGAAGGGTTAGTAAAGTAAGTAAATGGAGGTGTGGTAGTAAAAAAGAAAGTAGAAGTTAAGAAGTAAAAGGTAAAGAAGGTGGTGTGGTAGAAGTAAAGTAAGAAAGGTTATTGTAGTAAAGTAAGTAAAAGTAAAGGGAGGTGGGGTAGAGTTAGGTAGAAGTTAAGAGGTGAGTAGTAGGATAAGTAAAGTAGTTAAAGTAAAGATAGGAAAGTAGTAGTAAGGGAAAGGAAATGGGTGAAGTA